GTAGGGTCTGCTCAGGGGCAGGGACCAGCTTCGACGCCGTGCTTTGTGGAGGATAGAATGGCGGCCTTGGGACGTATTGGTGTGCCGTGAAGGGAGAAGGCTGCGGAACGAACTGTTGGGTCATAAAGGAAGAATGGACATAAGAAGGAGTAACAGGATCCCTTGGCTTGTACTGATATGGCTTCTCAGGTTTCGCTCCTGTTGTGGTCGGGGTCTGTACCGAAAACGTGGATCCGTACGACTTCCGGGATGGAGCTGTAGGTGGAGCCGGTCGTGGAACGGTCTCCAAGAAGTTACTCTTAGGGTTGTGTCTGGGCTTCTTTGGATCTTCTGTGTACTGAGCACGCGCTTCCGTCGATGTCTTACCAAGGTAATACCAGATCTGGTTATCCTTGGACAGATCCACTTTAGCTTGAAATTTATTCGAGCAATCACAAGTGTTAAATTCGGCCCAGGTGAATCCTTCGACGAACGGCGCATCTGCGCGTGGAAGCTCCTCCGTGACCCGCTTTGTGGCATTAATCTGATCCTTGGCCTTACGAGATGTTGGCATGGGAATAGCATTCGCAGACGCCTTCGGTAAATGGAAGTCGGCTGGATCTGGGAGGAGGAGCCATTTCCATTCGACTTCAACACGTTCCCTAGAAAAAGTTAGCGATATGCTTTTACTAATGTGGCTACATGTTTCGCACCCGTTAGGAATGATGTCGACGAGGAGCGTCTGTTCGTCAGCACGGTTCTCGACGACAACGCCTGCGAAGATGTCCCCGCGGTAATACTGCAATTGGCATATGTCTCCCTTTTTAAGAGCAGCTGCCGCTTGGCGGGTCTTCTGACACTCTTCCAGCCCGTCCCCATCCAACTTCTTATCTCTCTTAGTCCTGTGGAAACGACAGCTGAACTCGAAAGCTTGTTCCTTGTATTCGGTTCCATCCTCGCCGAATATGGGAACTTCTGCCTCTTCTACCAGGACTCCAGCCGCTGCGGCGCAAGTCGCATGGTAGGAGCGAGCGCATTTCTTCTGGGAACACTGGAAACAAGCGCCCCTCTTAGAGCGGCAATACAAGCACTTCAGCTCTAGGCGAGCTTTGCTGACGTTTTCAACATTGGCGACGACCTCTTTTCCTTCAACTGTTTCGACCCAGGTTTCGGGCCCGTAGAGCGCGCAGATTCTATGAGCTTTGCGGCCATCGCTCGTCGGTAAGATCTCCTGTCCTGGTATGTCGTGAGGACACAAACAGCACGGCGGTTCAACGTGGTTCTTGACACGGAGTCGTATCTTCTTGGCCTTCTGCTTCTCTCCTTTATCGGCCGCCAGACGTTTACGCTTACGCCCAGGCTGCTTGAATCTGACAGCATTAGACGAAGCCGGGGTGGGTACGCCATTATCGAGGTCATCATCCTCTTCGTCCTCATCCTCGTCCTCTTCATCCTCAGTTTCTTCGTAGTCCGTCTCTTCTCCTCTCAGCTTACGCTCGATCTCGTACACGTCGACCCAAACGCTATCCTGCGCTTGGGCACATTCGCATCTCTTGGCGATCTTTCCCATCGGCAACCAGGAATCCAAGGCGAAGTTTACAGCCTCGGCACAGTTATAGCCAAGATTATATCCCGAATGGTAACCATACGGATAAGTGACAACAAATTCTCCCGGGTAGGAGACGCACTTATTGACTTTGATATTGTAAAAGTTGGCTAAATGGTTTGGCGAGATTAGGAAAGCTTTGTGACGTAGAAATTGGTCGCAAGCCTTCGCGTCCGTCGGCCAGATGCTCTTCATCGCAGCTTCGAACCTGCGCGCATCACCCTGAGAAATACTGTACCACTGCTTCGGAGCACCAAAGTGTAGGTAGTTGATACTGTATAGATCGACGTCTTCGAGATGCCACGCGAAAGTCGCCTTCCACATACCAAGGTAAAGATATGCCGTGTTAACACCGGGCACCTTGGTACCCAAGACGTCAAGGAGGTTCGGAAGCTTGTTGAGATTCCAGGTATCGCATTCGTCGTCAAAAAGCGTTCCGGGAAGATCAGCACCGTACAGCGGCTGTGCATAAGTAAGAGTTTTCCAGTATATGCGCTCGAGCTCCTCGCACCTATCGGGCGTGTAGTCGGAGATGTCCATACGGTAATCAAAGTGCTTGAAGGCTTCCTCATCGATCCTAGCTGATGCTTCTCGCCTCGAAAACTTCCTCCGAGCCGAGGTGGATTGCAACTTAGGTTTAGCCTGTCTAGCGCCACCCATCCGGCCAACAACTGAGGGACCGTCGTCGTCGTCATCATCTACCTCAGCACCCGGGTCCTGTTCTACGGACTCGACAATCTCTTCGTTCAGTTTTGGGGAGACAGGCGTCATCGGTCGATCTTCTTGGTCAACTTTATCTTTTGCTGCACCTCGCTTACCTCGACCCCTAGTCGACCGGCCACGTCTCTTAGAATCGGTGGCACTTGAGGACGAAGCTGGTTTCGGTTTAGACGGTGCCTGCGCACGCCTCTCACCTCGTCTGGCGGGAGGTTGGTGTTCACTTTGATCGCAGAGCTGTCGCCACTGCGGAATATTATAGGATCTCTGGTGCAGAATGTTGACCTGTCGATAGGTTCCATTGGACCCCATGATATCCTGTTTGATAGGTTCCCTAACTCTGATCTGCTTGATCATATCATCCAGAGGAGGACGTTTGTCTATCCATTCCTTGGGCGGGATGATCTTGATAATGCCAGACTTCATCCCGTAACAATCGACCTTGGTCATCTAAAATTGTACGAGTTAGTATTGTCGGGATCGGATGAGGAATAAAGGGATAGGAGCAGGGGTATAACCATACGAATTTCTTAAAATCCTTGAACTGGTGCATGTTCGGTTTGAAGACGGGAACGGTACCAGACCAATGGTCAGGGACGACCTCTCCAATATCTTCCTCTTCCTCTTGCTTGACATCTTGATTATCATTTACGGGTTCAGGTGGTGGAGCAGGAGAAGAGGGGTGAATGTCCAAGTGCATGTCCATGTCCATCATGTCCATGAACGAGGGATCGTCGAGATCACTCAATTCGGAATCGTCGCTACCGTCCAACTTCATTGCGCTGTTACTATCGGGCGGTGAGTGGAGGCCGGTGGCTTTATTGTTGAGTGTATCGTTGTTAGGTTGGTCACTTGCGACCTCGATCTCGACCATCTCTTGCTCGGGCGCAGACGCCGACGCCATCGCGGCAGTCGCTTCGACGGACATGACAATTGGTGGCTACATGCGACCGACGGATTCAACGTAATGTTATTCCCATCGGTCTTTGTTGAAACGTTTTGTTACCAGCTGCAACCTGTAATTATTCTTGGCTAAATGGTTTAGAGCGTTGGGGGCAGAAGGGTAGAAAAAAACAAATGCAATGGTCGGCGGAATTGTAAAGCTAGGTGCAGTTGACTCCTTGTTAGATGAATGGTCGAAATGAAGTCGGTAGGTGTCGGTCGTAGCACTGTGGAGGCAACCGCTAAGTGGTGTATCAGGCCGGTGTATCAAAGCTTTTCCCTTCCAGGCTCTAACAGATGTCGGTTAATCTTCGGCAGGCAGTCGCAATGGTACGTTGGTGGTACGTTTTTGCCTTCTGAGCTGCCTTACGGGGGGGTACATATATGTTGGGGTGGGTAATTTGGGGGGTGCGGAGGCCTTGGACAAGCTGGGGAGGAGTAACCAAGGAAGGAACTGCCTTATCTATGTTATATTATGCCTCGCGAACAAGATGCGGCGAGAAAAGAAAAGAAAAGAAATAGAAAAGGTATAAAGTGAGTAATTGCTCAGACTTTGCAGAAATGGTTGAAGAATAAAATCCGATACCTGCACTGACGTGCTGATAGCTACTAGGTTAGCTCAAATGGATTAGAACTCTACCGCGCGCAACTAATACTGTAGCGCGGACATCAATTGTACCGTCTCCATATCTGAGTGGAAGTACCTGCATGTACCTTTGTATGTCGTATCTACTGTGGTATCCCTGACAGATCTTTCCGGTTTAACGTTATCTGATGCTGCAGCACGGGCCTATGGGCATTCTTTTTCGAAGTCGGAAATCGGGATTTAAGAACTACGGCATCTATAATGAGGAGATCATCTCGAAGAGCCTCTTCCTCTCGGCAAGTTACCTGCCTAGTACATATTAATCTAGATCAAGCCCCGCAGCCTTTATTCTCAATGGACAGTTTCTTCTATTTTGCACGCATTCCGCTTCCTATCCCCACAACAATTATAGAATATAAGAAGGCAGGAAGGACGCTCGCATGGCTTATTAATGCACGTCAGGGCTATGTCATCATCAGCCCAGAAATAGGATAAACTCGAGATGAGGAACCACATGCTCGTCCTCATTATTATGTCTAGGGTTTTGAGAAAATAGCCATTTCATCGGAAATAATCTGTAGCACTCTCGCATGTGAGTCGAAAATGTGTGTTTCATGTTATGTCAAAATGAATTGAGCAAACTTAGATTTATAAGAAGTTCGTCATCAAGTTTTATCAGTCAGTTAGTCCGTCCTAGCTCAAGTTTCGAGTATCCTTTAATCATGACTTCTCAAAAGTTGTCTCCCATGGCAATTCGTAAGCTATTTCCTATCCACTATATTTATTTAGCGCATCGTTATCACAATAATAATAATTTAAAAGGAATGATACAGCAATAGACATAATTGAAATGTATCATCCACGGATTTAGTAGGACTCGGTGACGTTGGGGTCAAGGGGTTAACTACTTCATATTGGGCGAGGAATGCGTTTTAATCTACATCTTACCAAACCCAGCGGCTCGGTCCTGGATTGCTAAATTTCAGACTGGCTCATTATGTTGACCTATAGCTCGAGGCACATATAATATATAATCGTAGCCTGCCTAATGAAATATAGATGCTCTCTAGGAATTTCTTGTGTAAATTAAGACTATACGTCTTACCACGACCAAGATTCTAAAACGAGCAATAATTCAGATACTTTTTACGTATGTACCTATGATAGTAGGTACTGGTATATTGTGAAAATCATAACTTTATCGGAACGCTGTCTCCATAACAGGTACGTCATAGATGTAGGACAACCAAGGAAATGCTTGCTACGCTCGTCCTTGAATTTATTGGTTACCTAAACGCCTCATGCAAGTGACGTAGAATAATTCAAAGTCCTTGTAAGAAAAACTCCGTAGTTGGTTGTTCCATTTTTTCTAGCTGCTATAACCTGAAAACATCGATAAACACGTAACGACTCTTCAATGCATGAACCCCATAAGATAATATGCCCAGCTACCGATTATCATTCGCGACGCTAATAGCAACGTACCCATCAATGCAATTCCCAGATAGTGTACAAATGCATACAACCCTAGAGAAAACAGAACGCATTCTCAAACTCCCTTAGATAGGAATTAGATCTTATCCACGAGGTGTTATCTAATGCTCCAGAAACGAGATGCTATGAACCCATTGCTAGCGTATGACGCTTGGAAAAATAAAAAAAGAGGTATCATAATGTCATCGACAGGCCATGCAAGTTCGTGAAGAGAGGCGCGTGACTTCGGTCTTTCAAGCATCGAGCATAACTGAAATTAAAGAAATTTGTCTTCCTGAGCCTTCCCTTACTCGAATGGAGCACAGGTGAAGGCACCTCGAACTTTGCCCTTGCTGTATCCGTCGATCTGTAAGACGTTAGTTGATGATCCAAAAGAAATATAAGATAATAAACCGTGAGATAAGCGACTTACGATGTCGACAATGCTAGCATACGTGCCACCAACTAATACAACCATTCCGATGATGAAGACCAAGCCGTTGAGAAGACTCTTTAGAATGTTCTCCTTTGCGTACCACTTGCCCTGTCTGATGAGCATGAACCAGAAGATGGCAGGGAAGTAAAACGTAAATCCGGAGATGAACAGCGCCGAAGAGATGGCCAGGAGATCGGAAAAGAAGGGGATGGCCTCGGCGATAACCCACGCGATGAGGGTAATGAAGGTAATGAGCGCTAGCCACGTGGTCCAACCTTTGGTGGTGTTGATGAAACGAGTGACCGAGTCCCTGTAGACGCGACCGTGAATATATCGGCCTACGACGGTACCGTTGATAGACCCGGAGATGAAGATGACGGGTAGAGCAATACCGAAGGCAATCTTGGAAACCAAGTCTCCAGCCGACAGGAGAGAAGGAGACTTGACACCCTGGCCGACGAAGCAGTAGATCAATGCTCCGGTCAGCGTGTAAATCACGATCTCAATCAAGCCGAGCGCCCAGATGGATTTGACGAAATGCTTAGGGGTGTGCATCTCGTCCATGAATGAGAACTGGCAGATGGCGAAACTGTAGGCGAAGACTATGTTCGTGATGGCAATGAAAGCCTCGGTGAAGGTAAGGTTGTCCTTCGGCCACGCGGACCAATCAGAGGGGATTCCAGCGTCCGTCCGTTGCACACCCGTCGCGATGATCGTGACGAAGATAGCGGCCATGATAGAAACGAAGTCGATATAACCCAGAATGGCTACCTCGGCAAAAGAGGGCGGGATGGCGAGAAGCAAGAGAATGATAGCCGAGACGACGCCGAAAACCAACGAGCAGGCGCCATTGTTGGTGATGTTCATGAAAGCGATAGTACCCGTGAGACAGTGAGATCCGACGAGGAATATCAGTTGCAACACGAACATGCCGCCGATCAGTTCGTACCCGAATTTACCCATTATCAGTCGACCGGCGTCCGCGTAGTGCTGTACCTCGGGGAACTTTAGCTTGACCTGGCCGACGACGTAACTGGTGTAGATAGCTATGAAACCTAGGCCGACGCTCAAGATGACGCCAGCTACCATTCCCAAGGTAGCGAATGCCGCAGGCATACTCAGACTACCGAGGGCGATGGCCTCTACGATGAGTACTACCGTGAGTCGCTTCCATCCTAACCTGTTGAAGTGAGCGCTGCCCATGGCTGCTTTTTGCGCCTCGAATGCCGAGATGTCGCTGACTTGACCAACCACCTCAGTGCTGGACCCCAGCTCTTGCCCCGAAGGCGTGTCCGAATCGAACATCTTCTCATTTTTCGTATCCGCCATCTTGTCTGCCATCGTGTGTCCGCGAGATCTAGCTAGCCGGTCGTGTCGTCCTAGACGTAGTTGTCGTTGGCACAGAGGATACTTACGTGATAGCTGAGGGCAAGGTTGATGGCGGGAGATTACGTCCAGAGAAGCAGAGCGCCCGGGTGAAGAAACAAGAACCAAAACTCTAAAACGCGCGGGCTCCTAGGGTTTATTATAAAAGACCGAGGAACGAGCTGCACTAGGCAAGTAGTCAGGTGGGTTAATATTGACTTCCACCGAGAAACCATGTTCGTACACGAAACCATCCATGGGCAGATGGGGTTGCCCCATTGTGGATATGACCCAGTACATATAGCTCAGTACATAGGCCAATCACGCCGGCGTTTCCGGCTATCTCTGTGACGAAAGCCCTAGTGATCGACGAGATTACATTACGTTTCGCGGTCGAGATGGTGGCTCAGTCCCCAACAGCGGTCGACATCCCAGGATACCGAGAAGTGGTCCTAGGGGTCTCGCGTGGTTTGGTTAAGCAGTGATGACGGGACCCCGTAATAAGCAAAGCACCGTGACCTTCCAATATGGGGGTTCTCTCATTCGCCCGCAGGCAAAATAAAAATGCTATGTATATCATTCGCCAAGGTCGCCTCGGCCAGCTACCGACGCTAGTACCTCGAACCATGGACGTCACCATGTCCATGACTCCCCTGGTCTAAGCACAGGTACCAGTCAAAGCGGGAGCCAAAATAATTTACATGCTACATCGAACTTGGCTAACAAATGCTTAAATTGAAATGAGGCATATATCACTTCACATCCTCCAAATTTAAAAATCAAAGACGTTCAGATATTCTTTAGCTTTGAAATAATATTTGAAAATTTTGGTAGTTTTTTTCTTATTTAATAAAGTGCCAGTACGAGTAGTAGACGTTATTTCAGATGTTAGCCTGGTTCGATGAGGTGTGTAAATTATTTTGGCTCCCGCTTGGCAATATCCGTAGACCTTCTAGAAAAAAGAAGAGATTTCTTAGTGTTGCCGATCTAGGCACTCGGAGATATTCTATTGGTCAGCGCAGATCCGCTTGCGGCGACTCCTTCACCGCCGACACAGGCGCCGAAGCTTTTAAAAAAGTTGAAATGTCTGAGACACTGTCCTTTTTCGTTTGCCCTCGCACCCATTGTTGGCAGTTCGTTCCGAACCGGACTCGAAATGGATCTCTCATCCACATCGAGGCTCACGGTTGTGGCTTACGCCGCATTCCTAACAGCCTAACAGGCTAACCCCCCTCACACCACCGGTTACACTGCGCGTGGAGCCGTGGAGCCGCTTAATCCGATTGTCTCACGAGTTTGAAGAATTCGAGAGGGGGTGAAGCTCTTCTCCAGAATCTCGGAAACGGTCGGGTCAAAATCTGGGAATGTAACTGTGAGAGTCATCATAATACAATACGTATAAACACCGACAAGTTATTTGATGGCCATAAACGGAAACGAGAATCCTCGGACCGATGACACGCATCATCCAAGTGAGACATGAATGCAATGTCATTGCTCAGATGATTATATTGGTAGGCTGTAGCGGCGACATATGTAAGAGATACGTTGCGTACGGATTACAATGTAAGAATGTCGAAAAGGGGTCTCCGCTCGTAGCCTATCTTTCTAATCTCGTTCCATAATACGGAATAACTGGGATTACTCTCAAAGCCCCTCTCTGCATATCATACGGGTGGCTGGATGGGCAGATGGGGGCGGGTTTGCTAACGTGAATAAGAACCCATTTGCCCTGTTAGAATAGCGTCAAAATAACTAGCACAGTCTACCAACAATTATGCTGGTAGGTGCGCCACCTTTTTTTGACGTTACATAGTATTCTGCCTGTTAACCCCAATTACATCTTTATGCATCGTAACATCTTAAGCCAGATCTATGTAGATATCTACGGGGAATTATGTGGGCGTTAATCTAAAATGAAGGGCTTTGTTTCCTATGAAATCCGAGCTTCTTCTTGGCGAGAATGCCTCCGATATCTAAGAATCCACATGCTCCATCGTCGGTCGCTACGAAGGTTGGCGCGGTCTCACGTATGGGGATCTATTAAGTTCTCAGGGGATACCTGTTGTACGCTAATATCGTTTATTTGCTGTTCCATGTATGGTAAATTTCATGAATCTTTAGGAAATATGCCTTCCTATTCGCTTAGCTGTCGACCTTTAAACAGGGCGTGCAAACTCAATGCGGACGTATATCCTGGTAGCTTTGCGGGCAATCATTGTGGGGAAATACGGCACAGCAGCACAGACAGCGCCGGCCAGGGCTACACTCCTCGCAAATATAACTACCTAAGGTAGGTTAGGTAAATACGGAGTGGTTATAACGTGCTTACGCGGTTTCATATTCCCTGTCACAAGAGTCTTGGACAAGAGTCTTGTCAAAGCTTATCTCTACAATACCGTAATCTCTATTCGTAATCTTTATTAAAGAAGCTTTACTTAATAGTAGTAGCGACGGTAAAGGCCGCGATATAATACTAACGTAGCATATTAAGCACAGTATCGTTCTAAATACCTCCTAACCTTTCTAGCTGACTTTAAAATTAAAGCGCGCTTAATTGGCTTGGCCTCGCCGCTAAATCGCAGAACTGAATCGCTTACTCAGAGCTATTACTCAACGACAGAAGTCATCTGTGAAATCAATCACTCGCATTCGGTATTCAAATCTAGAAGCGGGTTTCACCAAACTTGCGAGTCGCTCATAGCATGACTTCTCCACGATTCAGTAACAGAAATCTCCACCGAATTTACCAGTTTGGTTCTCGGGTTCTCAGCCTAAGAGGTTCTATGCGGGATGCAAGGCGTGGAAGTAGCCCTAGGTGACGGTCATAGGTTAGAGAGTCTTGAGATTCGTCCCTTACCACGGGGGCCAACGCGTCAGTGGTCCCATAATCGTGAGGTTTATAAACTAATAGAGAGCTAGAGAATACGCCTCGGTGTCGAATAGAGCCATCTGCAAGGTGGTTCCGGGTGGAGAGATACCTATGAGAAATTGGTTACATCGCGGTATGGATGCACGGTCATATTTTTCCGTAATAAAATCTCCTCTTGATCGAAGCGCCCATTAAAAGGAAGGGAAAAAGAAAATACGGAAAGGCATTCGGAATTCTTGCTTGGCGTACGACTATTCATCTTTTACTCTAATAGTTAGAGTTCCTTGGCTTTACAATAAATGATAGGCTAGCCGGTCTTTGCTAGGTAAGCATCGGGCCTTAATACGGATCCGGGTAGAGAAGAGCCAGTCGCCAAGGACCGTCTTTCGGCCACTAGTACATATTTGTACGATTGCGGTGAGTCTCGATGAGCTGACTTTGTATTAAGTGAAGCACTCCTATCTATCCAACTTTGGCGGATATTCCACGTAGAACTTACCCGACATGGCGGGAGCAAAGAGGCCAGTAAACCTGTGTTGGCCCGCAGGCCCGGTCGTTGGGACAGAGTAAAAAAGGGTATTAATAAAAAGGGGCAAATATAGGGGCTGGACCAGTGTCATCGATTATCAATCTGTCGTGTAATCAAAATATGTGCTAATTTTTTAGATGATCTCCGGAACGTGCGAGCGATTTAGATGGATAAGAATTATATCTTCTCTCCATATCCCTTGCCCTATGCATTTCTAAATCAACCGCGGCGGCCCTCGTCTGCCGGATAATAATGCAATACGCCGCCAATATCCCTAAATCTGATGTTCCACAAACCCCCAAGGCCTTTCTCCAACTATCCATTTAGCCAAAGTTGATCGTAGCTATCGTTGCACGCGTCGCGCTGCGATGCTCTTATGTCGATGTGTTCCATTGGATATACGGCTATGAGCTACTCCGCACCGGAGGTGACAAGGGACACGGAGCTTGAATTCCCCAAGGAGCGATGCCTGTATAGGGAGAATTCGCGTTGTTGGTATAAAGGATGGCTTGGTCACGTATGCTAGCGATCATAGGAATCGTCAAGGGTATCAGAGGAACAGAGTTAGGTTGGAGTCCGGAGAACCGATATGGCGGGCCAACTCTTCGCATTTGGGCTATTTGCCGCCACGATGGTTGTCGCGCAGACGGTAGCTACCTATGACTACATCGTTGTGGGTTCGGGTCCCGGAGGCGCACCACTCGCAGCTAACCTCGCGCGAGCGGGCTACCCGACGTTGCTACTAGAGGCGGGTGATGACCTAGGGAACAACAAGAACTATTCAGAGATGGCCAACTTCAACCTTGCGGCGAACGATGAGAAATCGCGATGGGACTTCTTCGTCAAGCACTCTTCGGACGAGGAGCGTGAGGGAAAGTATGAGCACACGACGTGGCGCAAGCCTGATGGATCTTTCTACGTTGGCCTCGACCCTCCAGAGGGATCTGAACGGCTGGGTATCTATTACCCACGTTCGGCGACGCTTGGAGGTTGCGCTAGTATGTAACATCAAAGTTCCTTTTATCGCTTGCTTTCCTCTGTTGCCCCCTTGCACCCGGCGATCTATCCAAAGAGTTTAGATTTCCTGAACGAATTGATTGAGGAGATACGGCTTCCTTAAGAACTTACATGAAAGAGATATTAACCTCTAACACTATTAAAAGTGCATAACGGTGGTGTTTGTGCGCTCCCCTCCGACGATGACTGGAACGCGATCGCCGAGAGCACGGGAGACGACACATGGTTGGCGAAGAATATGCGACAGTACTTCGAGAGGATAGAGACGGCTCAATACGTACCGCCCGAAACTCCTGGACATGGATACACCGGATACCTCAATCTCACAATTAGCGACCCTGCCTTCATGCAACAGTCATCCGACGTGCGGGACATCGCAAGTAGTATCATTAAGGTGACGGGTGGCGATGTAACTCGGGACATTAATGCATTGGATCCGGACCGAGACCAGTCCACGGGCGTCTTCGGGCTCGCTAGTCACGCCGATCCTACCGGTCATCGCGTTGGTACTAACACCTATGTCCGGGCAACTTTGGACGATCCAGCCAAGTACCCCTTAACCGTCCAGCTTCGAAGCCTCGTTACTAAAGTCCTATTTTCGGAGGATTCCGAGGAGCCAACTGCAATTGGTGTCGAAGTCCTCCGTGGCCGATCTCTGTACAAAGCCGATCCACGGTACAACGGCACCAAGGGAGAGGTTGTCCAGATATTCGCTAAGAGGGAAGTTATCGTCTCCGGGGGCGCATTTAACACGCCGCAGATCCTCAAGCTTAGCGGCGTCGGGCCGGCTGAAGAGCTCAAAAAATTCGACATCCCCGTCGTGAAAGACCTCCCCGGGGTGGGCGAGAAACTGGCAGATAACTACGAGGGAGGTGTACTGGCGCTGGCTAGTAAGCCGTTGAACGGGTCATCAGGCCCAATCGCAGTGCAGCTCAAGACACCTACGGCCCGCAAGAACCGTAACATCTATGGCTGGTGCAAGTCCTTCTCCTTTGAAGGGTTCTGGCCTGGCTACCCGACTGAGTATGGCCCGTCGCAGTACGAATGCGCGTTCGTACATATGAACCCGCGGTCGCAAGCTGGATACGTCCACCTACGCTCCAATGACCCGCAGGAGCCGCCAGAGATCAACTTCAACTTCTTCGAGCACGGCGGGGATGAAGATCTGACTGAGATGTTAGACGCGGCAAAGACGTTCCGAAAGGCCAGTATGTAACATCTGGAATTGCCCTCGATCTCCTCTTGACTTCGTATCGAGGCGGTTGGAACACGACTGTTTTCAAGACATGACTTGATCCCCTCTTAATCCCCTTACACTTCCTAGTAGAAGAAGTACTTGCTAACTCTCATTTCTAAAGTCACGTCAGTCGGTGAGCCAATTGGGCCCTTCAACGAAAAGCACCCATGCCCAGGCATAAACCAGAACTGCACAGACGCAGCGCAGAAGGAGTTTTTGAAACTACAAACCTATTCACACCACGCCTCAAGCACGTGCGGGATCGGACCCGCGGAAGATAGGTTAGCGGTGCTGGACTCGAAGTTCAGGGTCCATGGCATAAAGAACCTGCGCGTCGTCGACGCGTCTTCTTTACCTGCCGTTCCTGGCGCATTCCCGGTTTGCCCAGTTTTCAGTAAGTTAAATCTACCCCCCCTTTTAACCTATTCTAGAACTCGGGACCGCCAAGTGAAGTTACTTGTCGAGTCCCCTGGAGCATGTATCCGTCCCGTGAGTTCTACAAGCAGCAGTACCAGTTGCTAACGCTCGAATTTCAAGTGCTCGCGGAAAAAGCAACGGATGACATTTTGAGAGACGCCGAAGCTGCTTCCCGTTCCGCATAGATTGAAAACAGGAGGTCCATATTTAAGACCTGCAGTTAAAATGTATGAAAGACATCTTCGAATAAGAGATTTTAATTACACAATCCAGTCTTCCCGACCAAGTACATAGCTTAAAGCTGTTGATGGTTCCGACTCATAAACGGTGAGCATTAAGGTAAACCCGGAAACCACAAGTTTCGAATAAGTATGGTATGGTTCGAAATAACTTCACGATTCGTAGTCTTTTCAGTTAGTCTTTCGGGATACCACGGTTTTTTCTTAATAATCGGTGTTGTGGTTTGGATCCCCGGCGGGTTTTATTATCGGTTGATAAGTTAAGTAAAAGCCAGAATTGCCCATTGAGCATTAGCAAGAGTCATTCACGTCGGCAATGGCGAAGCTGTCCATACCAGGAAAAAAGGGGGAATAAGTTTAAACACAGCCGCACCAGATTGACGTTGACAAAGATAAAAGCCCGGTTTAAAAAAAGGTGACACGATGACAATTATTTTATACGATGTATGATGTATGATGTGTAAACGGTTCATTCACCTTGAAACTCACTTAAGACCAGCGGTTAAACCCATCCAGTCTGATTTTAATAGCATTATTTTCGGCATGATGGCTTGCCTAAAAAGACGACCAGGTATAACACCACACACGTCGATATTAAGGCGGGGGCTATGGCGAGAGCCTTTTTACGTATTTAAATGAGCGGCCAAAGGACTTGTCAGGGTATAGTGGGATAGAGTGGCTATAGGGGTCTATCTACGACTATATAAGAGGCGCAAAGCGCCCTCGTTAGAGGATAGAAAGCCAGCAGGCCAGGCGTTGTTAGTTTAATAATCTATTTGGTTTACCTATGCTTTACAGCGGTTTCTTCCTCGCCTTCACCCCGCTCGCCACACCCGTCTCATGTTCGTTAGCCAAGTTCGGCCGGATACTTATCTTTTCTACGTGTGTGTTTCCTTATTAGGTGCTACATCTGCCCCTGATTGGCTAAACCCATCTTTCTGTGCCGGCTTGGCACGGTACATGGCCCGTTAGAAACTGATTAGCTATACCCCATCTCTCGGAAGCCTCGACTTGTAAGTGGGAGTGCATTCATGCTTCAACTTCATCCCGCCTTCCCTGTCTTACGACGTCTTCTCGGCGTCCCTCTCCGAAGCTGATCCTCTTTATTTATGTCCTCCCCCACAGCGTCCCCTCAGGCCTACTAACGATGGCGAATACTAGATGGAAGATAGACCGGATTGCTTTTATGAATACTACTAAGTATAGGCATACTCGGGACTCGATACGGTCTATGCTTTGTTTTGCCAAGTGTGCATTCCTCCCGGTCGTGGTACTACACCTCTCTGGGCTCAGCTATCTGGTTAACGGCGCATCGGTTTCGATGAATTCGACCCGAGCGGTAACAACTGTATTCGGGTACGGCTAGAGTTGTCTTTAGTGCCTCCTGGGCATCCGCCATGTCTCGGTGCGCGGCACGTAGCTCGTCTTCTATTTTGGGCAAGTTAAAGATTTTATTCTTTACGTGCGGGCGTGGTTTAGGTATGATCAGTAAACGCATTTCTCTTCGCTAATTTGCTTAATATCTGTGGTTGAATAGATTATCGTGGTAGTTCGGGTTGCCGAATTGAGCTAATACGCTTGGAGTATCTGGCGGAGTTTTGAGGTTAGACTCGTTGACAGGAAGGTTATTACCCAGTGCGTACTGGTACTCGGAGCCGGGAAACATCGAAGAGACCGATATGATTGGAGAACGATTCTGAAATTGCATTATTAAGGCTTCTGCATTACGGTTCACGAACATGGGTGAACGTGATCCTGAACTGGGCTTCTGAATTTTCCCATGATTGCCAGTGCCCGAAGCGATCCGCTATATTGCTGAGCCGGGGCTCGAAGGGTCTAGTGGCATTTTAGGCGCATAGCCAAGATTGTACGAGCGGCTTCTAAGTAAGGGGGGGCGGGGGAACTCCATTGCCGTATGATAGGATGGGTATGGAAGACGGGGGGGTTGCTATTGGGGTGGGGGCTAAGGGGGTTGCTATTGGGGTGGAGGATAGTTGAGTTACTAGATTGAGATGAAAGATGAGAGAGTTGCTGTTGAGGTGAAGGGTGAGAGAGAGTGAAGGTGAGTGTGGAAGATGAGAGTCGAATAATCTGAAAGGGAGGCGGGAGAGGGGAAATTAGGACTGAAACTGGCTACAGATTAACACTCATACGTATAGAAGGAGCATGGCTAACAAGGTTCAAGAATTAAGGCAATCGCTGTGAAATAATTGACGCGACTGCCGTGCGAGACTTGATACGCATAGCAAAGCTTGGTGGTGAGGGCAGGAGCCACGGCAAAACGAGAGGCATACTTACCTGAATAGCATTGCGAGATCGGCGGCTAGTAGGTCGATACTGCTCATACCAGATAAGAAGGTTAGAGAGAGGAAGGAGTAACATGTACTTGTAAAGGAGGAAGATTCTGTTGGTAGTGCAAAATCCTGCACTTTTCCCGCGTGGGGAGACTTGGAGTTTTAGAGGGAGTCTTTCAAGGGGACCCCAGCAATTTTACGTCTTGCCATCGACGACTACGACTACGAGATGAAGAGCAATAAGAAGATATCCGAGTGCAATTGTTTATTCTTATTAGTGCTCGAGGGAAAAGGCCAAAAAATATGCTAAGGTAGCAAGATGAGCAAGACCGATGCGTACATGGAGCAGGGCCATAGGCCGGCTGCTGTGTAATGAATCAAACTTGTCAGAAACGAGTATCTCCGCCTACTAATCACAATCCGTACCGTGCTAATATCTCTTGCACCCGTGAATATTATTAGTAGGTGTAGGGTAGTTACAGGGTAGTTACAGGGTAGGCGTAAGATATGTCTATAGGGTAGATTATTTGGGTAAGTGCAGGTTAGGTATAGGGTAGGCAAAGGGTAAGTCCCATGCATCAAACACTTCCAACTCTGAATCTCTTAATGATGTCTTAATGATCTCTGATTGGGGCAATTCTTCGCAAAGTGACCCTTGGCGCCGCAGTTTTTGCAGGCCAGTTTATCCTGGTAGCAATGAGTAGCTATGTGTCCAAGACCGTGGCACTTTATGCATTTTACCATGAGACACGCAGACATGGTGTGGCCCTCCCCAAAGCAGGTAGAGCAGTGGGCGGTGCCTCGGCAGTACTTTTGCTCGTGGCCGAAGTCCAGACAGTTCTCGTAAAATATCGTCTTGTGGACCCGGCTCTCGCGATCGAGAGCTCTGTACATGAGCCGGAGGTTGGCGGAAGATCGGCTGTCTCCGGAACCCGGGCCGAACACCGACTCCCTGAGGAGGACTATCTCTCCTTGCACGCTTCGAGTGTGGGCGACTACGTTGCGGTGAGAATCGCCGGTGAATCCCGGCCGGTTGGAGCGCGTGTAGTCCAAGATGACGAGATCTGCCTGTCCGCCTTGAAAACTGTCGAGGGTGCTGACTCTGACGCGCTCGGCCAGCTTGGCGGGGGTGACGCCGAAGAGGTTATGGACAACTTTGCGGTTGCGCAAAAGAGATTCGATCTCGGTGACCTGGGCATCGTAGAAGGGGATGATAGCGATGGATCCGAGCACAGACTCGTCTAGCGAGGTGAATTTGGCGTCGAGGTAGAAATAGCGCAGGGCTCGCAGCACGTAGAAGGCGTGGCGCTCATTCTTAACGGACAGAAAGGCGCGCTCCTCCTTGGAGTTGGTAATGTCGACTATAACGCGGTTGCTATCGGGAATGCCGGTGAGCTTCCGGATTATCTGCTGAACCCGAATGACAGAAGGGGGGAAACGATCGGCCTTGGCAATGCTCGACTGCATGGAGCCCTTGTAAAACCACGTGCTGGGCTCCTGCTGCAGATTCGCGTACTGACGATGGTTGTGGACAAGACCCTTGAAGGACACTCCGGCGCGGAAGAGTCTGTCCAGACACGAGATGCTGATTTGGGGGTCGAAAGGGGCCTTCATCTCCCCGGGGGTGCTGCTGGTAAACGGGGTCAGCTGCCTGGGATCCCCGAGCAGCATGAACAGCTTGGCGGTGGGAAACGAGGCGATGCACATAATTGTTGTTAGCTCCCTCATTCGCGCATTCTCGTCCATTATTACCAAGGTTGGCTCGAAGGCCTTCCTAAACAAAGTCTCGCGAGCCGCGGATGGCGTCGCGAAGACGATCTGCGCCTGGCGAAGCTTCTTCTCGTAAATCTTCTTGATCATGTTCTCGGCTTCGGTCTTGTTAGATTTGGACAGACCCCTGGTCCTTCCGATCTTCTGAAGGTTGATGATATATTTGTAGTCATTCGGATGCTCCTGCACGTCCCTGAGAACCGAGGTGTGGAGAGACTGCGTGTGGAAATTGTTTCTCCCCTTTTGCTTGGAGTATTCAGCCGCGTTGCGCTGGAATTCGGTTAAGACGTACTCGGCCAGGAAATGATCCGTGGCATCTAGTTCGTCGGACTCTGCAGTCGGAAGGTCTCCTCGACTGAGAGATTTCATCGCGGCGCTGACCTCGGTAGGAATGCTATGAACTCTCTCCATACGCGGGAACATCTCGGGTGGCGCTCCGTACTTCTCGAGAGTTCGCCTGAAACCGAGCTCGAAGTCATCCAAGGCTTGGTTATGAGGGTGGATTATGAGGACCTTGTTGGGAGGTGAGTCCTCTGGGAGTTCTTCTAGCAAGTGCAAGGCGGCGTAGAACTTGACGAAGAGGGACTTGCCGCAAGCAGCCGTGCCGGGAATCGCTGCCAGTCCGAACGGGATCTTCCTCATGTGCTCGCTGAAGGTACTCTTCTTGGACTCGTCAAAGCTGTCGTACATCTGCTGCAGGTGACCGGGTGCGTTACCGTCTACCGCGCGCTTCATGCCGGGAAACAAGTCGAAGTGATCGATGAGAGATTCCGAGCCTTCGGGGGGTAGCTCGAGAGTAGGAAGCCAATTGTATATACTCACGGCCAGGTCGCTAACACCGGGGGCATCTGCCGGGACGGAGGGACGACACTGAATTTCCCCGTGAGCCTGAATCTCCTGCCGGAGAGTCTTTTCGAGGGTCTTGACCGTGATAGTGCAAGACTTGGCCTCCTCCTCCTCTAACGTCCTCTGGACGTACACCCCATAGTTCTCCCCTTCCTGGGGAAACTCCAGGCCGAAGTTAGAGCGTCTCCGCTCTCCGCCCCAGGACTCGCTCCAGGGCTCAAGAGGTATTTTTGCGATGAATACCCTGAAACTACCGCCGAGAAGGGGGAGCGGGGTGTCTGTGGCGCGCGCGTTCCACTGGAAAAGCTTCTCTTCGGCATCCTTATCGGGGACTTCGGGGACTTGCAAATGGGCCGCGTGCTTTGTGACAAAATCTTCTAGACCTTCTTCATCAACCGCGCCTCCGGTCGTCTGGGCATCCACATAAATATCTTTCAGGTCGCTCCGCACTTCTGCAATCTTCTCCTCTGATGTACCATCCTTCACGACATTGTACATCTCAATGAAGTCGTCTGAGTCTTGATATCCTTGGACGGCGCGGCTGATTAGCTCGTGCAGGAACAGGGGCAGATCCGCCTCGATGTCGACTTCGTAGGGCGGATTCTTGGCGCGGACGAGACCAGAGATGCTGATCTTGCAGTCGGAACCCTTGCGAGGGAGGAGGTGGGTATTGGGACCCAGGGGGATGGCGACGGCGACTGCAGAAGGGTTGCCGGAGTCGTCCTTGTTCTGCGAGAAGGCGAACAAATAGCAGCGGAATTGCTTCTTCGCCATCTCGTTCGCGATGGCCTGGACTCGGGCGGCGTCGTCGACGGTGCCATAGGCTTGGGCAACCTTGTACTGGCGGAGGTCAAAGAATTTGACGCAGGGATGGACACTCTCTAACTCGGGTCTGATAACCTTTCGGCCGCCTGAAACCACGTACTTCTTGCCGACCTGTAGAATGGTTCTGGAGTTGAGAAGTTGTTGGCGAGGCGAGAGGCGGAACCAAGGCGCGAGCCTGTCCGACTTGATCTCCATAAATTTGGCGACCGCGATAAACGCGTTCAGGTTGGAATCGCACTCCAGGTACTGGTCGGTAGAGACGACCGGGGCGGACTGTGGTAGAGTATCGTTAGGAGTATACTCCCAGGCAGGAGATGGGGCGTTGTCTTTGACTATGAAAGCAACTTCTTTGGAAGAACCTTTATTCACCGAGTCGGCGAATTCAGCCATCTGCTTGATCTGCCTTTTGAACACCGTAGTTGTAATCGTTACAGGATCGTAATAGAAAATAACCCTGTCGACGCGGAATGATAGGTAGATGCACCCTTCGGGAGCTTCCACGGTGCCCGGTTCGAGATTGAAGTCGCGGTTGAGAGAAATGGTAGCGCGATCTTTGGGCTGCCTAGCGCACGACAACTCAGAGATGGATTGCAAGTAGAACTCCATCCGGCCTATCCAAAACTGGCGCCTATCGCCGCCTGGATGGTTGCGGATAAAGGCCATAACAACTCTGCTGTAGCTGGCAGGATGGTATTCAAGCTTGAGTTTGAACTCAAGCTGCCTGAAGGATCCGCGGCCGAGTTTAGCCAGGTTGCCATGCTCATGGAGGTTCAGAGGGGTTCCGTCAAGGATGACAAGACAGGAAACCGACTGCGAGACAGTATTGGGCGGTACCTGAGGAAGGTCTGCGAGGTCATCGGGCTCCTCACAGAGCTCATGCTCCTCGCGGCGAGCCTGTTGGAGACGTTAGCAAGAGTTTCGCCTGTTGAAAACAAAGTAACTTACCTCTTCGTGCTCGCTAGTCTCTTGAACACCAGTTTCGTGACCGTTAAGGTCGGGAAGATTGATATCTTCCATCCCGGATAGAAGAGGGATACCTAGACATTGCGATTAGCAAACCAAGATGCGCGAGGCTGCGATAGAGGCATTCGTGTTGCGAAATGAGTTCGCGGTTGTAAGTGAAAGGGGTCAGTGCCACAAGAGTAGGAATAAGAAAAGCGTCAACAAAAGGAGAAGAGGTAAAAGGAAAACGACCACGATAATAACGATAGGAGCATGACGATGGAAAGTAATAAGATATAGTAAAGGGGGATAAGTACAGTAGGCAGTGGGATAAAATATTGCGGGGATGTAATGCAAGGATATAATGCAAGGGTGTAACGGGATGATGTAATGGGACCAGAGCACGTGGGAATGACAGGACGAAAATAGAAACTTACCTCAAGGTCTCCAAACTAGGATGTACTATGAATGCGCTTCATGCTGATGTCGAATCTGCGAAGGATTAGCAGGCTGGTTGAACGGGGCTGCAAGATTCAAGATAATTATGTACGCATTTACTTACCGAGTAAGGCGTTGCACGAGTGTTAGGTGCGGAATGAAAGATGATAAAGTTAAAGGAAGGATGATAAAAGTAGTCGCGGGAGACAAGACGAAGATAGTCTTGTGCGCGCGAAAGGTTTAATGTTACCTTGCTGTCGGCGGTAGAAGTTGGATGATTAAGTTGAAAGTAAGATAGGGTTGGTGGTGCGGGAAGAAGTGCGGGAAAGAAATTATATTTCCTGCCGCGAAGGTGGTAAGAGAAATAAGTGATTGTTTGTTTTGGAAGGAAGGAAAGTAGAAGAGGGAAAGTATTGTTGCCTGGTGATGGCAGGTTAGCTACCGGTAGGAGGAAGGTGAGGTGGAAGGAGGAAGGAGAGGCAAGTACCTAAGTAATCAAGTTGGTGATGCTACGAAACCAACAGTTAGAATCAAGTCTATAATTAAAATAGGGAGAGAATCAGATCAATGCAAATCAGACCGATGCAAATCAGACCGATGCAAATGAGCGGATACAAGTATTAACGTACCTTTAATGTGTATACCAAACGACGCGCACGCCGCTTGGGTGTCTAAGTGACGGGGTAACAGTTTAGCCTCTTGCCGGAAGGATCAGTTTAATGGTTACGGAGTGGAGTATGATGTATTTGTAGCGTAGGGATTTACGCCCCGTGCTACGAATGCCGACGCTCGTCTCGGACATGATGAAAGAGGATACGAGAGTTTACGAGATTATGATCTGGATGGGGCTATCTAGCTTAGGTAATATAATTAGCAATACAACATTAACACGGTCGATGGTGAGGGTAGGAATTATCTCCCGGTTCCTAAAACAATTCTCACGACAAGGAAGGTAGTAAAGTTGCGATAGGGGTGGGCAAATGAGTCACGACAATTTTTGGTGTTGTGATTAAAAGGTTTCGTGAAAGAAGGTGGAGGTGGAGTTGGAGGTGGGGTTTGGTAGCTGCATATATTACCTGCATTAGCGGATTACGTAGGTACCAGCCTCAACAAGCGAGGAAGGCGCACCCTTTCTGCCGGGCGATGGTCTAGGTACCTAGGTACTAGTAGCCTTTCCGAAGAAATTACATAAGCGCTCAAACTATGGAAATTGATAAGAAAATTGATAAGGTAATTGATAAGGTAATTCTCAGATCGTGGAGGCACATAATAGCGAGGGGAGCCCTTGCAAAGGGTAGGTCCTCGAGTGCGAGGGCATCTATCATCAATTCTGATTGAACATACATGTATGGTACTCCACCATGTCTCCCTCGCCGCTCTTATGTCGGATTTTTTCCATTGCTTACCTAAATCACAAAGTAACTCGATGGGCAGTATTTCGCACGTGCATAAGCTGGCTCCGATAAGATTGATAACGAGCGATATCGATAACGATAACTTTAATTTTTGCTAGCCAGGTACATTATTTTCAATGTACCATTCGCATTCATCACCCTCCGCCGGTATTCTATAATTCAAGATGGGCAAAAGAAAGGTCGCAGCCCTCGAGAAGATCGAGGCAGATCTTGCCGGCCTTCAGTATAAAATTCGCAAGGATCCAGAGTATGCATGCCAATCTTTCCCGCTTCGATAATATGTCTGACCCGTTCGTCTACAGAGCCTACGAGAAGGAGTTCATTGAGAATTGGCAGCAGTTCGATGCTGCCCACGAAAAGTTTCTGGCTGCTCCCGTAGGCGCCGACTCTAATTCCCTCATAACGTTTCGCGAGCAGATAGATCTGAGTATGCGATCTCTACCTGTCTTGCGTCCTCGAGCTCATAGTGTTGATAGTTGCCCATTGCGCCGAGCTGTATCCTCAGATAGCTGCGACGTTCCCCGACGACCTCAAAGACGTACTTACCAAGCACCATGCCGTATTGGAACCTACCCTAAGAGAGAAGATAGTATCTAGCCTTACGCTATTGCGGCGGAAAGATGTTATCGACAGCAACTATCTTCTCACTACCCTATTTCCTATCCTCATCAGCACTCCGTCCAAATCCTTAAGGATGATTCTCTACCAGAAAATCTTGAGCGACATACGGAACACGAATACGAAGACGAAAAACCACCGAGTAAACCGGACTATGCAAACCGTCCTCTATAACCTCGTTACTTCGGATCGCTCTTCTCCGAAAGCTTTATGGGCTGTCAAGCTGGTACGGGAATTATGGCGGCGCCAAATCTGGAACGACGCTAAAACTGTTGATATTATGCGCCAAGCTTGCCTGGCGGATAACGAGAAGGTAATCGCGGGAGGAGTAAGATTTTTTCTCGGGGGAGACAAAGAACGCGAAGAGTACGAGGACGAAAGTAGCGACGAGGAGACGATCGATATCAAGAAGGTTAAACACTCGATCGAGATCAAAAAGAAGACGAAGAAATCGAAAAAGGCTCTCGAAAGGGCCGTAGACAAAGTCAAGAGGCAGGACCGCAAGAAGAACGCGCCGCATCCGCTCAACTTCTCGGCGCTGCATCTGCTGCAGGATCCTCAAGGTTTCAGCGAGAATTTGTTCGAGAAGCACCTCCAAAATTCCAAGTCTAAGCTTTCTCTCGAGAGTAAGCTTCTCGTCCTGCAGCTCGTCACGCGTCTAGTCGGACTGCACAAGTTGACCGTTATATCTCTTTACTCCTGGTTCATCAAGTACCTATCCCCCAGGCAGCAGTCGGCCTCGTCTTTCTTGGCCTCGCTCGCTCAAGGGACTCACAATCTAGTACCGCCGGATGCGATCGAGCCGTTGATACAAAAGATCGCAAACGAATTCGTATCCGAAGCATCAGCATCGGAAGTCTGCTCTGCGGGTCTCAACGCGATCCGCGAGATATGCGCTCGACAACCGCTGGCGATGAATGAAACATTGTTACAGGACTTGGTCGAATATAGGAAGAGCAAGGACAAGGGAGTCATGATGGCTGCGAAGGGTCTGCTATCGTTGTACCGCGAAAAAGGCGCGGATATGCTGAGGAAGAAAGATCGTGGCAAGGACGCGACCATGGGTCTCAGGAGCGGGGGTTTGAAGCAGCCGAAGTTCGGCGAAGAGCAAGTCGGAGAAATTGAAGGCCTCGAACTTCTAGCGAGGTGGAAAGAAGAGCAGAAGAAGCAGAAGCGAGCTGAAGGAGGTTTGCCAGAAGGAGCCGAAAAGGGCGAAGACGACGAGAACGGCTGGAATTCGGACGATTGGGAAGTTGCATCAACAGACAGCAGCGACTCCGGGGAATGGATTAGGGTAAGCGATTCGGAAGACGAGGCAGAGCCCGAACCAGACGCCAAGAGGCAAAAGGTCAATCCGGATGACGCCGAGGAGGACGATAAAGAAAACGCAGAGGGCGAGGCTATCGATTTCATAAAATTAGCCACGACTCAGATTCTTACACCCGCCGACTTGGCTAAACTACGCGAGTTGCGGATGGAAGCCAATATCGATAAGGCTATGGGCGGTAGCAAGCGCAAGAAGGAGCTGGAAGGCCGACATGTCGACGAAGGATTAACGGCAGAGCAGATCGAAGCGCCATCCAGGCTGCGCAAGACTACCAAGGAAGAGCGGATAGCACTAGCGAAAGAAGGCAAGCCGGATCGTGAGGAGCACAAGTCTACACAGGCTATACGAAAATCTAAGAAGGAAGCGGAGGGTAAATCTTCGACTAATAAGGAGAAGGCACGCAAGAAGAACTTTATGATGACGCTAGGCAAGGCGAAGTCGAAGCAGAAACGAAGTCTCGTTACCACGAGGAATATCTTGAAGAATCATATCGAGAGAAGCAAATCCGGTGGCAGGAGAAGGAATGGTGTATCACGATGATCAGCGAAATAGATTAATACTTGGGCTAAGCGAGACTCGTTCGCTTTCCTGTTGTTGACGAAAGTAACTTGTTCAACTAATTTCTAAGCATAAAGATGACCTTGCCTATGTCATGACAGGAGACGGCGCGCCCGGTCCCCACGCAAATTGCATCGCTTTCAGTCTTAATATCATACATGCGCATCCATAAGAACCTGTCTAATATCATACTAGGTGATTTTATCATTTGGCCTATGCTTTTGAAGACTATTTGTGTAATAGAGGGCGGGTTTGGTACCCCTTAGACAAAATACTTGGCACAAACTGCTACGCCTTTTGGATCTTTAATTCGAAGCTATTTTCTAGATAGGTCTAGTAACAAACCCTTTAGATTAGGTATATGTTGTGGACTTGGGTTTAATTTTCATGGTTTTGTTAGGAGACATGTACTAGGATAACCATCATCGCCGTCAAAGGTATTCATCACCATCAAAGGTATTCATCACCATCATAGGAATCATCTATAAGACGTCGGCTAATATATCCGCAGAGCTTTATATACTGATTTAACCTACCCAGTTTTCCTTATGCCAATCACCCTTTTAACATAACGCTATCAAGTCCAAAACCGCAAGGCACCCATACACCGACTAGTTCTAGCAGATCGAGTGCGTCTTTCCGTGCTTGCCCTGGATCGAATGCTTTTCTTTCTATCGCCTCGAGGATTAGTATGGAATCGCGAGGAAACAATTGAAAAGGGGGGAAGGTAGAAATAGGCTTACGCGGAATCGAGGGTGGTTGTGCGTGGCCTGCCCGCTGTTCATGGTGTGCTTGCGGATAAATTCTTCTTGCTTGGCGATGGACTCCTTGTCTAGCTGTTCCAGAAGCTGCTGGCAGTACCGAATGTCTGAGATGAGGGAGTCGCATCGGTTCTTGGTGAAGTCCTCGCGGACGACCACGCGAAGCATCTTAAGGTCGTTAGTGTGCGGCGCCATGGTGTACGCCGGCACCACCCAGCCCCTGGCACGTAACTTATGCGCCAGCGCGAACTCGTCGTAGTTGCGCTCCGTTTTAGCGTCCGGCAACCGGAAGGCGACTAACGGCAGACCTTCGCCTGATTTCTTGCTCATAATTACGAAGCCTAGCGCTGCGAGGGCTTCGGATAGGTAATCGGCCGTGCGCGTTAGGTTCGACATGATGGCCCGGTATCCCTTCTTTCCTAGCCGGATCAGCTGGTAGTACTGCCCGATGACCTGGCTAGCACCCTTGGAGAAGTTCAGCGTGAAGGACGATTGGTCGGCGCCGAGGTAATTTATGTTGAAGACGAGTTCCTGGGGCAAGTATTTCGCATCCCGCCACACGACCCAGCCGACGCCGGGATAAACTAAACCGTACTTGTGGCCCGAGACGTTTATAGAGACGACCTTTTCGAGCCTAAAATCCCATTCTAGATCCGGAACTACAAAAGGGGCAACGAACCCACCACTAGCGGCATCGACGTGGATCGGAATATCGAGGTCCCTTTCTACCAGTAGGTCGTTGACGCTCTTGACGTCCTCGTACTCGCCGGTATAGGTGGTACCCAAGATAGTACAGATGCCGATGGTGTTCTCGTCGACGAGGTCGACCGTCTCCTTAGGGTCGATAACGTAACGGTCTGGCGTACAGTATACCAGCTTTTCTTCGACCTCGAAGTAACGCGTCGCCTTCTCCCAGCACACTTGCACGGCTGAAGACATGACGAGGTTGGGCTTGTCGGTAGGCTTGCCCTCGGCTACGCGCTTGTTCTTCCAACGCTTCTTCATGGCTAGTACGGCTAGCATGATAGCCTCCGAAGAACCTACGCACGAGGTACCAACAGCACCACCGCCCTCTTCGTGCTCGGTAGGCGCATTGAAGAGCCGGCCGATCATGGAAACGCATCTGTTTTGGATATCGGCCGACTGCGGATACTCCTCGTAATCGATGAAGTTCTTGGAGAAGCTTTCGGCCATGAGCTTTTCAGCCTCTTCCTCCTATTCCGTAGGGTCAGCAGATTTCCATGCGATGTAACGTCGCCGCAAGTGCCGAGAGCCAAGTTGGGCTTCGACACGGCACGTACCATGTAAGTGGTAACGAATGAGGCGAGACTATCGAAGAAACCAAGTTGTCAGCTCGTCTGCCCACGTCCGCCTTGTTTTCCAGAATGTTCCGAGGCGCCACATCGGATCACGATCAGGAGATTTATACGTATACGCCTCAACTTACTTCAGCATCGGGTTGCCGTCCAAACTCAGCTCGTCTTTGATCATGCGGTAGGCGATCTCCTTAGGCATCTCACCCTCGGGCATCTCATGCTTGGGGAGGTCTTCCGCGGCGAACCTAGAGCCGTAGACGCTTGTCGTATAGCTATCATCGTCGTTGCTTAGCTGTAGGCTGATCTTCTTGACGGCCTCCGGTAAGTTGGAATTTTCCCCGTCGGCGGGTAACTTAGCAAGATGTACCATTTTGCGCGAGGACGAGTTTCGATATGAAGTGAAAAGTATGCTAGGCAAGCAGAGGAGAAGAGATTCAGAACAGGGTTAAAGGAGCGAGGAGGCGGTAAGACGGTCGCATATCTTTATATACCTCGATATATACAGGCGCGGGAGCTCTCCAATTGCACGAACCCACGTTCCAGCGCAGCGTTTCTCTACAGGTTACATAGCACCAGCTGCTGCAGTCTACGCGGCAGGGGAACAAGGATAAGAGATGGAATAGGATGTATCATGCGGGGTACCTATAAGCAGAGCATTTCATGCATAACAGTGTACGTCGTAAAGCTATTGGAGTTCGACCCTTGACTGAGATCTAAGTCTGCATTCTTTAACAGCCATAAATGACGTGCCTATAGGTAGTGGCCACCTAGGTACCTAGTAAACGAGGCGTAGCGGTGAAGACGATCGATTTAACGGGTCTTTCGGCGTCATCCTTTTTGTACCTTTACACTACCTACGTAATAAGCAGGAGGTGAACATGAGCAGATTGATGTGGATGGGGAGCGGAAGTGTAAGATTTAAATTAAACAAGTTTTCAAACAGCCCATATCATAATGTTTGTATTCAGGGGAAGACTCAGGAACCTGAATGGACAAACAAAGAGTGATAAACAGGGAACAGGGGATGATGGTTCCGTATGTATGTGATATAGTACGTTTAGCCCATCCTCGGGTCGCCAAGGGTTGGCAAGAAAGCTTGGTAAAATTGGGCAGCCAGAAGGAAAAAGGTGGCGCACCTGGCAGCTCACTCGTTTTAGCTAACAGGGGTCAACAGGTACATTAGCAAATAGGAAAATAAAAGCGTCGTTAGTTAGTCGCGGATCTAACGGGTGCATGGAATCCGCTCGTAACAATATTCTCCTAACTCTTGCATCGTATATACAATACCTACGGCGCAACCCTCTGTTGGAAAATATTGTGCTAGAGTGCACAGAGACTCGCTGTACTCAACGAGCAACACCGAGATTTCCAGATCTTGTGCAGGACTGGACCGGCACGAGCCATATCCATGTTGTTCAAACCCGCCATAATACAGGTCTCTTTTATGCCGAGGTGGTGCATTCGCAATCACAGCCTGACTGGGACACAAGGTACTAAAAAGCTTGAGTCATCAGCTGTTATATTAGGCAATGTCCTACCCGGACATGACAGCCCACGTCATCTACATAGTAGAGTCCTTGGAGGCTTCCTGCCCAAGACATCCTTAAGCTTTACACGGCATTTTCGACGCATCATCTTACCCAAATATCGTAGTTGGTGTTATTCAGCGCTGTTAGTTTCAATTACTTAATGTTAATTGACATCGTTCCTCGACAGAATCCTTGGGCAGAATAGGGCTACGCTACCCGAACTCAGCTTACGATGTGTGGTGATTCGATCCCGGCATATATTCTGATATCTTCGACTTGTGCGTATCGCTATGCCTCCCTGATTTAGGCGTCGTCTAGAAGCCATATGTAAAGTAGTATGACAAGAGGATATAGTAAGAGAATCACGTCTTTGCTACTTGCTTGGACATTCTCTAGCTTATCAATGCGATATTGTCAAATATGGTATTTTAAAGGCCAGCAAACTAAAGTTACATTTGTTGTTAAAGCTTCAGCTCCTGAATTAGCGTTTACACGCCCGTATGATCGAGAGACCGAGCACGCCGGATATCATCGTAATAGCCGGCAACGTTTGAAATATATTGACTCACTCAAATCTTAATAGCATTGACTCACTCAAATCTTAATAGCATTGCCTTGCATTAAAGCCTTCTGAGACCAATGCAAAGCACAAGGCGTAAGTTTATGTGCATGCCTAAGATAGCAGGCACCTCTAACCCTTCACGATTAACTTCGCCATCCAGACTAGTTAGAACTTACCTCTTCCTCCTAAGCCACTAGAAGCTAACTCGGGGAAGCTCTTGCGTCTCGTATATTTCGCCACCTACCTAGATACGTAACTATTTAACTTAACTCTCCTTCCTCTTGCCTTCCCCAGTTACTCTTTTGCGTCTACCTGTCATAATAGTCCTGTTCTTCACATAGTAACCATCTTATAGCTTCTCAGCTAACGACAGCCGGTGACATTTCAATATATGCCTCCGACCCGAAGCGAAATACCCGAGGCGCATATAGGATACTTCATATCATTAGTCCTCGTCGCCCATAGCAAGTCATCCTCTCGGTAGCAAGTAACGGCAATCGCTACGCTCTTCGCTTTGAAAATCCAACCCATATCAAGAGCCCTACGCTTCTTAGTTCCTAATGGAATCTTCACAATTACCCTCAAATGGCGACCGTCAATCTCAGTCTCCCAACCGCGAATCGACAAGCCCCAAGGGGAAACATGAGAACACCCAGAGAGCCTCGCTAGCGACGGTTGCACAGCTTGACGATGATGGTAGAAGTTTCTACGATACCTTATTAACACCGTGGACAACGACTGTCGAGAGCGATCACTTTACAAAATGGACAGCAACAAAAGGTGGTAGCCATAATTCTCCTACCAACGTCCAGCAACCGCAAGCCTCCACAGCTACGACCACAGTTACGACCACGGTATTGCATGAATATCGGTTCGGAGCAAAAAAAAAGCAGGGTCGGAATACGATAACATGGGGTATGAATAGACATTCCGCACTCAGTTTAGCTATGAGCCTGAGCGAGCGCGGCGCAGTAAAGAGTCCTGGCTCAAGCAGCTTGACGGATATACAGGCAGCCTCTCTCAAATTACCCGAGTTGCGAACAACTCAGCCTAGCCAGGCAGACGAGAAGCCGGAGCTCCCACCATTGAAACAGCTGATCTGCGAGGCGAAGACTGCCAACAAGCGTAGGAAGCGAAAAGGTAAAAGAGAGGTAGGCGAACCCGCAAATAAGAACTGCTTAGGGACACCGGATCAAGATATGTCGCAAAACGGATCTCTCAATGGCTGCTCGTTACCGAATATGCAGGCGGCAAACCCCAACGACGAAGATTTAATTAGTCTAGCCGAAGTAGCAGTAAGCAGGTGTGAAGCGATGAAAGTATCAGAAGAGAAGAAAGCAGATTTTCTTCTTGGGGTAACCGACCCTGATATTCAAAGCTTGCCGGGAGCCGCGGATGTGGTATCATCTTTGAGTACAGAAAGTAAGAAGACAGCCACGAAGACAATCTCCGAGAAGCATAACGAGACTACGCAAGACAGCGCATCCGAGGGTCTAAGTAAAGATGAGACGCAACCAACTAGATCTACGCGAGAGAATATCGAATCCGTTGTTGTAGAAGATACGTCTAGCACTAGGGATAGTTTATCCCAAGCGAATACCCTCTACGAGTCGATGTCGACGCGTGAGACTAGCCCATCCAATAACGATATCCAGGAATCTTCGGAAGTCGGCCGGTCTAAGAATAACACGCTACGAGGGCCGGAACAAGATACGAAGATGGATGAGTCCGTCGAGAGAAAGGGAACTCCTCTCAATGGATGTAGTAAAAAGAGCGGAAGCCTAAAGGATAAGACGGAAGAGGAGGAGGAAGCAATTGCGGCCAAAGAGAGGAGAAAGAAAGAGAAGAATACCAAGAAAAGAGAGAGAGAGAGAAGGAAGGCCAGGGAGCGATGGGAGAACAAACAAAAGATGGAAAGGGCTAAGCAAGAGCTCAAGGAAGCGAGGAGGACAGAGCAAGAAAGGTTGGAGCTGGAGAAGTTGGAGAAGTTGGAGGAGGTCAAGAAGGCGCAAATCCGCGAGCTAAAGTACAGCGAGGGCAAAGCGGAAGTTGAGCAACCAGGTACGACTCGGGAACCGGAATACGAGATAGGTATGGCCGAGAAACCGGGAGATAAGGCTCGAGAGGACGAAGAGGTTCGTGAGCACGATTACCCCGCGACCCAAAGAGAACAAGACCAGGTTAGCCGTGGTGAGGCTAGCCATAGTGAGATTCGGGCTGGAGGGAAATGTGAAGAATCCGAAAGCATTAGGGAATGGCTACAAGAGGTTAGGGAGCATCAAGAGAATAAGCCTCTAAAGAGCTACCAAAATGACGACGAAATAAATCCGTCTCCTGTCCAAAAAGTCAACCGTGGGACCAAACTACCGGACCGGGAAAGGGAGGCAGAACCTATCTTGACGACTTACGTTACGGATGAGAGCAAGTCAAGAGATCCAGAAGAAACAGAAGAGGTCATTACAGGAAAAGTTCAAAAATCTAGAAATGAGGTGGACGATGCTAAGAAATTATCTAACGGCGCACACAATCAACTCGAGTATCAGCAAATATCTGACCCTCAATCCCCATCATCACCGACAGGCTTCGAGTTTAGAAAGCAGTCGTCGTCCCCTGGATTTTCACAGCAACTTGATAAACGACTAGACGCACCTCCTACTGAACTTCAGTACAGTGACCAACCCCAGCAGCGAAGACTTACAATATGCTCGTCCCAAATCGAGCCTTCTCAGCCATCGCTTATCTCCCAACAGCCGGTTCAGCCTCAAACATCCGAAGCACCTTGGTCTCAGTCTCAAATGTCTCAACCACTTGAGGCGCCTCAGGCGTCTCAAGCTTTACTAGGCCTCCTTAGAGGACCAAATTCCAAAGGAAAAGCGAAGCAGGCATCACCGGATGTCACGATTGATCGACCGTCCGAGGTCGATACTCGACGGCAATATTTTGAAGTACAGTATCCTCAACCTTCACAACCCCAGTACTATAACGAGCCCATGCCTCGATGGCCTCAATCATTACCAATTCCACAGGGCTATAATAGAGATAGGACGGATTTGTATCGTAACGGCCAAATGAAAGGATGGACGCGGTCGCACCAGTCTAGACACGGTAGCCAGGAGAGTGATTATGCCAGCCGAGACTCCTCGACTGATAGCCAAGGAAATAGCAGCGGCATGGCCACATGCGGATGTACTCGTGAGTCCACTGCCGGATCTTCTCGTGGTCGAGCTAGCCCTCCAAACTTTCAACGTACAAACCGTGAATTTGGCAAGGGAGACCGTCGAAGCAGACAAGATAGATATGAATCCGGGTTAACACGATATGAACTTGAGGACATGGCTTGGGAATTGAGTGTTATCAGTCGGCGGGTGCAAGACATCGGGTCTCGGTTGTGGTCTACGACAAGAAGGACTCGCGGTTCAGAATATTAAAGTGAAGGTTGCTAGAAAGTTGAATTAGAGCGGGTGTAGGTGTTGCTAAGTTCTACAGGTACATCAGCGTATGAATGAATGATACAAGTCTTTTTCAAAACACAGGATATTTGGGATAAGTGCGTAGTGTTAAAAGGAAGAGGGAATAGCCCCTTTTTGGTTATGCGTCTAGGTTAAGGGAAGATGAAGTAATCGTCACACTACGGAGCAGTCTCGGCTAATCATCGGGGTTAAGAGGAACGGGATGGGAGTACGTAATACTAAGGAAATATGGAGATGACCTAGTAAGTGGAATGACGGAAGGTACCAACTGTACCTAGCTAACACCACCTAAGATGTACATAATAAAAGCAAAGATGACGGGATGGAATTCATAATAATACGTACCTCCTAACGTACCTTAGGTACCTAATATAATATTAAATGCCAGACATGCAGACATACCACCCGCATTGTCCCCATACTTAAGTCTCCATATCACCTGCCTAGATACTTAGGTAGATATACACGTACATGTTTCGCATGTACATGGTGACATTCTTGGACCAACGTTGCATAAACCATAACCCATAAAACCATATTTCGTATCATCACGGATACATCATCACCCTCGCTTTTCGAATTTCTAATTTCTACCTAACCTTACCAACTCGTAACTCCATGTCTGAGCGCTAATAAGAAAGAAACAAAAGAGCATAAGCTAGACAAGGCCGACAGACAAGTCATCGAGCTCGACCATGATTCCTAGGAAGCCAACATGGATCCCGAGTCAAATGCGCCGCTGGAGCGATCGACGTCACAGCTCTCTGCAGCCTCAACCTCGGCAAAGATGTCCCGAAGCCACTCGACACGCGCAAAGTCGAAGCCAAGGAAGCTGATCTCGCAGCCTTCTAGTTCAGCATCGTCTATCGCCGCCTCTGACAAGTCTCTTACCTCCTTCCCCTCATTTTCTCCCCAATCCCCGCGCGACGAGCCGTCCTTCACCACCCTCGAGTCGAATATATCTATCGTAAATGCCGACGGCAAACCTTCCGTAGCTCCGATTAGGACGTCCATGGTTGAAAGCTTGACTTCGGCCGAGGCCCAGAAGATGGCGCGCGACGCGCTATTCGATGATGCTCCCATAACAGCATATAAGATACCCGGTGCTCTTCATCACGCTAGCGATGACCATATACAACATCTTATTGCGAAGCATGGGGCTATTAACCTCGTGCGCCAGGTCGCCGAGGACCTTGCACATCGCGATATGGAAATTTCCCGACTAAGAAGGAGAGCTGATGAAAGAGAAAGAGCGCTTAGGAAAATAATACGTGGATGCGGATTGTCGAGCTTAGATCTCGAGACGAAGCTCCGTTCGGTAGAGATAGAGCTTCAGGCGCAGGAAAAGATTAAATATGCTACGAACGGGGACGTTTCTGGCATGATGAACGATGCGATGCACGATTCCATGTCCTACAAAGCGCTAGGGATAACAGATATAGACGACAGCACGGTCAGAGCCAACGCCCTGTCCGTTCCGAGGGACAGCGGCACGGTCAGTAAAGGCACGATGAAAGCGTGGAAGGAATATCTATGGGGCGGCGGCAGTAGGAAGGCTAGCAGAGCAGCCAGTATTAACGAAGAGGGCGCAAAGACCGCCATTCGTGCGTCGACACCAGGAGACCGCCGCCCTCCTATCCAGGAAGACCTCTTCACCCCGCCGGATGCCGAGTCTGCGCAGAGCTCAAGCCGCGCTTCCAGCATCTACTCTGCGCATACGAATAGGAAACCCTCGTCGTCTTTTGCTAGCATGGCTTTACAACTTGTGGTCGGGAAGGGCTCTTCGATGCGCGATTCTGAATCTACTAGAGGAAGATCAAATTCGGCGGGCCAGGGCGGTTCTGTGAGGTCGTCATCAAACGCTAGCACCAAGACGGGCGCCTCTAACAGAGCCGGGTCTACGCAAGGGGGCCCCAAAGCGCTCATGTCGATGCGACGAGCAACTCCTAAACCCGGAAATCTGCAGTTTTCCAGGCCGCGTGAAAGGTGGGAAAGCGTAGGCGCGAGCCCGGAAAGCCCGTCTGCGACGAGGTCAGATAATAATGTCCCGGTCGAGATGGATACGATATTTTCCCCTGAAGGTCAACCGCCGGCTTTATCGCAACTCTATAATAACTACAATAGCGCCGAGTACCTGATCGACCGCTTCGGCTTTATTTACGATCAACGTCGAAAGAAGAGGCAGCGCGAAGCCGCCAAGGTCGCTTCGCGGATAAAGAATGGACATGAGATGCTTTCTAGCGGAAGGTCTAACCTCTCGCCCAACCTGCTCGACGACGACGCAAGTTCTAGCGGGGATGCTAGGAGTGACGATCGTCCGGAGAGCCCGACCTCTATCGAGGGCCTCGCTGATCAAGGCAGGGCGAAACGATGGCAGGATTATCTGAAGATTGCTACCTTTCCCACGGAACTTTTATCGCATACTCCGTCTATAGCGGCACCGAACATAGAGGTGCTTGAAGGAAGTGGATCCAAATCTCCAGGACTGATCAATACGGGCGACCGCGGATTCATCCCGACTGCGACTACTACCACTGCGGCTCTGGATAGAGAAACGAGCCCAGCAAAATCGGAGGAGGAATCGCCTACGGCTACGCTAGTTCACGAAGATGTCGAACCGGTTAAGCTCCTGTTAAAGCAGTTGAGCGACGTTCACGACACCCTACAGAGAGAAAAGTCTGTGCGTTGGAATGAGTTTTTGAGAAAAGTACGCGCCGAGCGCCGACGCGAGGGCGAGGCAGCGGCTGCTACTGCCGCCGCCGCCGCCGAAGCTCGTTTCCAGACAGCTCCGGTCATGATTCCCGAAGCCAAGCTTACCGACGGCGAGACTATCGGTATCGCGGATCTTGGGGTCAAGGGAAAAGTTGGGCGCGCTAAATGGAACGAATTCAGGAACCTGGTGCTCGGCGGTATCCCCGTGGCAAACCGCCCCAAGATCTGGGCAGAATGCTCTGGTGCCCTCTCTAAACGAACCCCCGGCTACTACAGGGACCTTATCTCGCGACCTAGCGAACTTGATGATGCTGTCGTCATCTCGCAAATCGAGATGGACATCAACCGTACGCTTACCGACAACATATTCTTCCGTAAGGGGCCCGGTGTCCCCAAGCTCAACGAAGTTCTCCGGGCATATGCTAGGCACAACCCCGAAGTAGGATACTGCCAAGGCATGAACCTAATCGCTGCGAATTTGCTGTTGATAATGCCATCTGCCGAAGATGCCTTCTGGGTTTTCGTATCGATTATCGAACGTATCCTACCGCAGGGATATTACGACCATAGCCTAATGGCTTCGCGCGCGGACCAGCACGTACTACGCCAGTACGTAGGCCAAGTCCTACCAAAGCTATCTCAGCATCTCGACGCGCTAAACATCGAGCTGGAGGCTTTGACATTTCAGTGGTTTCTCAGCGTCTTCACGGATTGCCTATCAGCCGAGGCTTTGTTCCGCGTATGGGATGTAGTACTATGTATCAACGATGGTAGCACGTTTCTATTCCAAGTCGCGTTGGCGTTATTAAAACTCAACGAGCGCCAACTACTACAGTGCGATGCGCCTGCCGCAGTCTACACGTACATCAACCACCAGATGACCAACCACGCCATCAGTATCGACGGCCTGATCCAGGCCTCCGAGGGCTTGCGCCGCGTCGTTCGCCGCGAGGATGTCGAAGAACGCCGGAATAAGGCTATCGAGGCTGATAAGCAGATGGCGCGGGAACGTGAGGAGCGCAACGCGAAACGTCGCGCCGAGCAGATTTCGCAAAAGGGCACGTCGGTGCCTGCGCTCATTGCCGAGCCTAGTACCTCCGCGGCCCCGAGTCTTGCCGTACAGGCTGAGAGCGAGAGCAGCAGCGTGACCGGGTTGAATATTTTGGACGCGGTCGGGGAGGAGGCGGAAGAAGAAGGCACCGGACCGGCACGGACACCGGCAGAAGAGGAAACATCATTCGGGCTAGGATAAAAGTGGTGCTGGAATACGATTGAGAAAGTACAAGTACAAACCCGTAAAAGAATAAGGCCAAAGGAGTTTATTTTCTCGGCGCAGAATAAGTGGTAGGTAGCTGGTCCGGCTGGTGGACATACGAGCATTATTACCCTAAACGGCTGGCGGCTTCTTGCATCGATATCGAATGCGGGAGTTTGCGTCTTTTTTCCTATTTCTTTTGTTGTTCTCCCCGTTTTAGAGATTGGACCATGCTTGCATGCCATGATACCCCCCCTCTCGGTCGCGCAAAATTTTTATTTTCTTTCCTTTTCCTATTATGGACAGTTCAGTCAGGAAGACGGAGTAGCCAGACAGACGTGACAGACAGATGTCACTTAGCCGCATGTAGAAGGGGGAATGGACGAGACATCTGGCTACGCGAAGGTAGCCAGATAGCAGATGATACCGAGTGTACGGGATGGTATGGAAGACATCCCATCCCAGCTGTCATACGGCAAGGCTATATAAGGCGAAAGGCGACGGTGCGCGAGTAGATGAATAGAATTATATCCAAGTGCGACGGAATGTCGGAGCTATCGGTACGGAGCCAGAATTCAAGGACAATTTATACTTACCGTTAACTCTTTTCTCCCGGGGTGTTTGCATTTTCAGTGATTTCGTAAGATCGTATATATACCTACGTGAGATGTAAAAATTACTTTAAATCAACTAACTAAAGAGTCCTACATGAGATGCCACTAAGCCGATGGGATACATACACGCCTTACGTAGTAGACAAAAAAGTATGGATAACCAAGAATCGACGTATAGGGATAAATCAAATATTTGCAAAAAGTAAACTCCGAATCGGGGAATCGAACCCCGGGCTTGACGGTTCTTCAGGGTCAGGAACCTTGAGAGCGTCAAATGTTAGCCACTACACCAATTCGGATTTCGATTGCTAATTGGATGAATGTTGCATCTGCTAATTTTCTCTATGAATATACTGCGGATAGGTGCATGCTTAGCGCCTTATGCTACGTACGTATCCAGAATAGCGTCAAAATAACTGGCGCGATTTACTAACAATTATGCTCGTAGGTGCGCCACCTTTTTGACTCTATTCTGGTATGTAAAGTCAGCCGCCCATCGGACACATGTAACGCAGGTTTTATGAATGATAGATAATTTTACGCGTTCATTATAGAAATTTATTGGTGTTAACCCAAAAGGAACCTTCACATAAATCAATTCTCATACATCATGTTCCACGGCTATAATGCAACTCGATTCGCTTAATGTCTTCTTCTTTTTTACAGTGCTCCGCTCCATAAATAGTAATGGCAATAGCAAGCGATGCTCATATCTACACGTCAAGAACTCATTAAGAACTTCGCGGCCACCCCTTTCCACCGCCCCCTGCGTCAATCCTAGGCTCCGCTCCGTTCAACTCATCAATCACATCTCAACCAGACTACTTACTATCTATCCTAGGCATAGTGCTAAGAGGAATAAGTCTGGAACAATCCTATGTCTGCTAGGCGCGAACGCCACGCCCCCATTATTCTGAAGTTTTGTAAACTTTTTATACACGAGTCTTCCTAACCAGACTCAAATGTAGCCCCTTGCCATGCAGCATTAACCAGCTTCTCCAACGCTGTAGATGCGTCTTGTGCAATAGTCGAGAGCATCGTGATGAACTCGTCCGTCTAGGGTGAGATGCTCGTTCTGCCGAAGAATAGCTTCCCCCAACTCCTTAACCGAGCGGCATGTTATTACCAAAATTTCCCCTCGCATATTCCCTGTGAACACCTTTAAGTAGTAGTACGCGTTACCGCGCAAAGACCTTGACGATTCCATCTCCCCCTCCGCTAACAACCCATCGACCGTCTTGGCTCCACACGACGGCGCATACGCCCTCTCCTCTCATAATTCGGTGGCTGGTAATCTCTTGAGTACAGGTTCGCTTTTCTAGGGACCAGAATCGAAGGCTTGCATCGTGGCCGGCAGATACGAGCTCGCGGCCGTCAGGGCTAAGAGACAGGGACGATATCGATGCCGGGTGGGCGAGCATGTTATATGTGCATTGACCTTGAAAGAATTAGCGATATGTGCATACTTACGGTATCTCTAGAAGCTTACCGCTATTGGCATCAAAGAACATTATAAAGCGGTCTTCGTGCCCTGATATAATAACGCCCTCGACCCCGCTACCAGCTGTGCCCGTACCACCAGTTGGACCACCGGCCTCTTCGTCACCCAGGCCCGGTCCAGAACTTTGATCGAGGCCCGCCGTAGTTGCAACGACGGCATTGACGCTCGTGCCAATTGTATTGTCGTACGTTTCGAGGCTAGCCATGGAGCCAATTTCCTCCCCGGTCCTCGTATCGAACACGATGATAGCAGCGTCCGAATAACTGACTACAAATGCCTCCCCGCTGGCTGATAACGGAGTAATGCACGTCGGTGACGCCCGGGATCCGTTAGAGCGGCGGATGTCATGTATCAACGTATAATGGAACGGCGAACTCGAAGCCATGTTTGGTTGAGGAGAGCTTGGGAACTGAGATCCGGAGCTCATAGAGTTACCTCTGACTCGGCCGCTTCCGGTGCTCCGTCTTGGCGGCCCCGGTTGAGGTGAGGTGAGTTGTGGCGGCGCACTAACGGCCCAGATCTTCACAGCGCCGTCGGCCGCTCCGGAGGCGACCAGGATGCGATCCGGGGTGCCGTAAGGGTTTGATTGGCCAAAAACGGCGCCGAGAGTCGCAGGAAGTACGCATATAGCCCAAACAGCGTCGCTATGGCCGTCGAGCGTCGCCTTCGGATCCACCCTACCCCGTTCCCATACTCTGATGGTCGCATCCTGCCCACCGGAGAATATCCATCCGTCACCTTGGGCACGACCGCCGGTCGAAAAATTAGGAGAAGGAGACCAAGACGTCAACGATAACACGGCGCCGGTATGTCCACGATGGGTGAAGTCAGCTGGCACATCGAGATCGGACGACACGGCCCCAATATGGCTTGGGTTCTCGCGCGGAATGTGGAAACGCTTGATCAGTCCGTCGTCGCCTGCTGTGCAGATTTCTGGCTCTCCGGGACTTCCGCCTCCGGAAAATATTACGGTTCGGACGGTATTAAGATGGCCACGCAATCCATATCGCAACTTGAAGCTACCGCTCTCTGATTTTTGCACAGCACCATTTAGAGAGAGCTCCTGCTCCGCACTTTTCCTGCGAGACATAGAGGTCTTCCGCCTGTGAGAATTGGGGCCGCGATTAGGAGACTGGGGTACGCTGTCAGCGTTGGGAAACGCGTCCGTGTCCGGACGGTGCGTAAGAGGTTGTAATTGCTGCGCCGCAGCTGTATCGGGGAAGGTTCCTTCGCCAAAATCCCAGCCATCCCCCTCGATCGGCGCTCGCTTCTCTAACGGACTCTCACTAAACTCGGAGCGCGGAGGCTCGTTAAGATGATTTGGTTTTGCGTTCGGGTCTTCTTGCATACGAGCACCCGGTTGGTTGGGGGCCGGCCACTCGCCGGGGTGCGAATACATCGGGGCGGCACTCTCCCCCGACCGAACCATAGGGGCAGATTGTAAATTCGGGTTCTCTGGCGTCGACAAGTTAACGTTATGCGGCATTCTCTGACCGTGATGATTATTCGTGTTTGCAGCACCCTGGCGGGGCGCCGGATCCCTCGCGTGGTTTTGACTAAGTCTCAACGCCTGGAAAGCGGTATCGAGCGGTTGTTGGGAGATAGGTAGTCCAAAGTCTCCCTCTCTCAAGTCGTCCATCATAGGCAAGGGCGGAGATTCTCGAGGGGGCATAGGATTGGCGGGTGAGACCATTAGGTAGGTAAATTCGGCTTGGCACTGGTCCAAGAAGACCCTAAGGTTGTCGCGCTCCTCGTCCTCTTGTACACGTTCGCCGACGAGACCCTCCAAGCCGGGCACCGACTCTTTCAGTCTCTCGTCCGATGCTAGAATAAAGTCAATACTACACAGCCATAGAGTCTTTCGTCTCGATACGTACATTTGAGCTTCTCCTGTATCAAGGCAGCTCTATCGATCTTCTGAGGTTGCTTCACGGAGTGGTCCGTGGCGGGAGCGGCAGAAGAAACCTTCAGCTTCGCAGCTTGGTCTTTGACCTTCTTCTCTAGGATAGCGACATATCTTTTTAACGCCTTTTGCGTAGCGTCTGCTCTTCTAGCGGAACCTTCGAGGGCGGCTATTCTACTCTTCATCTCCTGACGTTCGATCTCCCAGGCGTTTCTATCTCGCTCGTGTCGATGCCACTCGGTCTGAAGGAAGCGCATAACACCTATTCGCCGAGCGCATGTAAGTTAGCCCAGAGGAGTCAATGAGAAATGAGTCGAACATACCTTGTAATGTATACTCGGTAGCATGCGGCTGATTTGACGGATTACCGGGCAATCCTCCGCCAGATAGTTCCTGGCCGCCACCGAGACCACCAGCACCCGACATACCGGATCCGTTCCCACCGTTTCCCATAGCGGAGACCTGTTGCCAACTCATGGAGAGTTGAGTTTCCGGCTTAGCAGATTGACGGTGTTCAGCCCTCGCAACCGTCTTCACCGTTTAGTTTGTGGTCGACTTCTCAACATGCGCATTTGCGTTCCAAGTGCCCTCCACGAAATACGACCTTGTGTCGGAGAGGGAGAAGATGCGACGGTGGGGAAATCAATTGGCCCAACGTCTCGTGAATAGAATGGAGCAGATCGTTAGCGTAATTAGGTTAGGTACGTTTCTCGTTCGCAAAATATCGAATATTCGAATAAAGTCGCGGTTGCGGAAGTAAGAAAGGAGTTCTCGTTCGTGGGGGATTAGAAGAAAAAAGAATTAAACAGGGCCAGTAATGAGCGAAGAGAATCGAGTGAATACAAATTGTTGGACTCGAAATAAATGCGTCGCAGTGCGCTATAGCAAACTACTCGGCGGTGCGATTTCGTATCGTGCCGTAACGCGTGATGGGAATATCCCGACGTTATGTTATCGTCAGTCTAAATGGCAGAAGTTGAGAATTCCGAGACGTGATGGATTTGGAAAGCTGTCAAGGTCGGCTTGCTGGCCTGCAAAGAGGACAGTACGTACTTCTGGCATGCTCTTGGTACGTATTCCCCAAAACTTGTGCCAGATTAGGTCATTGCCGCCCCGAACCACTTCTAAGCCGGCCAATCAAGTAACTGCCACACAAGGTAAAGCCAAAACTTCCCCTGAAAGCTGTGTTAGCAACTGTGTTTATCTGTGATATAAGCTCGGACCACTGCAGCACCCTAAGCTGCTGTGGAATGATATCTTATGTAAGCCGCCGCGATCTCCGATGCCATCACCGTCGACCTCAGTTCACCAGCCTACCTATATCCTCCAGGTACATAGAGGGAGATATTTCTCTCGTTTTCCCCTACGGTTCCCCCGCACTTTTAACAGCGTAATATTGTTCCTAATTACAACTCTCAGGCCAGTATCACCTTAATATTGCATCCTTGTCTAAGTTGTAGGCGTTTCGGCCAGTAGCTTGGACAAAGCCTTCTCTATCAGATACCTAGCAGGTACGGTATGAGACCGATACTATAGATCTTCTTTTTTCTTGCCACTCGAAGCGCACCTTTTTGGGTCTCTCGTTTTCTGGTGACTTTAGGTTTTCGCATATGCGATCCAACCTACATTTAGCCCATGCCCATTATTTCCCGCCACGCTTGCTATGCACATTGCAAGGCGATATATCCCCAGAAAGCGATCGTACTTAGCTGATTACCACTCGAGTAACGGGAACAACAAGAAGCGCAGCAAAATTATTTTGAAGACACGGGTAGGTTAAGCAAGAGGTAGTCTGTTGTTGCGTCCTTTAATTCAAGTATTGCGGTTGTTCGGATACAACCAGGGTAGCGGGAAGATGATGTGGGTTGGATTTCCGGAATAGAAGCGAGAACGATCTTAGCAATGCTTCGTCGTGTTCTAACATAGGAATATTCAGAAATTATTACGATTGGCGTACCGTAGCTTTTATAATCAAGTAAATTCCATATTGACGTTTCATCAACTACCATGTTCAAGGTGTTTCGGTTAGACATCTAACCGTGGCTCATATATCTATTTTGGCATATATCTATTTTGGCTAGTGTCAGTCTTATTACAGTAAGACTCTTACTTACCGAGGTGATAAGCAACCCTCAGTTTATCAACACATAAGTTGAGATCCTTTGACGAACATCTCAAAGTTCACCTTCTTTTCCATTTAAATAATGTCTAGGTCGGAAGGAGGCAAAGATGCGCCCATAGGGCTAACCATCTTAGAGTCCTTAAAGCCGCTCGTCGGTATCGAGAAGGTTGAGGCTTATTTGAAATTGGCCTCGAAACCCCAGGATTCGAAGAATCATGTAAGCTCATCCCCCGCAATTCTCGTCCTTTGCATCGACACATATCCAGTGAGATTGCTCATATCTGCTCTATCATGCTTTATACCATCGGTATTTAGTTACACTATTCTTATTTGACACAGAGAGGACGCATGAGAATTCAAAGAGTTAACGACTTATAACGAACATCTGATATCTGGATCTCGGAGGACAAAATCCGCTCGACTTAAACACGGGAAATGATAGAATATACAATACAACCTACTAACTATATCCCAGGAATGGATGACAACTATAGCGCCTTACTTGTCTATCGTCTCGCACTCGTCCTCTCCGCCGCATCCTAGCATCACTTTCCGATTTACTGTGCAGCCTATCCATAGCAACGGTCTCGGTAATCTGCACGGCGGATGCGCATCCACTATTTTTGATGCATGCACTACGCTGCCGCTGCATCTTATTTCGAAGCCTGGTTTTTGGCAATATACGGGCGTCAGCCGTACGCTGAATGTTACGTACCTACGACCGGTTCCGGTTGGTACCGTCGTCGATATCAAATGCGACATCTTGCACGCCGGCCGCAAATTATGCGCTCTAAGAGGAGAGATGAGGTCCGTAACCGAAGACGGCCGAGAAGGGCCTTTGCTGGTTGTTTGTGAGCACGGAAAGGCCAGCACAGATCCGCCAGTCGGGAAGTTATAGACATCTTTCTACGTTCGGTTCCTATGTGATATAGTGAGAAGTAGCGGCATGAGTTTCAGGATAAGATTAAAGAGACGTCTTAAAGACAAGCTACCTAGCTACGTATTATATGTAACAAAAAAGCACCAAACATAAAAATTTGCCCTCAACTCGAATAGATATCCCAAAAAGGAGACCTACCCAAGCTAAGTCAAGCTATTATCTAACTCGTGTCGTAGGTACATATATTTTCCATCCTTGGATGTACGTCATTTGAGTACCTAATCATAATAGCACTGCATACCTATGTAAGTTGGGACTTTTGGCAGTAAATGTCCAACAAGAGGGGGGCCCCCGCATATTCTGAGCTGCATACCTCCTACCTCTGTACGAACCATTGGCGAACTATAAGTAAGGCGGAAGCGAGGCAACTGACGCCGTTATTCTTAGTCGAATTCGGTAATACTTAAGCTAATGTGGGTGAACCCGGCCAATTGTATTCTCGATGGCTCGTCTCTTGTACTTTGTATATATTCTTTCGATACTCATTTTGCTAAGGTATATATATACTCAATTCAGCATCTACATATTGTATTGCATCGAGGTCTTCATTATAAAAGGCTCCTTCTCCCACCGTCTATTCTTGTTGGAAAACATGACAGACAACAAGTCACTTAGGAATAAGGATCAATCAGTCTTCATATAATCTTGTGTTTATTCCTGTTTATATCGGTCTCCAACTCCAAGTGACCATGCATAAGCTATCCCAAGTGTCCGTCAATGAGTATGCCCTGAGCATGCTTTCTCATTCTTTATCGTCCACGACCTGCTCTTATTTCTTGGCTGGAAGTCCGCTGTACAGTCTTGTGCTTATGGCGGATCATCGCATTGTCTTTTATATGGTCCCACATCGTTCTGTTGCATGAAGCTTTGAACATTTCCCTGTTACTCCCAATCTATCCTCAACCCCGAACCTGATTCAACCAGAACTAATGTCTCTTCTTGACTTAGCTCTGCCAAATCCGAGGGAGCCAGTGTCAACTCCCACAGCAATCAAGGCCAACACTCTACGAGCATCCACAAGTACACGGCCGGTGTATTAAGTGGCGATGCCCCCGTCAGCACTCTCATCGGGCTGAGGAACACCGACTTGAACATAGCTCCTCGATACGCTAAGGTCCATGGCGAAGTCGAGGACGCCTTGGCAAAGCTCGCCCAGAGGCCGAACCAGTATGTTTCGTTTCGTCTGTCTTATACCTCCACGCACGATATGCGCCGCATTTGCAGAGACTTGAACCTGTCGACGAACCATGTGGTCGCGCATTGTTCACTTGTTCCCCTACTCTATTCTTCGGGGCGACATGAGATCGTTGTACAAACTGCTCAAACGTGATTGGCTCAATAATGAAACAATTCTATAATAGGTTTATACTAACCTAGCGAATTTTTTGACTGGTTCAATTCGATAAGTTTGTATCGAGACCTTCTGTCGCTTCTGGAGATAGTAACCTGAGTTCGACTTTTATTTTAGTTGGGAAATTTCACATAACCCTTTCTTCTCATAACTAAAGAACATGCTAATGCAATCATAGGTAAGGTTATTGAGCCTATTGAGCGGCGGGATACGATATCATGTAGCTCGGTACATATTTATGATAGCGGAAGCGAGGCGTCCGGCGCAGGATACCAAGAGTTGGAATTATGGTGGCAGAATGGCGTCAGAAATATACTATACTAGCCACCACAGTATGGGGCATGTTTCTTGACGGCATTCCGAGTGGGCCACATCTCATCGGGGAGAATGTACGTGTGCATCGCAACTTTGGCCTGGTGGATATCACCTGAGAATAAAAACATTAAATTAGATATCAAAAGTTCGTATACGAACCGTGACCTCCCACATAATAGTACAGGCGCTAGGGTCTAGAACGACTCCCCGATTCTTAGTACATATGGTAGATCACCGCGGTCCTCCCTTGTCGCAAGCCGGATGACAGAAGACTGGGAAGCAGACCTAAAACTTGCGCTCGATTTTCGACTGGCAGGGTATGGTCGCCAAGTCTGCGCGAAACTCCCCCCGTTACTTGAGCTGGTAGACTGCGATGTCCTCCTATCACCGAACTTACTCCTCGGCGTCGTCGGCGCGGTACGATACTGGTGCCAGGTATGGGTCGAAGACCTGCGGTCCGGCAAGGTCAGCCTACGGGCACGCGAGCGCGTGCTACTCCCGCTAAGACTAAGGGAACTTGACCCACTCCGCGTAGGCGTAGTCGGGTTGGTATCCCGAGGGGCGTCATCGTCGATATGCCCGTCGCTTTCGGAGTAAGCGCCATTAGGACTGCGAGGTTCGTATAAAGAGGCTGCGTCCAGAGGTTGCATTGCACGTAGAAGCTCGGCGAAAAGATGCATCAGCTGCCGAAAGTGTGCATTAGACATGGGGCGAGTGGAGAAGCGGGCACGCTCATAGCTATCAAGGAACTCGAATGCCTCTTGGGAGCTCGACAGCACGCCAATACCGATGAGGTGCATGACGTAGTCCCTCATCGTCATGTTAAAACGGCGCTGGAGGAGAGAAACCGAGTCCGCATCAAACATTGGCGGGTTCATAGCAGAGGTCGGATCCATTGGTGCTTGAGAGACCGCTTTAGCTTCGATCAGGTTCGGTAACTCGGAGAGGACTGTGCTATATTGAAGGTTGGCCAGATCTGGTGAGCTTGGCGAACCCCAGCCGTCGTGCTCGATCTCGCCCCAAACGGGGCGCAAGGGAGGAAAAGAGATACCCAGCTGCTCTTCTACTGTTGCAGGTGATTTCGGCTTGAATAACTGAAGAGACCGTCTTGGCTTCTTTATATTCTTATCGGTCACCGATTCCTCCTCTGGGACATCTTCCAATGATGTCGCTCGGATTACCGGCGCTATGACCTTTGGATGCGCCCCCAACGCGATGGCGGCACTGCGACCGAGGTCGGTAGCGATCACTTTGCGGACCTCCTTAGGGACATCTCCCTTCTCGATGGGTATCCAGGTTTTGGGTATCGAGGCCAGTACAGTCCGGGTAACATACAGTCGCAAGATGTAAATGAATAGAACAATTAGTACAGTAAGGACGAAGACGATGGCGAGGACGATTAAGTTGATGTATTGACCGGAGGGAAACAGATCCTGGCGGATAAAATCGCCGGGAACGACAAGAAATAAAGCGGCGAGGAGAAGACACAATAGAAGATAGATGGAATTGTAGACTATGCGAGAGACAAGGTTGGTGGCGCTCTTCATTATGACGCGCCGGGTATTAGGATCGAGTATTATAACATTCTTGTGTCGCGCGGCACAGGGCGGCTAAGGCTCCGGCTATTAGGCGACGAGCGACCAAGTTGAAGGAGCGTGATCGAAGTTCATATTAAGAGACGAGTATTCATGACGATTCTTTAGGCCGTGAGATAGGATTAAGACCTGTCAATTATAAGATCCATTGAGGGCTACGGGAAGGCATCCTAGACGGATGGGGGAAGAAAGGAAGAAAAGTAAGGGTGAAGTTGAGATAACCGTGTTTGTAATTCACCAGGAGATTAGATTGTATGATGCTATTTGCAGGGGTTAATGCCGCCCGGGATTTTAGTTTCCCCACTTTCATTCAAATCACGTCTTATTGGACGCCTCGTGTACCCTCCGTTTCAGCTCGGGGTACGTACACATTTAGTTACGTCAGCCTCATATTATTCCCGTCTCATAGCTTTAGTGAATACATTTGAGTGGCTGTAATCTGAAATAAATGTACCTTAGGTACCTACCTAGATAATATTAGATCCCGGGTCTAACTTGCCATGATCATCGAAGTATGTAAATCTGAGCTGCCCGAACTAACTTTCCTCCCTTCAATCCACCGAGTCCAAGACCACACAGCAGCCGATCCGCCGACTTCTCCGCCCCCTCAACAACTTCCTCCGGCTTAACCCCGTGACCAAATTGTCCACGATTCAAAAACAGCTTAACCACATCCACCCGACCCTGCCGTATAGCCTCACTAACATTTCGCCTACCAACCGTGCCAGTCCTCTTCAGTATCCTCTCCACAATCTCAAGCGACTGCCCACCAATCACCGCCGCATACAACGCGCCTCCGCCGGGGCCCCACCCATGCACGTCGGCGCCGTAGTCCAGTAACACGTGTAACACCGGACCGATCTCCTCCGGTGGCCGGGCGCACGCATCCGTCAAGAAGCACCGCATACCAGAATCAATAGAAAAGCTAGCAAAGCCATGTTCGTGGTCGAGAACTTTCAATACCGCTGAATCGGGTTGCTCGAGGACCGCGCGGGCGACCCTGTGCTCCTGCATGACCGAGAACGAAGGGTAATCTGAAGAATAAATTTTACGATGGCGACTTGTTTTGCTGCTACAGCTCGCTCGAGCAATTTGTCTGTAAGGGAGGTTTAGAGCCTTATAGTTGGGTTTACTACTTCTTGAGGGCTATCTGGGTCAATACGTTTTGAATAGATTGGTTCGCCGCCGAGTTGAATGCCGTGATCCGTGAAAAGCCGTTGCAATGTTGAAATACCTCCATAACAAAAGACGTCGAGCATATATGGACCTAGGTCGCCTTAATATGTCATGATGTGAAATAATTTATCGGATAATAGGGAGGAAACTTAGTAGCTAAGGCTTAAGTTACCTCTACCTAGGTAGCCTAAGACGACCACCGGATCACCATATGTAAGATCTTTGTGGCACTGCCACATGTAAATACAACCTACCCATAGGAAAGGGATACGTTCTTAAGACGAACACCAATTCCATAGCCAAATACATTTAACAAACGCAATATTTATTTTCGTCTTCATTGACCAATTTTCATAAAGCTGTACCCACAGCTACTATTACACTTAATGTAACCTAGTCGGTTTACCCTGGAGACTCGATACGAGCAGCCGCTGCCACTAGCGTACTTGCTGCATCTGCGGTTGAGCCTCTGCCGTACGGACTGCCGCGGCCCGTCTCGGCACTTCTGCCACCGCTTCTACCTGCTTCTTCTCCGCGGCTTCTCTCGCCATTCTCATGTCTGCCCGGGTGAGCCTCAAATCGCTGCTGTACTGCCCAAATGCCGTGATGAGCTCGCTTAGTCCGTCCTTCAACGCTTCCAACAGCTCGTCTACCTCGGGACACTCCCGATTATTTCTAAGATCTGTCCAGTGCATCGGAAATTCATCCCTGAATCTCTCCAGCTTTTTGATTACTGCCGTAAACGTCCGTATGATGGCCGGTACGTCTCTTTGGACGTTACCATACTGGTCCTCCGTCAAACTGGACACTGCTAGCTTTGATAGAGCGTAGGCGGCATTGACATATATGCTGGGCTCGCCATACGGTCGGCCAAGCACGGCAGTTGCTAATCGGCGACTAAACAGTTGCTGAAATAATATGCCGAATGTGGGTAGATTCAAAATTTGCAATGCTATAGTCTGGGCGAGGGAGTTAATACCTTCGGGCGATAGTGCTTCCTTTTGCTCTCTCGTAAGTAGGTGGTCAGTAGCCTCTAACGCTTTCTTCTTCGCTTCCGGCAAGTATACCTCGGCGGGCGTCTTTCCGGGCGACGTAGCAACGCTAGCGACGAACTTGCCTAACGAATCGCGGAAACCCTTCGAACTCGGTGCTGGCGCCCAAACATCACCTGTCTTCGGGGGCTGGACGACTCGGGCCTGCGGCTGAGGAGGCGCGGCATCGGGTTGCGTAGGAGGCGGAGCTGGTGGTTTTCCATATTCATCGATTCTTTGCTCCAGCGACTTAATCGTGCTTAAGCATACGGCGTAGATCTGCGACCACATCGGGCCATCCTTACGATCGATATCTTCGAATATGCTTCTTCTTCTGATATCGAAGTCCCTCGCGATTAAGGCCAACTCCCACATAGCAAATGCCTACATCGTTAGCCGTGCTTCGGTAGAAAGGTAAAAGGAACAACATACAAATATGCGCGGCTTCTTGCTCTGTAACCCATTCAACAGGCTCCCGTTGGGGTCTTTCGACTCGGCACTGAGCGGCTGGCCGTTTTTCAGAGGTGCTCTTCCGAGCTGTAACCTAAAGACCATATCGCCAAAATACCACAGCAGGCATAATAAGAACCCTGCCCACATCGATCGCGCCAGCATCCAGATACTCCATGGCGCCTGGGAAGGTGGGATATTGGACTTTGGAAGATTATAGAGTATCCGGAAAAAGGACAAGGCCCAGCTCCAGGCGGAGCGTCGGAGGAAATGGTAGAGTACAGCGTAGTTAGCCAGAGAAACTGTTATCGAGAGCATCCCGGCGCGAACGACGATTACGGGTACCCATTCGGTTAATCGTACCCAACTGCCTGTTGCTTGAGTATTCGCTTCTCCTTCGCGTTTCGGCTTCACCGTCCCTAGAAGCATTCGATCGTAATCCGCGGCCACGTGCAAAATGCCCTGGGCGATCCCTAAGATGATGATATTCACGGTGTAGAATAGTGCTCTCTCGTTTAACCGCGCGCGATCCCCGCTATAGTAGGTGATCCAACCGAGATTTGCCTTAGCTGGAGTTGATAGCATGTATGTTTGGCTGAATAGCCATGCGGAGATAGCGAATGTAATTATCGTCTCTATCGTCGCGAAAGACAGGGCGTAGCGGCGGAAAGTGTCGAAGGGCGAATGAGACGTTCGAATGCCGATGTGAGAATGGGCAATTCGTAGTATTATAATGGGGAGGATACAGCCGAATATAGCTAGGGTGCGAATACTCGCAGGCCCAACTGGAAACCATGGCCACAGCACTGATGATTATGTTAGGTATCTACGTGATATAATTAGAAGACGGCAGTGTATGTTACGTACGATTACTCCAGTTAGCTAAGAAGAGGTTCTCGATATAGGCTAGCCCTAATAGAACTCCGGCGGTTGAGGCGAATCGTCTCTGGAGGGCAGGTTGGAGGAAGTCTTTGTAAGGCGCTCGGCGCGCAATTGCGGGAGGCATCTTCGCAACTGTAAAGAAGAGAAATATTTAGATCAGCGCATGGTTCGGGTTTGAGAAGTAGAAAATGCAATCTGTATGCAGATATTCTCGTGCGAATCTAAGCTTGAAAGGAATGTTGGCTCGGAGCACCGTTGCTCTGGGGAAGGTCGTTACCTATCGGACGGGTGAATGTAAATAAAAAAAACTTACAGAGCTTCTTGAAATCCGCTAAGAAAGTTGTTGCTTTAGGACCTAAGCGTCATCCGCCCTATTGCATTAGCTTAATGCACCAGCCACAGTACATAGTACACAGTACCGCTATTTGTATGTACAAGTACATCATATCTAGGTACATGTACCTATGGATGACTTACCAACGAATCCCCAATTCGGTTGCCTTGCCGTGACCTGCACTTGTACCTGCGCAATCCGTCGCAGATGATCCTGACTGACATCAATCCTTCTCATCTTATCCGTTGGCCATAGTAGGTCCCATCTTAATACTCGATCCTTTAAGGACCAATCTCTCTTTAATTCACCAAGATTTCCTTTATCGAATATCGTCGTTCTCTCCGATCCAGAATCGTCCAGCCATGTCTTTCGATCAGTTATCGTCGATAGAATCCGGCAGCGGGGCTGGTCGTCGCCAGAATAATGGCGCCTACGCGGATGACCCGGAGTTCACTCGATTATCGCAAGGCCTTATGAACAAACTATTTCATCTGCAGGGTAATATTTCAAAGCTCAAGTCGGATATTGGTCTCCTCGGCACTCGACGGGACAATCCCAGATTGCGCGAGCGGGTCCACGGTGTAATTGAGGAGTCTACGGAGCAGTTCAAGGAGGTTGGCGAAGGTATCAAGAAGATTCAGACGTGGGAAGAGCCTACCGTAAGTAAATCGAATGATGCGATTAACCATGTCACTAATGTAACATACGTCTAACTTTTGTCTCCTCGTAGCCTACCCAGAAGTATTCGCAACAGAAGCTATCGCGCGAATTCAAAGCTGCCCTCAGCGAATTCCAAACCCTTCAGCGCACCGCCCTTGAGAAACAACGAGCCTCGGTTAGCGCAGCCAAGGCGGCGCTCGACCACGATCAATCTGGCGAGGGCGCACCGTCTCCCGCCACCGGTGAGCAACTACAGCTTCAGCAGCAGGAACAAGTCCACCTGGCTCCCCAGGACGAAGTTGATTTCCAAGAGGCTCTAATTACCGAGCGAGAGGAGGAAATTCGCCAGATAGAGGAAGGCGTTGGTGATCTCAATGTGCTCTTCCAGCAAGTGGCGCAGATCGTCAGCGAGCAGGGTGAGGTGCTAGAGACGATCGAGAGCAATGCCGTGAACATTCGCGACGATACCCGCGGTGCCGACTACGAGTTGAGAAGCGCCGCAAGATATCAGAAGAACGCCCGGAGCAAGGCATGCTGCTTGCTATTGATCCTAGCCGTGATTATGGCTATCGTCCTCTTGGCTGTATTCGTGGGATGAATCAAGTTCTCCAGAAATTTGATGGTGCATGAGCGGCATCTTGGGCGTTTTCGGAGTTAGCGGGGGCGAGTTCGAACTTCTCTTTAGGTGTATCAGGATTGTGTTAGCGACGGCCAATAAGAATTGGTCGTCTCTCGGGGCAACTCAGAGATATCTGTTCCCTCCTTTGCGGTTTCTGGGTGGCAAACAACCGTACCCCTATAAAGATAATTTTGGTATTTATAACCAGTTACATTTAGACTACCGAACCACGAGACTATTCACATGGGTGTAAGCAGGTAATTATAAATGTATCGAGGAAAAGGCAAATTTCATAAATTGGAGGCTTTTCCAATAAATTGCTGTATAGTTGGTATGCGTCTTATTCCGAACAGACGACTTCAAATTATATGTTTGCCTAATTCGTGGCTTTTACGTCTTTCTCGATTCGTTTCGGTCGTATAACATCGGCCTCGTACCCTACGCATCTTTGAACAATATTCGTGTCAATTGGCATGAATTTAGACAGTGCCTTGCTCGTAACTGTGTGCGTGGCGCTCGTCGACAGCCAATAGAGGTGAAGCGCTGCCGGAAGGTCTGCAGTCATAGGTCCTATGAGAGCACTTAAGACGATGAGCACTCGACGGAGTCTACGTTGCCTCGCCATCGCTGGGGTCTCGACTACAAGCTTATCCCCAGGGTTGAGTCCGGCTAGTTGCCGCAACCCGACTTTGGATTTAGGAAGCATATTCCAGACTAACAAAGCGGACAGCGCGAAAGGGAGAATGTGATATGGGTCGGGAGCGGACAGGTCGGGAAACCACAGGCAGCCCTCTGACGTGATGCTTAGATCCGGTAGATTTCTAACATGCTCGGCCGTGGTGGCAGCCACGCTTGGGTCTACCGTAATGTCCACGTTGCCTCGAATATTTGAAACCGCAGTATCTTCGGTTCTGCCCAGGAATAGCTGCCCAATAATTCCCCTCGGACCACCACAAACCCGTCTGACGCTCTCGATGCCGATGAGCCAGAAGGGTAGACCTAGGATGCTGGAATATAGTTTCCAGTCTTGTAAGCCGACGGTGCGGTATATCCTTGATGCTATCTTCTTGTGCCTCGCCAATAATTCCTTCGACTCCCGCGACGATGGGATTCCTTCCCGCTTAACATCCCGTGAGATACGCGCAGTCCATCCCATAAGGACCGGGGTGAATCTAGCCCGGCGTTGGTTGATCCTGTGTATGTAGACGTTGAAGGGTAGCCGAAAAGCTAGGCTAACTCCAACTGCCGCGAGAGGAATCGTCAAGAACCATGGTGTGTGCGTAAGACTATGGATAGCTAACAAGGTATCCTGAGCCGTTTGTATAACGGTGGCGGCAGTTGGTGCAAAATGGAATGACCTGACGCTAGGTTGGTGTCTTAAGTGATGGAGTGAAACCCGATTAGGGCGTAGTTGAGTCCTGATTCTTAATGCTGGGCCAAAGGGCCTAGTTGCCCGTATAGTATGAGTCCAAGGAATCGAGTTCATCGTAGATCACCATAAGCCTTATTGGTTCATGAATGGAATAGTAAGAAGAGAGCTTATGAGAGAATGTACATCATATGCAAAATGATTTTGGAGCCATTGAGCCTTTCATACATGCATGGAATATAACACCATACTTCAAATAGCTTCTCAAAACTATAGATTTAGAAATTTAGATATAAACAGCGTGCTATCTGTATTAGAGTGAGGAATTACCTACAAAATACCTTGTACATATATTATACCTAAATGGAATGGCTTGAAAAGAAATGCAGTAACTTTACGTATCGATAAAGAATATGTAACAGTCCGTTATATATAAGAAGGTGGGATGTTAAGTTACTTACTATAACGGTAAAAGGTAGTTTTAAAAAACGATTATCGAACGTAAAAATTATTTTATACCCGAAAATCATTTTTTAGTAAATAATTATTATTAACTAAAAAATATTTACCCGTTTAATTTATATAAAAGATATAAATATTAAATATAATATTTATATTAACAATTGTTTACATTTAAATAACGCATTTTAAAACTTTAAAAATTAAACACATTATAAAACTTTAAAAATTAAATAATAACAATGCACGTTATAATTACTTAAAGACTTAAATAAATAACTTATCTTATAAATATTTAATATTTTAAACTTATCCTTTTACCATCGTTTATTTACTTAAATACTTAACCTTTTACCATCATTTATACGTTTTATTTAAACCTTTACCATCGTTTATACGTTTTACTTAAACCTTTATTATAATTAATAAAAGTTTCAATTATAAATAATTATTTATTAAACGTGTATAAAAACCACGAGATATTTTCGTAGGTACGTTATTTAATACGTCGTTAAACACGTTAAGTTTTAATAAAATATAATTAAAACCATTATAATTAACATTATAGTTAAAGCTTTAATTAATATTATTAATTAAGCTTACCATAAATCCGGTTAACTTAAGTACGGTATACTTTAAAAGCGCAGATTTTATTTTAACATCCGAATGGTTATGGCTTTCGTAATTAAAACATGATCGAGATCTTTTAATAAGCCGCTCATTTTCCTTAAGAAAATTATCATCATTCGACGAATGATTACTGGCGTTACAAATAAAATTAAAACTATCGTCGTTGTAGTCATCGTCATGTTTCCATTCCAGCTACCTTATGCGTAACGAATAAACCAACTTATTATATTTACAAGTGGAATAATTATCCATATCTCGCTCCATTTACCCGATACGCAACAAATAAACCATATTAAAATAACCGTCGGCGTTATCTTACTTTACTTAATTACGGCCCCGTTTTCGCCCGGTAAAAAATTGGTAAAAACCAGTTACTTTAATAAGTAGTTAAATAAGGTTAATCCAAGTAAATATCTCTTCTTTATATTTTTTTATTTTATTATTAAATATAACGGGTTTATAAATAATATATTCCATTTTATTATTAATATATTTAACGGCGGCATTAATAAATATTATAATAACGTTATTAATAAATATAACTTAAGTAAATTAAATAAAAAGAAATTTTATAAAAGTATAAAAAAATAATAAATAATATTAATTTTAATATAAAATAATAGCTTTTATATTATTATTATTAATTTTTTTAAAAAGGTTAAAAATATATATAATTAAGTAATATTAATTTTTTTACTTTAAATTAATTTTCGAAAATAAAATAATTTTATTTTAATTATAATAAAAATGGAAATCGTTATAAAACCATATTTTATTTAATAAATAAACTTTTATATCTTTTATTTAATTATAATTAAAATAAATACGTATATTATTTACTTATAACTAATTATTAACAAATTTAAACATAATATATATATTTTAAATAAAGTTATATATTCTAATAATATAATAAAGTTTCTTACGTAAATTAAATATAATAAAAACGTTAATATTAACGAAAAAAGTTTATTAATTTTTTAAAAAAATTTATAATTTTAATAATTTATTAAAAATAAAAAATATTTAATTAATAAATTTAAAAACGATTAAATATAAAAAATCTATTAATAATTAATAATAAAAGTAATAAAAAAAAAATTAAAGGTTAATTTTATTTATATTTAAATATGTAAAAATAATAACGTTTTAACGGTATAATATTATTTATAATTTTTAATTAAAAATTATTTATTTTAAAAAATTTAATAAAATATAACTTAATAAAATTAAGCTTACGTTTTTTTATTAAATTTTATATATTTTTATAAAGTAAATAATAAATGTAATATAATAAAGTATATTATAAATTATTTAAATTAATTATATTAAAAAATAAAAACGGTAGTAGTAAAATATAATTTAAATAATAAATTTATACCATTTTTTTTAATTATTAACGGTTTTTTTTAATAAAAAAAATTATAAAATTAATAATTAATTTTAATTTTATATTAATTATAATAAATTAATAAAATATATTATATATATATATTTTTAAAACGTTATAAATATATAATTATTAAACATAATTATTATATTATTATTAATAAAAATGAAGTAATAAAAGATAATAATGTAAAATATAATTAAATTTATATTTTTAATTGGTTAAATTTTTAAATTTATTTATGGTTTAAATGTAAACGCTATTTTTTTTTACCTTTTTTATTAATTATAATATAAAAAAAAAAAAATTTAAAAAATTTTATATTTTAATATTAAAATTTAATAATTAAATATTTTATAAATTTATAATATTTATTAAAAAAATTTATTAATTATATTATTTTATATTTAATATAAAAAATATAATATAAAAATTATTTTTATATTAAATAAAAGAAAAAAAAAAGAAAAAATTAATATATATTAATAATAATTAATTTAATTAATTTTTTATAATATTAAATTATTTAATTTTAAAAATTATTAATAATTTTTTTATTATTTTTTTATTAATATATATTATTTTTTTATTAATATATAAAATTTTTTTATTAATATATAAATTAATATTTTAATAATTTATAACGTTATTTTAATTAATTTAATTTTTATATTTAAGAAGTTATAAAAATTATTTTAAAGATTATATTTATAAATATTATAATAAAAAGAACATTAAAGGGTTTATAATTAAAATATATTTTTATAATTAATTAAAATTTTATTTTTTTTAATTTTATAAATTAAATTAATTTATAATTAAAAAGATTAAATAAAATTTTAATTAAATAAAAATGTATTATTATAAAAATAAATATTAATTATAATTCGAATAATTATAAATATAATTGGTTTATGTTTAATATTATTAAATTTATAATTAAGTTTTTTTTAATTAAATTTATTTTTAAATAATTTATTACCAAGTAATTTATTTTTAAATATATTATTTATAACGTAATTATTTAATTATAAATTAATAAGTATACTTTTAATAAGTTTATCCTTAATAAATTTATTTATGTTAATAATATTTTTATTAAGTTTAATAATAATATACTTATTTTTATTAAATAATATTACGTTTAACGTGTTAAATTAATTATTATATAATATATTAATGTATATATTAAATAAAAAGGTGTTAAAAATTAAAAGTGGAAGTAAGTTATTAAATTTAAAACGTTAAAAATATTAAGATTTTTATAAATTAAGTATTTATTTAAAAATTAATATATCTTAAAAATTTTAAGGTAAAATTTATATAAAACTATTTAATTTAATATTATTAAATTTATTAATTTTATAAATTAATTTAAATATTTTATAAATATTAACGCGTTTATTTAAGTTAATATTTTAATTTTAATTAAGATTTATTATTAATTATTTAAGATTTTATTTAATATTTAAATTAAAAATAACTTTTATTTTAATAAATTTATATAATTTATTATTAAACAAATAAAATATATATTAAAAATATTAAAAAAAAGGTTATATTTTATTAATAAAAATCTTTTAATAATTAATGACGGATATAATTTAAAGATTATAAATATATTTAAATATATTAAAATTTAATCTCTTTTTAATTTATTAATGAAATAACGGAAGATTTGTTTTTTATAACTTTATTTTAATTAAATAATTATTTATAAAATTATTAATATATCCTTTTTTTATATTAATATGTTTTAAATATTAAAATTAATAAATTTATATAAAAATTTTTAAATAAAAATTTATATTTTATAATTTAAAATAACGTTATAATATAATTAAATAATTTCTTAAATTAAAATAATAATAAGTTTAATTTTAAATATTAATCCCGAATAAATTAAAGGATAATATTAAAGTTATAAAAGGTTAAAAAATATTAACGTAATTTTAAATTATAATAAAATTTAATTTAAACTATTTTTAAGCCGTTATAAATATAATTTTTATTTATATGTAATTTTTATAAAAATTAAAAGTTATTAATTATTAATATTTTTATAATATTAGTTTAAATTAAAAAAAGGAATTTATTAAGATATTATTTAATAAAAGTATACGTATTATTTAAGTTTATATTATTAATATAATTTTTATTTTATTTATTATAAACCAAGGATTAAGTAATTATAAGTAAAAAAAACATTTGTTAATAAATTAAAATATATTTAATAAAATTGGATTTAATTTATTCTTTTAATATAATAAAAATAAATTATCCTTTTAAAGTAATAAAAGTAAGTTATTTAATATTAAGCCTTTTATTTATAAAGTTAATCGATGGTTAAGTTTAAGTTAATATATTAAACGAATAAAGTGAATATATAATTATTAAAATTTACATTTAATTTATAATAAATATGTAAATTAACCTTTAACGGTATAAAATAATTAATATAACGTAAAATATATATAATAAATTATTAATGTTAAAAGGAAATAAGAATAAATTATTTAAAAAAAATGTAAAATAAATGATATAAAAAAATAAAAAAAAAGATTAAAAATTTTAAAAGATAATTATTAATAATAATAATATTTATTATATTAATTTACCTTATAAATAAAATATATATTAATATAATTTAATATACCTAGTTTAAATTTAAAAAAAATCCAATTTAAGTAAATATAAAACTACGAAAAAAATTTATTATAATATTATATATAATTATTTTTAATTTTATTTTTTTTTTATTAATAATAACATTTATTTTTAAATATTTACCTCCTTTTTTTCGTAAAAAATTCGTTATTTACTTACGCCATAAATTTCTTTCGTAAATAATAACATTAACGTTTAAATATTTCTTTTATTTTTTTTATAATATTTTTATAACGTATTTATGTTATATGTAAAATATGCAAAAAAAAGGATAATTTTCATTTAAAATTATAATAGTTTTAAAATTTATTAAATAAATAGTTTTATCTTATACGTATTAAAAAGGATAATAGTTAATTAAATATTAATAAAATTAATTAATTAAATTTTATTAAATATATATATTTTTAAAATAATATATATTATATAAAAAAAGATAAATATTTTTAATTTAATAATATTAATAATAAATTTCCTTTATTTAATAATAAAAAAGTATTATTTATATTAAATATTTATAATTATTATAAAGAAATAATTAATATTAATAATAATGTAATAAAAAAAGTAAAAAGCTATAATAAAAGTAATGTTAAAAACAATTAAATTTATTTTAAATAAAAGGATAAAAGTAAATTTTTTTAATTAATAAATAATTAATTATAATTATTAATTTTATTTATATATATAATAGTAATTTTTAATTTAAATTTAATATGTTATGACTTTTTTAATGATAATATTAATTATATTATACGTTTAATATTAAATTTATTTAACATTATTAATATTATTATATATAAAAAAACTATTTATAATAAAAACGTTTTAAAAGTTAAATTACCTTTTAATAAAAAGGAGGAAAATGGTAATAATATAAATTTAAAAGTTATATTTAAATTTTTAATAATAATTTAAAACCCTTTTATATTATTATTTAATTTATATATATTTCTTATTTTTATTAATAATTATTTATATATAAATATAATTATAAATCTTTATATTAACTAATATTTAAATAAGTATTATTATAAAAATAATTTATATGATATTTTTTAATTAATAAAGATATATTAAAATTAAAAAATTAAAATTTTATAATTTAAGAAAATACTTATTTTTTTTATAAAATTCATTAATTTTAACCGTAAAAAATAATCGTCTTTTTATAAAACCTTTTAATTTTTTTAAAATAATTTTAATAACTTAATCTATAATATATTAAACCTTTTAAATTAATTAATAATATTAAAATTACAATTACATAAATATTTATCTTTATTAAATATATATAAAATTAATATTTTATTAAATATAAAAAAAATATTTATTAAAGTTAATTAATGTAAAGTTAAAATATAAAAAAAATTTTAATAAATAAATATTAAAATAAAAGGTAAACCTTTAATTATTATAAAATTTACATTTTTTAACCTTTTTATATTTATTAAAATTTTTTTATTATTTAATATTAATAAAAATATATATAATAACCTTATTATATTTATTAATTATTTTATAAAATTTTATTATATATATTATTAATTTAAATTAATTTAAATATTTAATAATTAATACTTTTATTTAAAAAATATTTATTTTAATAATAATGTAATTATTTTTTTTAATAATTAAATTTATTATTATTATATTATTTTTACCTACTTTTATTATAAGGTTATAAATAATATAAATAATATTTTAAACTTTTATATTAATTATATTTATAATTTTAAATAAAATATATATATTAAATTTTATATAAAATATAATAAAGATATATTTACCTTATAAATTTAAAAATACTTATTATTTAATAATAATAATAAATAAATTAATAATATTTATATATATATAAAACTTTAATAAAAAAAAAATAAACTTATATTTATATTAAATATAATATATATTTTTAAAATAAATATTTATTATTTAATAAATATTTATTATAATTATAAATTCAGTAAAATTTAAAAAAATCTATTACCCCTTTAATTTAAAAAAGATATTTAATAGTTAAAATATAATAAAATTAAATTTCCAATTTAAAATTAAAAATATTAATATTATTACGTTTATTATATAATTATCTTAAATAAAATAATTAATAATAAATTTATTATAATAAATATAAATATAATTATTTTTTTTTATTATATATATTTTATTTATAATGAGTTTAAAATTAATATATATAATAAAAAAATATTTAAATTTAAATAAAATTAAAAACTTCCATTTATAAAACTTATAAAATCTTTACCGTACTTTAATTTTATTAATAAATTTAATATATTTTTTAATTTATATAAATTATTAATAAAAAATTATATTATATTAATTAATTTTTTTATAATAAATTAATTTTAATTTAATAATATTTTCCTTTTAATTTTTAATTTTTATAAATTTAATTTTAATAAAATAATTAAGGCTTTTAATACCTTTAAAATATTTAATAAAAATATAAAAATAATAATTAATAATAAAAAGATTTTAATTTATATTTTTATTTTTTATTTTATTAATAATATATTATAATAAACCAAAAATAATGGATTTAAAAATCTTTATATTAAGAAATTTTACTATTATTATTATATTACATTTATAAAAAAGATATTTTAATTATATTTAAATTTTAATATTATTAATTATAACTAATATTATTATTAAATTATATAAATATAATATATAATAAATACATATATTAATAATATTAAAAAAAAGGTATATAATATGTAATAAAATATATTAAACCTTTTATTATTATTATAATTTATAACTTTAATTTTAAATTTAATTTTTTTATAATTATACAATCTTACATATTTAAAATATAATAAATTATCTTACTTAATACATACCTTTTTATATAATGGTATTTTAATATTTTTAATAATAATAATTTATATTTTTATATTATAAAATTAATTATTCCCTTTTAATGCGCGTTAATTATAATTATTAAAATATTACTTATAAAATTATAATATATTTACTTATATTATATAATTTATTATTATTCTCGTATTCCTTCGTAATTAATTTAAACTTATATATATTAAACCCATATTTATAAAAGAAATAAATATATATAATAATAATAACTTAATTTACTTTATTATAAAAACGTATATAATTATTATAAAAAATAATATTATTTTTATAAGGTTTAAAACTTTAATAATTAATTATAATAATATAAAGGTTTTAATTAAAAAAATAAAAATTTTTTTTAATCGGTTAAATATTTATATTATTAATTTATTAAGATTTTATGTTAATTTAATTATATTAATTTAAAATATTATATTAAATAAAACGTTTATTAAATATATTAATAAAAATATAATTAAACAATTTATTTAATATTTAAATAATATATTACAATTAAATATTTATATTATTATATATTATATAAATTTTATAAAGAAATACGGCTTAATTATTAATATTAACGTATTAATTAAAAAAGATTTATATTAATATATTAATATATTTATTTAATTTAATAAATTTAACGTATATATAATTTAATTTAAATATTTTAAAATTAATATATACCAAATTAACTATTTTAATATTAAATATATAATATTAATAAAATTTAATATTTAATTCGTTATTTGATTTATTATTTAAAACGCGTTTAATAAATAAGATTTAAACCTTATAATTAAATTATAAAAATTATACCGGAAATACTTAAATTTATTAAAATATATTTTATTTCATTTTAATCGAAATAATTTAATTAATATTATAAATAAAAAAAATATAAAATTAAAGATATTTATATTTATTAATAATATATATATTAACTTAATTATTATTAATTTTATTTTATTAAAAGATATTTAACATATTAAGTATTTTATTTTCAATAAAAATTTTTTATTTATTAAATATAATAATTTATTTTTTACATTTAAATTTAACTTTTAATTAATATACTATTAAAATTATAACTATAATAATAACTACCTTTATATATAAAATAATAATACCTAAATATAATAAATATATAAATTTATTTTTAATTAATAATAAATAATATTTATATATTTATAAATAAGGTTAATTTTTTTATTAAATATAATAATATTAAAAAACAATTTATTTTTAATAAAAATAATTATATTTAATATTATAACCTAAATAATTTTACTTATATTAATTATATTTTCTTATTTAATATTTATATTAAATAATATATTTTTATAATTATTATACTTTTACATTATACTAATATTTATAATAAGTTTATTAATTTAAATATTTTATAAAAATTAACTAATAAATTATTTATTATTAAAATTATAATTATTAAACCAATTAAATTATACCTAATCCTAATTAATAATTTAAATATAATTTATATAAAATAAAAAATTTATTAATTATAATATTAAAATAAATTAAAAATTTATAATATTTTAATAATAATTTATATAATTAAAATAATTTTTATTATAATAATAATTTTTAATAAAAAATAATTTTTAAAAAAAAAACAATTTTTAAAAAAAAAATAATTTTTAAAAAAATAACAATTTTTAAAAAAAAAAACGGTTGTTGCTTGGGTAACAATTATTTAAAAAATAACGTTATTTCTTTAATAAATAATACATATAAAAAATATAATATTCCGTTTAAGAATCGTTTCTCAACCCCACCCTTTACCGCTATGGTAGGTACCTAGGCCTAAATACAATCATTCCGGTCACTTTATCATTTGTACATATCAAATTGTACATACAACCGGCCAATTGGTCACACGCCAGATTATAATTACTACAACCTAAACTAATAAATTCACGAGCGCGACTTGCAACACCACAATACTCTACTAGGTCATATCGATGGGTCAACTGGACTGTTTCTGGCCCAGTCTGAAGAGGCCAGACCGGTATTGTCTTCCTGACACGTGTGCCTAGGCTTATAAACCATATACCCTTTACCAATATTTCTTCGTCAGTCTTTAGGCAAATGTCAGATTTCACCTCCAGCTCAAGCTGTTCCGTTCCCTCCAAAGACGTACCATATTCCTTCGGCATGGAGCCCAAGACTCTAGCCTTTACGGCGATCGCCATCGCCTGTACTCCCTTTGCCGCCTTAATATTCTGGAACTTCATCCTTCCATTCCTATTTCGTATATTCGCCCTGACGGCCGGGTCAGCCTTCGGTTGGTGTTTGAGGAAGGGTTCCGAAGGTCGCCGCTCCTTACTTGTCCGCACCACGGCCGAAAGCGAAGCTAGATTTAGAGAGGCCAAAGCTCAAGCAAAAGACGGCAGTGCTAGCAGCGACGACGACGAGAGTTGGGAGAATATAGACGGGTCTACAGCTGGAACGTCCGGTAACGGGGAGAAAGGCGACAGAGACTGGGATGGTATAGTCGGTTTCTTCCATCCTTTTTGTAATGCCGGAGGAGGTGGCGAACGAGTCCTATGGGCTGCAGTTCGAGCTACTCAGAAGAGATGGCCTAACGCCAAGATCGTTATATATACGGGCGACCACGACGTTTCGAAGGAGAGCATGCTCTCTCGCGTCAAGGTTTGGGGCTCCTGTCATATAACGAAATTGCAATCGAGATGGCTAATTGCGCTATAGAACACTTTTAGCATCGACATCCACCCGCCTACGATCCATTTCATCTACCTCACAACTCGACACTGGGTTTTGTCTTCTACGTGGCCGCATATGACTTTGCTAGGGCAGTCGGTTGGTTCCATACTTATGGGGATAGATGCTTTCTCTCTCCTAGTACCTGATATATTCGTGGACACTATGGGTTACGCTTTCGTACTTGGCCTGAGCAAGATCCTTTTCCCCGATATGCCAACTGCCGCATACGTACACTATCCTACCATTTCCACAGACATGCTCGACTCCCTCGACCCTACGACGCCAGTTGGAGGTCAGGGTGTCAACGCCGGGAAGGGGGTTGGTGTTAAAGGTACGCTGAAAAAACACTACTGGAAGATCTTCGCCGCTATTTATTCGTGGATGGGTGCTTCCGTCGATGTTGTCATGACAAATTCCTCCTGGACGCAAGACCATATTAAGTCTTTATGGGGGCCGCGCCGAAAGCAAAGAGGCAGGGAAAACTCTATCGCTGTTGTATACCCTCCGTGCGCCGTCAACGAGATCGAGCGGGCCGTCGAAATTTCCGAAGAAAGCGAGAAGAGACGCCAGAAGTACTTAGTATACATTGCCCAGTTCCGACCAGAAAAGAACCACCAGCTCATCCTGCAATCGTTTGCCGAATTCGTCAAGACCGGTACCCCTTCAGCAAAAGAAGCCAAATTAGTTCTCCTGGGTAGCGTTAGGGGCGACGACGACTCGAGGCGCGTATACAAGCTTCGTCTGCTGGTCAACGAATTGCAAATCAAGGACCAGGTGATATTCCAGCTCGACGCCCCGTGGTCTGAGATTCTCCAATGGCTTGGCAAGGCTTTCGTAGGCGTAAATGGCATGTGGAACGAGCACTTTGGCATCGGAGTAGTGGAGTACCTCGCGGCGGGTCTAATATCAGTTGTGCATAACAGCGGTGGCCCGAAGCTAGACATCGTCACCGATGTTGACGGCCAACCTACGGGTATGTTAATCGCAGCATTTCTTGGATTGGGTTTTTTTTTTTTCGCTAATAAGTTCACTTAGGTTTCCACGCCTCGACCACGTCAGAGTTCGCTGAGGGTTTCGAGAAGGCGCTCTCGCACCCCGACCCCCTTTCCGTCAGACGTAGAGCGCGCTTATCATCTAAACGCTTCACCGAGGAAGAGTTCGCCAAGAAATGGTTGGCGGAGCTAGAGAAGCTTGTCGCCATGAAGCTGTAAACGACATTCCTTTCGCACGTTACTACTATCCTAACCAATCCCCCTCCCAAAAATGGTACTACCAACATTCCTATTACCTAGATAGACATAGATTTACATCCGATACCCCCAGGATTATCACGGTGGGAGGCGGGCTCGGAGTTTGTATTGCCTTGTTTTTATATTGCGGTGCGTTGTATTATCTCGTTTCAGAGGGTACCATAAGTTAGGTTGAGCAAAAACGAGCCTGTAAGGTAGGTAACTATGGAATACATCCTTATTCGCGTAATTATTTCGAGCCTTGGCTTTACGAGTCTTATACCGACGGCCTTGAAGATTAGGGTCAATATTTATCTAACAACGCAACTTATAAATATACATAACGTAATTCTATCAGAAACACACGGTAATATATAGGTACCTTAACCTACATAGCAGATAGGCAGTAGGAAAGTGTCTACAAAATCAGCCCAGCACTATTTCTCTGCCTCGTCTCACCTGCAGCCTCAAACACGCCATCTTCGTCGACGCTAACGGCTTGGACGGCGCTGTACCCCTCGCGCACCCATGTCACATTATGTCCCTTCTCTAACATGCCGGCCACAGTCGTGTTGTCAAAGGTATACTCGAAGGCGACTTGGTTCGGCATCAACTGGTCGTGGAACCGCGGTACGGCCACGGCGTGGTTTACAGAGAGCCCACGCTCTAACATGTGCCATAAAACTTGTGTCGTCGAGCTGATAATACGGGATCCGCCGGCAGCGCCGACGACGGCGGCAAGGAGTGGGATGGCGGTTGAGGCGGAAGCGTCGAGCCACTCGGCAATGACAGGAGTGATGGAGGAGAGTGGACGCTTCCCAGGACGGATGTAGTTGGCTGGACTGGGTGCGTAGCCAAACTCATTACGTACGCCGGGGATAGAGAAATCGTTCATCTCGTCGTTGAGTACGACGCCCGTCTCGGGGACCATAAGCAAGCTACCAAAAAGTAGGTTAACAGTGGTGGTTGATGAGACAGCGGCACCCGAGGAATCCGCCGTCGAGATGTGCGAGGTGCCATGGCTTTCGGGAACGTAAATACGCGGCGGGTCGTAGTTTTCAATAGGTTGTGTTTTATCGTCGCGAATGCGTCGGCGTATCGACTCGGCATGCGCATCGTCCAGCATGGCTTCTTCGAGCCGCGGCATACCGTGTACGAAGGCCGGGTCGCCAAGGGCCTGGTGCGCGCCGTACGCGAAACGCATCGACTCGTCAAAGCGGTGGAGCGTGACATTAGGGTCAGTAACTACATCTGAAGCATCATAGCCCTCCATCGTCTTCAGTGTACTAAGACAGACGGCACCGCTGCTAGGTACGCCCGACGAGAAAAGCTTAAAGCCACGGTATGTGATGCTAATGGGCTCGCGGATGATGGCTTCATAGTTAGACAGGTCTTCTAGGGTCATGGTTCCATTGTACTTCTGGATATGCTTGATCGTCGCCTCGGCTTAGAAAAGATTAGAATATTTTACATCGAGGGAGGGGGGAATTATACGAACCCATCGGGCCAGTATAGAATGCGTCGGCGCCATGCTCGGCTATCTGTTCTAGAGTTCTGAATTGTAAATTAGTAAATATCGAAACTATTCAGTTATTTCTATGAGTAAATCTCTTACCTTGCGTAGCGCTCTCTAGTCATGATATCACCCAACTTAACCATTACACCTAACAATATAGTTAGCTAATATTATTATTGCGAATCACATTGGCGATTCGAAGCCTGTAAGCCGGCAGCTCTCACCATTCGGAGCGAAGTCTTGAGCCCACGAGGGATCTTCGACCAAGAAATTCCAGCCCGTCGTTTCGAGGCCGAACTCCATGTAACGTACCAGATCCTCGGAAACCGGGAATCCGCGGCGCGCAACGGAGGCGGCCGGTTGCACAACAGACTTCCAAGGCAGCAAGCCAAACTTCTTATGCGCGTATTCGAGACCTCGCAGCTCGCCAGGTACACCTACGGAAAGCCCCCCGTGCACGCTGCCCATCACGTTACCTTGATACATATCCTCGAAAGCCGAATTAGGAGCGGATTCGCGATAGTCGATGACGGTGTAGTCGCCGTTACTATCCCGGACGAGACTAAACCCACCACCACCAATTCCCGAATGATACATGCCGATGACACCAACGCATAGCTGAGTACCGACAAAAGCATCAATGGCATTTCCCTATTACAATTATGAGCAGTCTAATAACGGAAATTCTAGCTATAGGGAGGTACTACTCACACCTTGATCGAGGAGGTCGATACCAATTTGACTACAGATTTTACTCTCAGAAGCGACAGCGCCTCGCCTCCCTGAAACGGATTGCTGGTGCAACACCGCCTGTCCAGTTGGTTGCCATTGTGAAGGGACTGCAGCTGAGGGGGCGACAGCCAAAATTAACAGCAGAAGACTCTGCGGGAATGTTGTAAAGATTACTTGGGGACTACGTTAGTTACTTGGTGGTAAGAAATTAAGTGAATGCAACTCAAACGTCTACTCACTCATCTCGAAGGTCTTTATAAATGTTGTGATCGGAGCTCGGTATGTTGCAATCGTCCCAATCCGTCGTCTGTGCTCTCTATCTAACACTAGGTACTCTTAGGGAACAGCATATCATACGACGGGCTTGCGTACTCTTAGGTAGAGACACCGATACCCTATGATTATAACCACGTCTATCAGCGATAGCGCATTAGGATATGATAGAATGATAATAACAATAACAATGATAAAGTAAAAAATGAGAACGAAATAAATAAACGACGACGATTAGAGAACGACGTTCCGACGTTAGGGTACCCGTCGGGTATCTTGAGGTAATCTCGGGTTAGCAGTTATCTTTTGTACGGTGTACCAAGGTTGCAAAGCCGGATTATAAAGCGAGATAAGCAGCCCGACAAGCTTAATAGGAGGTACTAATAGTAGTTTAATTCTTTAAAGCCCCACCACACTACCACGACTACATACCACGTAGCAAGCTTGTAGCTCAGACTTACATAAATGTCGTAATCTATTATTATACCCGGGCCGGTTAGACAGTTGTCCAGTAATATTCTTCAACCTTCTTTGTCTATAATTTCTATTCAACTACATTATAAGTTGAGTCGGGCTGTTGCCTCTTTATTACATTTCTGAACCGTGACGCATAACGAAATACGCGGTATGTGAGTACAACTTACGGCAAATACCTAAGCTAGCCATGGATTTTTAGGGGCTCATCCCCTGTCTATCGCTCTCCGGATTTGTAATTCTTACCCAGGAAATACGAAGTCACCGAGACGCGCGCCTTCAATTACGTCCGGACACTTTCCTAGTCTCAATATCGGGAAGTCAGGTGAATCTATTGTGATGCTGTACTAGTGCGGGCAATATACCTATTTAAAAGCGAAAATAGTTATCGCGTAGTTATGATTCTCTAGACTTTCAATAACTATAAGCGTATTCTCTTGAACCTATGAGGCGGATCTAGCGTTGCCAATAGCTTCAGTTTAGGTTACATATTCACCAAATTAACGTTCCAAATTCAGACAGTTATAAGGATTGGATATTTCGTAGTAGAGAAGTCTATGATTTATTCAGTTACAATTAACGAGATATTACGTGCTTCGTCGTATTACGGCTTTTCTCAGCATTGGCCACAAGTTAAATTGTATATCGAAGGTCAGGCAGTTATAAAAAGGGTTAAAACATACTAAGTAACCCATATGGTTCTATTTCGAGATTATCTTCAGACTCGTAGATATTCAGTTGAGCAACTTACAAGTATTTTCCAAGGGGTTAAAACGGATAGAGGCGAAGTCAAATATTTAGGTCAATGCTGGCTTCATAAGTATATTATCCAGTTAATTGAAGCTTTAACGTGTGGTCTATTCCCATACTATTAGAACTATCCTATCTCTTTCTTAGCCGATTAGGATGGTTTCTTCTATACAGTACTCGTAAATATTCGTCTTACTATCTAGTACAGCTTGCCAAGTTTTGGGAAATTCGTACTCCTTATGAATCCTACGTAGGAGGCGCACGTATAAGCCCTGTAATGCCTCAACAATGGAACCGAGACATACAGGTATCACAAGATCGAGTGCCGATTAGATACGTCATAGAAGGCTCTGTGACATAGCCAGCCTAGAGCTCGATATATAAACAAGTCGTCTCTCCCGGACGGTAATTAATTTTAACTCGGCCAAGTAAAAAGTCTTTAAGGAACGCAAATTATTGAACATCATGTGCTTCGGAGTGAGTATATGTATTCCTAGCATCATGCACATGCACTAAGCATACTCGTATCATAACGACTATTTTTGAAGAGGTGGTTATGACTAACAAGGTCTCTATTGAGCAGTCGAGCAAAAACCATCCGAGAGAAGAACCCGCAAGGCCTGTTCGGCATGATCAAGCCCACCCACCACACGGAACCGCTCACGGAAGAGCTGGAGGTGCTCACGGTGGAAGTCATGGCGGACACCACAATACGCATCCCCTACATGACGGAGGGAATCACGATGCGATGCTAGTAGGGCAGCAGGCACAAATGAATCCGGTGGTACCAGGCCTGGTATAAACTAGTTTCATCGGGAATTAGATTGATGCGTAGTGTTGAAGAGAAGCTGTATGAAATTTATGGGAATATTTATTAAGTTGTAATGAAGAGGCAGTTCAGACTGTGTAGTTAAATAAATGTGACTTATAGACCCTTAAAAAGACAGGGTGGGGTTGTATGTACATTATCTAATCGCGATAAGCTACCGCCGTGTATAACGCTAGCATAACGCTAGCGTAACGCTACTTGGTACGTGGTATAATATTCCATCCATCTTCCATCCAGTAAAAAATCGTCAATTTACAATTTTGAATATTTTTCCCGAGTCTTTCTGTAGACGATAAACTGGGAGGATTCAACTGAAGAAATTGTCGAGCCAATGCGGCTCTGTATAACAATAACGCCGCGGTTCTTTCTAAGAACCAGACTCGCAACCCATCCCGTCTTTGGCTCGTCGCAATTTTCATTACAGTCCCCTGCCTTCACCAATTGCCACACTCAGTTATCCGAAGTTGGAAGAGGTATACGTCTTCAACATAAATTTGCTAAGAGCAAAGGCAGAGTTAAGTCTCAGAAGGATACCACCGATACTCTGAGCGCTGCCGAGGTGATACGCATGATTCAAGGACCAGACTCGCAAAAAATGGCTTCATCAGACGGACAGGTGAAAATGGGTGACCAACATCAAGAGTCAAAACCAAACCGCGGGAAAAGGCCATTCCATCATGAAAATTCTAAGCTGGGGATAAAAAGAGAAAATAAGAAGAAGGAGAAAAAGGCTCGGAAGAGCGACAAAGACATGAAAACCGGCTCCGCAGAGGAAGTCTTAGCTATTGACGTACAGAATCTAATGGAGTCTCTCAACCAAGATAATGATAGAGAGATAGAAGGAGAGAATAACACACCAGAGCCATCAACCGAAAGCTTGCCGGAGGAAGGCTCCGAGATCGAAGTCGACGTTGTCGAGCTTGCCTCAACAGGAGAGGGCCTAGCTTTACATAAGGGCTCTAAGCGTGTATACGTCGTGCCCTTCTCGGTACCAGGCGACACTGTCAAGGTGAGGGTGTACCGCCACCTAAAGGAAGAGGGATATACTGTGGCAGATTTTCTCTCCGTCGTGACGCCGTCAGCCTCCCGCGACGACAGTCGGATCCAATGCAAATACTTCGCCACCTGCTCGGGATGCCAATTTCAGATGCTGGATTACGCCGAGCAGTTGAAACACAAGAAAAACATCGTCGAGAAGGCCTTCCGCCACTTCTCCCAACTACCTCCGGAGCTTATCCCCGCTATCCAAGACACCATCGGCAGTCCTCTTCAATACGGCTACCGAACTAAGCTGACACCGCACTTCGATGGCCCCCCGGGCTGGAATAAAAAGAAGGGCTCAAAGAAGGAGCCCTTTAAGAGCTGCCCCCCTATTGGCTTTATGCCTAAAGGCAAGCGTAGCCCTTTAGATATAGAGGACTGCCCCATTGGTACTGATGCTATACGTCTTGGCATGAAACGCGAACGTGCGCGTATGGCCGTCGAGTACGGAAAATACGTACGGGGAGCTACGCTTCTTCTGCGTGAAAGTACTAAGCGTATTCCGAAGAAACAGAGCGAAGCCGAAGAGACTTCTTCGCCGAAAGTAGCGAGGGCAAAATCGCCTTCGCCCCCGCCCCCCGAGGACTCCGTCGTTAGAGTCGAGACAGACTCGTACACGGACCTAAAGACCTGCGTAACAGATAACAACGGCACATCAACCGAGTACATCGGACCCTACGTCTTCCACAACCCAGCTGGCTCCTTCTTCCAGAACAACAACTCTATCCTCCCCGTCTTCACAGACTACATCCGGGAGCACATCCTCCCTCCTTCCTCCCCCCTTTCCCCTGAAATCAAGTTCCTCATCGACGCCTATTCCGGCTCCGGGCTCTTCACCATAACCCTATCTTCCCTATTCAGCGGCGGCAGCGTCGGCATCGACATCAGCGAAGCCTCGATAAAATATGCGTCCCGCAACGCCGAGGCAAATAATCTCCCGCCTTCGCGTGCGAAATTCATCGCCGCCGATGCCAAAGACTTGTTTACACCCGCCGTGCGCAAGGCATACCCCGGCGATCAGACCGTCGTCGTGCTTGACCCCCCGCGCAAGGGTTGCGACCAGGATTTCCTAAATCAGTTGTTGCGCTTTGCGCCCCGCCGCGTCGTCTACGTGAGTTGCAACGTGCACACGCAAGCGCGCGATATCGGTATCCTAGTTCGCGGGCTTGAGGGTGCGAGTGGCGCAGAGACGGGGACAGAGATGGAGACTGATGTTGGAGAGAGCAAGGGAAGAGGGACGAGGTATGCGATTGAAAGCCTGCGCGGGTTTGACTTCTTCCCGCAGACGGGACATGTTGAGGGTGTTGCTATTTTGAATCGGGTAGACGACTAGGTATTCTAATATTAGGCTATCTGCCTATGTCCTAAGAATATATTCGACGGAGATTATGAGGTTAAACTCCTCATATTAAGGAACTGCTGTATCATAGAAGGAATTCTTTATAGAAGACGTTTACGCGGCGTAGAGTTGAATAGGGTAATACTTATTCAATAACTAACATTAGATAGGAGTTCCAAGTATTAGATAACTGACAACCCAACCGAAAATTCCAAACTGAGTGCTCTGTCCTAGATAATAATATTCTTTTCAATAAACATATCTTACGGCGCATAATTTACGAGACTCCCTCTTTCTACTACTCCTAATCCTGCTGCTCAAGTAAGACCTTTAGAGCCTGAACCGTGACCTCGACAACTTCGGCCCTCCGACTACTCTTCGTGCACTCCTTTAAAACCTCAATTCCGTTCTTCTCCTTGATCTCCTTCCGTGCCGCCTTACCTGCTTCTCCCTCGCATGCAACCATGTTGTACACAACAAATGCCCCTCGATGCCGCAGATCTTCGCTCTTCTCGCCGCATAAACCCAGGACCGCTTCGACCCCGCGCCTCCTTTTGAGAATGCCGGTCACAACGGCGTCGTATGCCGTGAGAGATGCCAAAGCACCACCGGCGGCGCTCCTCGTTCCTTCATCCTCTGCGTCCGCAAGTGCGAGTAAAATATGCAACCGGTTAGCGGCTTGTGGGGTATCGTCCGCGTACTGAGCGATACCCTCGACGGACTGCACCAGGTTGCATATTAATTCCACGGCAGCTTTTGATACTCGATTGTTGGATGATAACATCAACTCCTCGATCTCTGGCCATGCGTTACGAATAATCGTCACTCGTGTATCGTCGTCCGTAGATGCTAAATTAGTAAGCGCCATCAGCGCCTCGAACGTCGGTAAGAGATCTCGGGTTTCGGTTGTGGGGTCAGGAGTGAGTATATAGACGAGCGGCCGGATTGCCGAGTTCTGCGGACGAGCGCGCGTGCCGCCGAATACGAGGGCGGGGTTTGTGCTGATTAGTATACGAGCGAGCGCTTGGGCTGCTGTTCGTTTTGCTTGCGATTCGGAATCTGGTAGAGCCGAGGCGGCCGCGATAAGAAGGTTAACGGCACCTTGTTGCGATAGCTGGCCCCGTAAGCTGGCCGTAACTGACAATGCAGAGATAATCGACACGATGAGGTTAAGCGAGGCAACCGAACCGTGCCTACTATGGGTTACTAGAACGGGTACGAGACCGGCTTCGAAAACCCGCATACACCGTTCCGTGACGTGGTTGTCATCGTTTAGCGGGTTTGGTGCTCCCAGCTTTCCGGCAGCGTTGGCGTATGCCTTCAGCTGAGTCATTTTCTTCTCCTCCTCAGATTGCACTGGTTGATAGCGAGTTAGATTCACAAAGATGCTTAAAGCTCCGTAAGTAAGCGGCGACTTTACAGGAGCATCACTCAAGATCTTGACCAGAGCCTTCAAAAGCTTCGTGTCGTGTGCGACCTCTTCCTTGATTCCAGGTTGAATTGTCGCGTAAGCTAAGCCCTCCACCGAATACCGTTTGTCACTCTCCGGGTCCTTTAGTATCATCGTACTGAACATCTTTGATAGGTCTTCGATACTGGTGTTCGCTTGTTGTATCCTACTTTCGGATCCTTCTGCCGTTTGTTGCGCCGACGATGGCACCGCCTGAAGCCCCCAGGTCAGCCCAACTCCATTTCCTTATCGCGCCGGTCACCGCCACCGAAGATGCTCGCGTGCACGCGGTGGCGCGGACGGAAGCTTTAGGGTGCCTACCCTCAATTTCGCCAAGACAACCGCGGCCAGGTTTTGAACTGCTACCGAGTGTCTCCTCATGGCGATCGAACCTTCTGTAACCTGAATCTGAGGGTCTGCCGTGTAGGTGGCCTTAGCTAATTCGTCCGGATCTTGGTCGACAACCTCTTCCAGCCAGTCAGCGCAGTACTTATTGATAGCTTCGCGACACGACGGATGCATGGAAGCAGCGTTGAGCATTTCCAGACATGCCGTCTCGACCTTTCTGCTTTTCCATTTTCGTCGCATCAAGGGGTCCAATGTGGGTAAGAAGCCTTCGTTGAGGAATATGTCAGCCGTTACGTCCGGGGCGATGGGGAATATAGCGGCAGCGACACAAAAGGCGACGATATAGTCGTCGTAAGTCCCTCTTTGGATTCGGTCGAAAAAGAACTTGCGAAGAGCGTCTTTCCCTTTATCCCCGGCCGCTTTAAGATACGCCGAAGCGGTCAAGATGGCGTGACCGCGGACCGAATCTGCTTGTCTCATGTCGAGATAACCAAGTATTGTATCGACACATACGTCGTCGATGACGTCGCAGATAGATTGGTTCTCATTTTTAGCTTTAGCATCGTCGTTTAACAACTTGGTAAGGCGATCAAGTTCGCGACAAGTCTCGTCGTCTTCTTGACCACCTTCCATCAACCGGGCTAAGATGAGCTGCGTCTGCTCCACGTTGCTCAGCTTGTCCATCTTCTCGCGATTAGAAGCGAGGTCGATAGGTAATTCTTCCATTGTATTCCGCGACTTGATATTGGGTGTCGCTAAAGCTTTTTGATAGAGAACGTTAGGAGTAGATGTTGCGGGTAGGATGAGAAGTCTTGGAGAACTTGAAAACTTGAGAGGGCTTATGAGGACTTTTATACGGGTGCGCTTTGACGGAATAGCGGAGTTAAAATGAAATATGGTGGCGTGTCGATGGGGTTATACTTCGTCAACGGTAGAATGACTGGTTTCCGGGGCTGTGACTCAGATTGAGAGAAGTGTAAATGGGTAAGGTTATGGTGTTGCGGCGTAAGTTTCAAGTAAGGACGGTAACTTTATCGTCGGCTATGGACGCTTTATCATGGGCTTGGTGATAAATACGAGTGATGGGGACTCGTGACGAAATATATAATCGGCTAGGATACAAAGAAAGCACATACGCACACCTCTTCTCACCTATGTAAGTTTGTGATCAGACTGGTCGAGTCTTGGCCCCGATTCGCTGCAAGTATAGCCGCGTAGACGCGTAGAATTCTTGGCTTAGCTTGAAATTCTAGCCTTGAAGAACTTGAAGCTGTTTCAAAGTTCGAAGTGGACGGTTCGTTGGTGAAACTGACTCACATGAACTAAATCGATGGGGTGTCAGTCGCTGCAACGTAATCTAAACCTAGGTAGCATATACATAAGGCAAAGCGTAGAACCCGATGGGGAGGAAGCGAAACTGGCTGGACTGGCCTATTTGGACAGAGTAACATGGGGGGGGGCATGGGCAACTTACATCGAATCGAGTATCGGATAGATGGGATGTCTCACAGTTATTACGCAGAGGATACAACCTCGAAAAAGTATGGATATAGGGTAGGACGGAACAGAATAGAATCTCTGAAATGGCTACTAAGGCTTCAATATGTCGTCCACTCGTTCGAAGGAGCATTCGCTGAAATACCCCGCTAAGGTTTGTAGACGCCAATAAGGTTATCGAGACCCTCTTGCGCCTGATAAAGTGGCTGCAGGGGTTTCTGTAAGATCTGCTCAACAATGACGTCTAGTCATTGCATGTACCTAGGTACGTACGGAAGTCCCCATCAAAAGTTTTGTCCATAGGCCAGCCCTTGTTAGCTTTTGACTAGCTTTGACAGGGCTTGGCAACAGCTGCAGGCTATGTATTGCATGTATTATTCAAATTACGCTGTTTTCGCTTATAAAACAGCTCGGACTTCCGATTTTAAATGATAAATTATATAAGGATGTGAAGGAATCTTTATCCTTATAAAGTTTAATTTTAATTTTTAATAGATTAGCGGTAAAATTAAGTATGTTGTAAAAGGTAAATGCGTATGAGCATCTAAAATCTTGGCTGCCGCATGGCGTCAGGTCTTTGACAGCTGCTCCAAAAGCTGTCAGGTGGCATCTATGGACAAAACTTTTGATGGGGACTTCCGTACCAACGTATTATTAGTCATGTGAGCTGGCGTCTTTGTTAATGCACTAGGTGACCTCTTCCCCGGCTTGGCACGGCATTGAAAAGCAGGCGCGTGCTGTGATACAGCTTTTAGCGGAGCTCGCAGCAGTCAGCTCTTATCAATTCGTTATCAATCTCTTCATACCAGTCCGGAAATTCCATGCTTATCCCGTCGTCGATAATTACCTTCTCCATACCATTGCCAATTAAGAGTATCAAGCAAAAACTTCACCACCTATGAACTCTCCTTGTACTCGTACTATTAAACTTGGGATTTCAAAATTCCGAGCGAGAGAGAACAACTAATTCTAAAGGAGGTGGCCTCTGAGCCCTTTCTCCATTTCTCATGTCATAAAAACTCCCCCGACAAGTTGAAACAGAAAAGACGGCACGATGAACCGCATCGACGCCTCAGATCACTATACAGAACCCGTCTCTAGCGTCAGCCAAATACCCTCGCTCCTTACCATCGTGGTCGATACCAACCCGCGCGCTTGGGCCGCCCTCGCCGACCTCCTCCCCATCTCCAAGGCCCTAGCTAACTTGCTCGTCTTCGTTAACGCTCATCTTGCTTTTGGCAACGACAACCATGTCGCTATACTCGCCGCGCACCCCAACCGCGCCGTCTGGCTCTACCCCAAGTCCCCCAACCCCGATTTCCGAGCCGCATCTTCGCGCTCTAACGGTGATGTCGAGATGACCGACGTCGACGGACAAGACGGTGCTTCGGCAGCAACAGAACTAGGCGGCTCTGCCAATAAGTTCCCCTTGTTCGCCCAAATCGAATCCTCTATCCTGACCTCCTTGCACTCCCTCATCGACAGCACTGCACCCTCGGACCTTAACCCCACGACCCTGGTATCAGGAGCCCTCACGTTAGCACTATCCTACATCCACAAGATGTCGCACGCTCTAGAGCCGACCAAGACGTCCTCGGACCCTGCGAACCCGACGCCAACAGCGACTAGCTCCTCGCCTACCGAGTCTGCCGTCGCGACGTTACACTCGCGCATTCTAGTCTTGTCTGTCTCGGACTCGGAGCCTGCGCAGTACATTCCCACCATGAATGCCGTCTTCGCAGCCTCTCACGCGCGCATCCCAGTGGACACCTTATCTCTATACGGAACGCCGACATTCCTGCAACAAGCAGCCTTTATAACAGGAGGCACTTTTCTTTCTGCAGCCTCGAACCCGCGCGGCCTGCTCTCGTATTTGATGTTCGGGTTCCTCGCCGACGCCGAAGCACGACGGTCTCTCGTGACTCCCACCCAAGACTCGGTGGACTTCCGCGCGGCTTGTTTCTGCCACCGCAACGTCGTCGACACAGGTTTCGTCTGCAGCATCTGCCTTAGTATCTTTTGCTCTGTGCCCGACAACGCCGAATGCCTGACCTGTGGTACTAAATTGGCCCTCGGCAGTTACGGCGCCAAACCTGCCGTCGCCCCTCGTAAAAAGAAGAAGAAGAAAGTACGTGCTAACGGCGCTGGGGCCAGAGAGGACACGGGTAGTGCTACGGGGACGCCTGCCCCTACGTAGTTGAGGGGCAAGCGTATGAATCTTGTCTATCATACTACCGCTCAAATCATATTACGCGGAAGCGGTCTAGTTGTATCATAATGGGTTGGAGTTTGCGTACGCAGAGTTGCGTCTGGCATGGGACAAAGTATCGTGAATTAAAAAGCATAGGCGCGGTGATAAGACGGTCAACTTAGGCGGGCTTTAAATTTTCATAACTACCTCGTACAGTCTATCTATACTGTCCAAGTGATCCTACTGCCACTATTACCCACGTAATTCTTTTGATCCAAGGATTTACGCTTGGTTTTTCTAGTCTTGGTTCGGCTGCAATTTGAGGGTTACCGTCTTTAGAATACAAAAATCTCTCCGAGCCCAAGACAAAAGTGATTTCGGTTGATACGAACGTAGCCATTCAGGGGTGTTTCGAAAGCGCCGATTTCAGCGCACCGCAATTCATCTCGAGCTTAGGTTCATGAGTGATAAGAATAGTATGAAGGTCAGGAGTATATGAACGCTGAGGATAGGTGTACGAAGTGAGGAGAAGCCGGTAAGCCCTACAAGAAGTTCCAGTCTGATATAACGAGTCTTATCGAATATCAATGTGCGATACAACTAGCTCATATTCGAATTTTACGGCCTCCTTGGGCAATACGAGCTAGACCAGAACTTCCTTCCTTGATGCGCGACATAACACAAGCTGGCTGAACGTCATTAGAACCCATCGAGGCCACGGCAAAAGAGTCGGTGTTGTGTGCGAAGTATAAATAGTAGCCCAATGGCCCCTTCTTTACCGCCATGACACCAATGGCTCCAGCCGAGGAAGAATATTTGACGCCCGGATGTTCCTGGAAGTCGTTAGCAATGAAGCCTTGGAGTATCGCGCTCTCGTCATCCTCGGCTACGTCTTTTCCGCCCGGTCCGCGACGCGTCCCTTGATATATCCGCTCAGCGCATTTTTGCGACGCCATCGTGGTAGCCATATGTTCGCCGGTTCCGCTTGTTACAGCGGCGACGGCGACGCCGTCTTGGTCCTTTTCATCGATCGGAACGACGGCTGTCCCGATTCCGACCAAGGCCGCCGGACCAATTCGTCCTCGATGCTTCATGCCAATACCACCCGAAGATGACCCAGCAGCAATTTTTCCAGACATGTCGATGGCAATTGCGCCCACTGTATCGGTGATTTTATCGACGTCTTTATTCTCCTGCTTACGAAGATCGACGGTCCTGAATGGCGGCGACTTGTCAAGATATGGCATAGCCGTAGTGGCGGGAGCCTGTCCAACTTTGGGCATGGAGGGGTCTGTAAGAACGTCCGAACTAGCCCCATCATGAAGACCTGTCCTAGTTACACCCTTAGATATCGACGCATTAGAATTCGACTTCAGAGATTCGTCGCTCGGGCCTAGGCTAAATCGTGGGCGCTTCGAAGCGGAAGATAATATCTCTCCAGCCGCAGTTTTCGAACCTGACAGTGATCCCAAGAAGCTAAGCGGGCTGCGCTCGACATGAGTCTTGGGTGAAACTTGAGTAGCACTAGCTTTCACTAGCATTGGCGGTTCGTTATCCCACGGCGAAGAAGCAGCTGACGAAGAAGCAGCTGGCGAAAAAGGTAAAGCTGGAGAATCTGGTTGGCCTTCATTCCATGTTCCAGTCAATATAGCGGTCGTGTGATCCGGGTGTACATTTTGGCAAATTTCGTTACCACGATCGTCAAGAGCTCGGTCGTATGTGCTAGGCGATAGAGATTGAGATGCTCTGCTCTCTGCCCGCCTCATATCTTCCTGCCATCTAACGTAACGGTCTCTAGCATTTCTTGACACGAGAAATTGATTGGGAACCAGTAGCATTCCTGATTCCCGTGCAAATTCCTTGGCGCCCTCTCCAATGAGTAGATTCGGAGGAACACGTCGTAAAGACAGGGGCTTGTTACTAGACAGGAGAATAATCTTGGCCAGAGAGATTGGGTTCTTGATATCTGCAGACCAGACTTATAAGCAAGTACAAATCATGTTTCGAGGTACTGCTGCCCGACTTACTAGGAACTGCACCACAGGCTCCGCTGCGACCAAAATGATCGACCAAGGTGGCGTCGCACTCTACCGTCCCATCAATTGCCAGGTTACTTCCGTAGCCAGCATTGGTAATCTCCTTGTCTTCGAGAGATTTGATAGCAGCCTCGACAGCATCCACAGCCGAATGGCCTGATCGCAGGAGTTTTATGCTCAGACGCGCAGCTCTACCTGATGTTAACGTGATTTGCCAAAACGTTGGAGGTATAATGGAAATGTCAAAGTGCTTACTCATTGCAGGCTTCCAGGTGCAGGCCCTCATTGGCAACGCTGTGATACCCGGCCCCGGCGTGAATAAATATAGCTGCTACCGGGAATTTCTTACGTTTTCCCCAGCGATCCATGGCTCCATCCATGGAAACGATGTTACCATCTTCCAATGGGGAGGGAGGTCTCGGGTGTTCGGTAGCCCAGGGCAGGCCGTCGATGATATCATCCTGTTCGATATCATCCTCATGCCGGGTCGAGACATCGTTGCCTTGAGGATCGCCAGAATCCATATTCGGTATAAGGTATGGATATATGGGGATATAGAGGATTCGTTTGGAAGATTGAACTTCTGTCTTCCGACTCTCTCTTATACAACAATAGGTAAATTCGATGTGTTGTTATTTTCGAATTTAGACTAAGAATCCCAGCGGATATATTCTGTCTGTTTATTCGGCTGAGACGACTGCGGGATCGAATAAATTCCGACTAATATAGGAGCAACTCTTCTGGAGTCAGAATTCTACCAAAACCATTCGTTATTAGGAGGGAGGTACAGGAAGCTCCCTAACTCGTGATACGAAAAATAAAAAAACGGTGAAGTATCTAAACACTCGGGATACCGATAAAGCTATACGGCTATTTAGGGCGATGCCTCTTGCGTGAGACAACGTTGGCGAGAGCGAAGCTATAAGCTAAGCTACGACTAGAGATAGAGGGTCAAGAGCTTGGGTGGTGAGGTACCATGCCAATCGTCGAGGTGGGCGGGAGACTGAAGCCGAAGGGCCAGCGCCGGGTAATCTGTGTTAACAAGTAATGGGCGAGCCGCATATATCGTACGGAGGAGACACGGCGTCGATGGAGTGATGAAAGTAGGATATTTAAAGGAAATAGAATGAGGATCGGATGAAAGATGATGAGACTTAGGAGTAGATTCCTCTATAATAATAATTAGCTACCTAAGTAGCGAAGGAGATGGTTGGCAATATCGAAATAGTTATTCGATGTTGGAAGCTAGAACCTTCAATGATATGTAGTAAAACCGAGCCAGAGAATTAAGAGCAACCCCTTGAACTATATACCTAAGGTAGAATAGTGAGAAATAGGTACACGCGAGTATGTATTCACGTAAATGTATGTCTAAAGTGCCCTTACCTCTGAAGTTGAAGAGATAAAGGCATGTGTAAGGGTCGTGCCTACTTCAACTTATACGCCTTAACATTGATATGCTTTTCCGAATTCCAATTGAATTTGAGACTTTAATGCTTTAGGTACTTTAGACGGATATTATGTAAAGAATAGTACTTCATAACACGTCATTCACATTGAATTCGGACAAGTTGAAGTGGATAGAATATTTATGTCTTCAAAGTTCATATGGACCAGATCAATATATTCAACCTAGTGCAAGTGGCAGACAGCTGCGTTGAGTCCTCCACTTAGAACAGGAAGGTAAGGTTCTCAGCTACTCAGCCGCATCTAGGTACGTATCTACATATTGGATGTAAGGTCCCACCCCCTAGCTGGGTCGGTGCACAGCCACACTATACCTAGCAACCTAACCTCACGATAGGCACGTAATTTCAACCTTCCAGCCTACCTACATCATCGCCAACCAACTTGAATAGCTCAGCTGCCCCGCGGGTTGTCTCACCACCATAACAACGCTTCTTGTCCCTTTCCTACGCTAAGCTTTAACTTAAATCCCTCCGTAGCTTGCGTAGCCCCTATCCTTTCAAAATGGCGAACCAAACCCCTGCCGTTGTCATGGACAAGTATGTATTCATGACCCCGCAATCAACAGCTCATTTAATACTTCCTAAACATCTCAGAGTACGGAAAAAAGCAATGCTAACTTATTTTCGAACCTAGCGGCACGGGATTCTCAAAGCTCGGTAAGCTGGCTTTTCACGTTGGCTCAATACACCGCCGTATAACTACGATCCTCTAACCCACCGCTTCTTTACGACAATAGGTTTCGCCGGTAACGATTCTCCCTCGTTCGTTTTCCCAACCGCGATAGCTACGAAAGGAGGAGCAGGTGGTAGCGGCGGGACCGGGTCTGGCCGGCCGGCTGTGGCAAACAAGCCATCTTTCCTCACAGGGGGTGCTGGTCCCGCGGGCCATCTATCGACAAAACGGGGTACAGAAGACTTGGATTTCTTCATCGGAGATGAGGCGATCGCTGCCTCGAACGGGCCAGGTCAGTGTTACCGGCGGAAATCTTATGTGATCGAGGTATTGATATTGGGATAGGCTACGGACTACACTATCCGATCCGACACGGTCAAATAGAGAACTGGGTATAAGTCCCGGACCCACCATCATCGACTTCGGTACTGACACGTCATATTAGGACCACATGGAAAGATTCTGGTCCAACTCCATCTTCAAATATCTCCGTGTCGAACCCGAAGACCACTATTTCCTCTTAACCGAACCCGTACGAAGCCATCGTTGATTCTACCACCGCGAATGCCCGCTAACGTACTGTAGCCTTTGAACCCTCCCGAAAACCGGGAGAACACGGCCGAGATCTTCTTCGAATCCTTCAATTGTGCCGGTCTCTATATTGCTGTCCAAGCTGTCCTCGCCCTGGCTGCGTCTTGGACATCGGCAAAAGTATCCGACCGTTCTCTCACGGGTACAGTCATCGATTCCGGTGACGGTGTTACGCACGTCATCCCCGTTGCTGAAGGCTACGTAATTGGGTCCTCGATTAAGTCCATTCCGATTGCCGGCCGAGATATCACCTACTTTGTTCAATCTCTCCTACGTGATCGAGGAGAGCCCGACAGCTCGCTGAAGACGGCCCAGGAGATCAAGGAAGAGTACTGCTACGTATGCCCCGATATCGTCAAGGAATTTTCGAAGTTCGACCGAGATCGTAGCCGGTTTGCCAAGCATGTGGTCTCTCAACCAGGCGGTCGCCAAGTCACCGTCGACGTAGGATACGAGCGGTTCCTTGCCCCCGAAATATTCTTCAATCCGGAAATCTACTCTTCCGACTTTCTCACACCGCTCCCTGTTGTTGTCGATGGTGTCATTCAATCCAGCCCGATCGACGTTCGACGAGGATTGTACAAGAATATCGTGTTATCAGGAGGCAGCACGTTATATAAGGACTTTGGGCGAAGATTACAACGCGATATCAAACATTTAGTTGATGCCAGAATTCGAGCCAGCGAGGTCCGTAGCGGAGGAGCGAAGAGTGGTGGCTTGGAGGTGCAGGTCATCACGCATAAGCGACAACGGCACGGTCCATGGTTTGGTGGTAGCTTGTTAGGACAGACTCCCGAGTTCCGGTCGTACTGCCACACTAAAGCTGAGGTGAGTCTCCCCTAGTTTAAACTAACAGGTTGCTGATAACTAACTCGGCGCAGTATCAAGAATACGGACCGGGAATCGTACGAAGATTTGCTCTACTTGGTGGACCTGGTGGTTCCTAGGGTAAAACTGACATTTAATTGCGATACCAGATAGAGGACAAGAAGGTGTAAGTGGTGGACGTGTATTCAAAAGAGCAGCAAACTGATTATCAAAATTATGCATAACCGCCAAATTTTCTCTATCGTTTGCCTTTTTGATGTGTCAACCGAAAGAAATTCCTAGTTACTTACATTATCTGAGCGTTGTTTCGTTTTGACACATAGTACATAAGATCATATCTTCTAATTAAAAAAGAAAGGCAGGAGTTTTACTCTAGTTATTCCGTAGATACCTTATAGTTCTACTCGAAGCAGATAACTGCTCGATACAAGATGGTAGAAGCTATCATTCAGGAAATATCTAGCCAGCACCACGAATCATCTACACATACACTACAGTTTGAAGCTCCTACAAAATAATATAAGTCTACTAAGAAAAGGGCTAAAGCGGTGATTACCCGTGGCTTCAAGCCGATTTCTCGCACTCGTAACCGTCAGCGTGATCGAGGCCCATTCCAGATGGTCTGGGCCTCTCGCCTAGTTAGTACCGTTCATACTGGCGGCGCGCCCAGGCTTCCGAAACATGCATCGCCCGTACCAATCCTATGACTTGTATGGATGATTATTATGACATCAAAGGAAATGCTAATTCGTACCTACTATCACTATTGGTCCAAGTGGCATAGAACGAATTGGTATCATCGGAGGTCATCCCCAATTCTTATTGATGGTCAACAAAGTGTTTAAAAGGTTGGTTCCTCCAATGTTCGCGCGGGTCATCGTGGGGCACGGTGGTTATTGGCTAGGAGTTTGGGGATACTAATAACTACCTAACTTACTTGACACGTCTCCAGCATTTCTGTTAAGCGCCCCGTTTTTGGAACGGCGAATAGAGCAGTGTTCCGATGAACTGAAATTGTGAAAAGAAAGGATTTAGATGCATGTATGGATTCGTGGAGGAAAAGGGGGGCGGTGTGGAAGACTGCACGCTTGGACCCTAAGAATAAATCTGGGGAATTAAAAATATTATTAACGTCTACTATTTCCCACGGCTTCCTTCTATTGTAACTTCTCTTCCCGTTCCTTTTTTATTTCGTTCTGTGGTATATTTCAATAATATCCGCTTGCCTACGTCGACTTAGAATTCTCCCCCTTCGCCCGCCTTACTAACACATCTAGTTGGGATTCCTTTTTTTTAAGACTGTCTATAAGATCTCCGTCTGATATAATGTTCCCTTGAACGAGCCTGTCTGTCGTTGTACTGGGGCGACTGGCGAGGTAATATTTCATCATCTCAGAAGATGCTCGCCGGCTTCTATTGCGCCGTCCTGTCAGCAAAGGGGTCTGAGATTAGGACGGCTTGCTACTTACTGGTCGCTGGAAATTTGGTCTGACGAGATTGTGGCTTGAGACATGGTGAACCCTGGACTTATCCGCTGTCTTAGGGGAAAGCTTGGCGGAATACGAAAGGAGCTTCCTGTGAGAAGGTAACAGTGTAACTTGGGTTCTTCGTATGGTCGGCCAAGGCAAGAATCTCAAAGAAGTAAGAGGTTCTTCAAGCTTTGATTACTCTAATGATTCTAGTTTGAGATTGTCTACGGAGACTCATTATATTGGCCTGGCCTCGGCCTTCATTTTATGGACGACCATAATACTGCGCGCTGAGGCGCGACAACGACGTTAAGATTCTGCTCAGACTATCTACATCGCTTCCGAGCTATAAACTGTCTCAGGGGGGATATCGGCTTACTTACGTTACGCGCGACCTTGCCGACCTTTTGGGTAATGCACGGGTTAGGACTTCGCGATGTTGGGGTCTTGTGTGTCGGATACGCAAAGACGTATTGCACACAATGCCGGTAAGTCCTATCGCGCTGCGCTCCCGAGGGTATTCTACGCAATCAGAATCGAGCACGTCAGCATGCGTGATTGGTAGATTGTCAGCTTGCGCATATCTCCACCTCGTTTTGCGCCGTTGCGCAAAACCGGCAGAGTATAAATATTGGTGGTTATTTTGGTCGGGAAGGTGAACGAAATATGGCGATTTTACTCCGTATACCATAAACTTCAACAGAAACTGATATATACAAATATCAGGGGCACGAAGAAAGTCATTCTGCTACTATTATTACTACATTCTTGACCTGGTCCTTTAGTTGTCAATAAATGCTGCCTATAAGCGACTATTATATCGTCACCTGCGTGATGACTCCACATCATATCTAGGAGAGATGCTTCAAAGACCCCGTGATATACTGACTGCTCACGACCTTCACTCAACGAGCTCTGTTCCTCGCTATCATCTTTATCAACATCGCCACCGTCAGTTGCACGAATCTCTTCATACTTACAGCTTGGCTATCGGGCGGGTAAAACCGAACCGTTACCCCCAGATCAACTATTTCAATTCCTTTGAGCACGCTTGGGACGCGACTACGACGAAGCTCGTGGCCCAGTGGGAGCGGATCAACCCCCGTCGTGAACATCGCCTCAAGCGAAGCATGGTCAAGAAGTTGACCTTATCTAGGAGTGACTTTACTAAGCCGCAGATACCAGAACCGACAAGCGCCGGTGACTCGGTAAGGCTCCCACAAGAGTCGAAATGAAACTGTTCTTACCGTCGCATTAGCAGAATAGGATAGCTTGTCCCGACCATATTCTAGCTGGGGACTCGCTCGTCGTTAACAATACTAGATTTGCCAATCTAGACCCCGAGAAATGTCTAGGCGAGCTTAGCGTATACAGGAAAGAATTCAGTATACAGCACGAAGGATATAATCCTGGGGAACCATCACAGAAGCGATCTAGAGTAGCCGGTCTTATGGAGGGCGAAAAGCAGACACGCGCTGCTCGAGAACTCAGCCGTTGCCAACTCAACCACGGAAGTGAGAGAGGACTGACACCTGATCAGTACGTGGCCATCAAGAGACAAGAGGGCGTCGCGCTTGTAATGGCTAAGTTTAACCGGTGGTTCGATAAGAGACTCGCAATTATCTCCTGGTTAGTATGAAAGACTCCCTCTGCAGCAACTGGGTTTCATCTTTGAGCTATATCAGATAGGGGCTGACTATCGTGTATAGTATGTCGCAGCGCATTTCTTTGCTCGTTTGCCCCTTGGTTTCCTATCAAGGTAACGCTCTAAATTTGGAGAAGTCATTAACATCGATAAGATGCATGCGAGGCATCTGAAGCCTCGGGTAGCTCCGCCGGTAGCTCTAAAAGCACAGAGTCCGGAAGTGGTAGTTCTGGGCAAGGCCAATCAGGCCGTTCAACTCGGACAAAACGTCGATTGGGCGGAGATGACCAGGATAATTCTTCGGCCGGGGGAGACGAAGGTGATCCGGATAGAGGCGGCAGCAAACGTGCGAAGAAAGATACGGAATCGGAGCGAAAGTTCGCTTGTCCTTTCTACAAAAATGATCCCAAAGCGCATAACAAACACCGCAGCTGCGCCGGTCCAGGTTGGACTTCCCTGCATCGCTTGAAGTAAGCATCCTGAAGCAGTGATGCGTATATTACCATACTAACAATTCGTATAAGGGAGCATCTTTATCGAGCTCATCGATTACCGAAGCATATCTGTCCTAGATGCAACGATCCCTTCGATGATGCCAAGGATCTAGCTGAACATCTCCGGGCTGACGTGCCTTGCGAGAAGTTAGATGTGGTCCCAGTGCTGCAAGGCATCGACGAGGCCACCGAAGCAAAGTTAAAAGTGCGAAGGAAGAATTGTCCCGGTATGACTGACGAGCAGAGATGGGGAGAGATTTACAAGATCCTGTTCCCGAATGCTAACTTTAATGCTATGCCGACTCCATGTAAGAGAACCCAATATTTAGAAGGGTGAAAGTATTAACCATCTGATAGATTATGACGGCAACGATTCGCTGGGATTCTCCAAACGTGCCGAATGGAAGAAGGTGGAGAAGCGGCTTAGAAGAGAGTTGCCCAAGTTCGTACAGAAGAAGGTCGAGAGGTCATTCGAGAAAGTTCAGGCTGATATGTTGGTCGGCCTCCCTGACATCATTCGTGATGGTCTGTTCGAGTTCTTCAAGGACCTCCCACATAATGATTTGTCGGCGTCGGCAACTCCTGCTGCAACTCCGAGGGCTCGTACGCCTAGCTCGCCAGTCGCAAAGGAACAGCCCGCTCTGACGAGCGAGGAAGACAAGGACGCTTTATTGGACATGTCGTATTTTTTGGACCCTACGTTCGACGAATTTGACATGAGCCAGTTTGACTTTGGCAATTTTAACGACTGCCACGTTACTGACAAGTACTCAGACTCCGGTTATGCTTCCACTAGTACCGGGAGGGACGGTACTGTCGAGACAGATATTTGAGGACTTTGGAGAATAGATGTCTAGCTGTTTACGTGCGATTTGGCAAAGCACACTTCTACACTCCTTAACAACGATTTCTTATGTATTTCACGTTGCGCTCGTAAGCGTTGGAATATGATATGGGACGAATCGCTTTTCTCAGCTAGAGGATTGATTACTCAAAATACAAGGACTGAAGTGTATTGATTACTTGCCTGTTCCCGTATGAACTCATCTTAACATAATTCATCTTACGTTGCGATTTTGCAAACTAATCTGCCAAAATAAGGCAAAAGCAAATATTTGAGAAACAAGAGCTTGGAGTTGTAAGGTTGAGTTGAACTCTGAGGCTCGTGAAGCAGTCTGCGTTTTTTGTATGGGATTGCTACCCAGGTATGATATATGACAAGGATAATCCGCCATCCTGAATGGGAGAGAATCTTGATAATCGTACGTATAGTAAGTAGAATAGGATGTTTATTCTAGATACCAGAAGAGCTAGAATCGTATGTAAAGCGACGAGTTTTTACTTATAACTAATTAATACAGACTAATGTAAGACAACATGGAGCTATATGCAGCGAGCCTTACGTATAGCATACCTTGCACGTTGATTCGAACCCTGAGGCTTTTTGGCATCTGTTGCAGGTGATCCGATACACCCAATAGTAGTACAGCGATTGTACGGTTACCGGCCTCGCTCAATCGGGATCAAGCATATGAGACTTTTAATTGTCGAACAAACCGCTATACCAAAAGGTTATCTGGTAATAGATTCTATTCTATTGTGCTTTATTTTTATATCGGACAGATAGTAATATCTGACAATACCTCCTATGCACCTGTCGGTATGCGTGAATCCTGGCAAAGCTTATCGGTCATACCCAGAAGCTAATTGCTCATGGATAGGTATTGTATTTAATTCTGAGAAGGGTGCGTTGTGGGAACTAGAGGCTATTCGATTCCCTCAATCCTACTATTTGAAGCGTAACCAGCATAGCGTCTTCAAGCTTACAGACAGATCCTGTCCGACATAAGATGATATGGTACTGAAGAATAATGTCTTCTTCGAGGGGATATAATGACGGTCAGGCTATAACTAAGGTGCTGGGATTTATGCTGACGTGCTAGAATACGGGAGTAAAAGCTTGTATTTAGGTAATACTATACAGGTCGCGTCGCTCTAGAAGACAGCTCGAATCGAGTTGTGCGACGAAGTGCTGATCATGGTTGACTAGATATGATTTATGACATGATAAGAATTGAGGTAATATGTGTAAAGGGGACTGGGCCCTTCGGTTCTTGGACAACTCTAGTATAGCAACGGAGTAAGGAGAACAATTAGTACAGATGCGATTGTATCGTTATGAGAAGAGTGAAATATAAGAACAATGCTCAACTCTTCTTTACCGGACTGAAATGCTTTAAGACATTCCGAACCAAATAAAACCCTGGGCTAAGATATCTCGGGATGATATGGCCGAGATGAATCTATGAATAGGTATCCTGGTGGATGGCGGAATGTTCTATGGAAGGTGTCCGACCCAAAGTTAAAAGATCGATAAGTGGGCATAAAGCCGGCTTTGCTTCACATGCCTACATAACTGGGATCGTTATGCTCCGGCAGTGTTGTCATTATTATGCAAAAGTTGGACGTGTTAGAAAGGGGGCAAGATAGCGAGAAATAATAGGATGATAGGATGACAAGACTCGGATAGGAAATTTGAATGCGCCTTTGGTAATTCTCCATGTGGTTGCCAAGTGTAGCTCTAAATGAAGTTCGCGTGTAGGAGTGGTACCCGGTACATATCGAGGTGACCTTGTGATTTTCTGCTGTTAATAACTTAATAAGTTGATGGGCGACGATCCCCTCCCGTGGCGCCGTCAGTTTAATGTGCTATGTGGGCATCGACCCGCTCGAAATTGTTCTAAATTCAAAAGGGGAAGCAGGCAATATCGTAGTGTATTGTAGTGGCAGATCTAATTGCGACAAGCTTTATGTCGCTAGTTCCGTACAGAGGCGTAACGTCGTCGCTAAACTAATCTACTTGGGTATAAGTGGTTTGAGTAGCACTCCGCCCAACTATCTCGGCAGGTACTATGTAGTTGCTCAATTGCCCAATTGGATGGTCTCCCAAGTCTCAGAGCTGCTTCCCCAGTGGCTCGATTCTCCTGCAGCGCCTGCAAGCCATGTCTTTTCTAGGTACCTAACATACCTAGGTTAGGTACCTAGGTACGTACAGAGCCAGGGGTTGAACGGATTACACTAAATTTTTATTTTCTCTTTAGAACCCCTGTCCTTCCCAGTCGCAACCTCTCGTTGGCCCGTCCTATCGCAATTTTGCAGGTACCATCCAAATGTATACTATGTTAACAAGATGGTGAAGCTTGTAAGCCTGCAACTCGAATTGAAGGCTCTCGCCCCTTGTCAAAACTTTGTTCTTCTATTCAGTATCAAAGTTCTTCGCTGCCTATACGAGAGGTAAACCCCGGTACCCTATTGTGTGAATACCCTCTTTTTTTCTAACCTTCTGCTGGCCTTCGTCTTAACTGCAAGCTTCGACTATCTGAACAATTACTCTCCTTCGTCAACGGCAATTTCATTTGTTTGATCTTTGATACCCCCCATCCTCTTCTGTCACCTTTTGATCTTTTACAATTTTTTAATGTTTCCATAACTTGAACTTCTCTCGGGCCCCTAGTACCAAGCCCATACAACCAGCCACATCACGATTTGCGACGACCGATCCAAATTCAAAATCAAAAATAATAGCGGACCGGCCGTCTCATGAAACCAACTATCCAACCGTCGTCGTCACTCCTTCATTCCTAAGTCTTATCTGCGACAAGCTACTATTTGGTCACTTGGTCACCTGTCGCCCGCTGTTTCGCAAGTGAATGAATTTACTCGCTACCGGCCGTACGTACCCGCGTAAGAAGCTAAGGTCGGATCCTACATCCTTCGCTGCCGCCTCATGCGGTTGACCGATCCGCAGCTACGGTGCGACCAACCGCCTCAATGCCCTGGCAACCTTTGCCTCGTATCGCCTTCGCCGTCGCGACCTATCCTTTCGAGACCAAGAACGAGAACGAACTTCCCCTAGAGATCGGCGATGATCTATACATTATCGAAGAGACCTCGGACGGCCAATGGCTGCGGGGGTATCTGTTAGCGCCTCCCTCGCTTCTGGCTGGCCTAACTTCCGTCAGGGGTCAACCTCTCGAAGCTCGTGTCTTTTCTGGCATTTTCCCGCGCACATGCGTCGAGATACGCGAGGTGTTAGATAACGGAGACGAGAATTCTGAGAATAGCAGTAGCTACCAGGGAGAGGACGATGCGCCGCCTATCGGGAGCGACTCTGGTAAGAGCGGAGTGGCTTCGAGCACGAGGAAGCCCTACTTTAGAGACCTGGAGAATGGGAGTAGGCCGCATAGACCGAATGGTACTATGTTAGGTGGTGCAACCACCCGTGCTTCTGAGTTCGGAATACGCGAACCTGGTGCGCCTAAGCCAGCCGCGCCGGTGCCGATGCTTAGGTTAGGGGACGAAACGCCTACCTCCACTATGGAACCTCTGGTAGACGAGATCGCGTCGTGTCTACGCGAATGGCACTCGACTAATTTCCACGAGCTATTGCTTACGAGGCAATATGCTAAGCTTGACAAAGTATCCCAGCTAATACAAGCCCTGGACCTATCGAGGAGACAATTTCTACATAACCTTCTCACCACTCGTGAATATGATGCATTGCGGGAGAGGACCGTCTGGGATCTGGTTAGGGGAAACAAACTGTGCGGCGGAGAGGTCATCGTGCGAGATCCTAACGAAAGAGGAAGAGTTTTAACTGGCGACGATTCGGTTGTGGAAATCACCAAGTTGCAGTCGGTTATGAGCTTATTAGACGAACCGCCGCAGCCGCAAGCCGAATTGTCCGCATTACACCATCTAATGGTTGATATCAGGAGCTTCGCGGGCTCCTCCAACGAGCCCGCAACGTTGGTACTGTACCTCGTTAGCAAATCGATCGGAGGAACCCTGACGAGGCTCTCGGAAAGCTACATAATTGAAGTACCATCAGGTGGTACGATGGGTTATCTGACCAGAAATCCGCAGATGCGTACCTTATTTACCGATCTGACTTCCGCTGATATCGGCGATGGACCATCCGCCGACTCAGAACTATACCTGATCGTCAAGGTACGCTCCCCGCAGCAGGTGGTATCGAACAAGCCCGTCTCGAGGTCAGGTTCGTTTGGTCAACCTAATACGCCATTTTCGAACAGCAAACCGTCCTCCGGTGGTAAGCCTTCTAGGAGGAGCTTGATGTGGGGAACTACGAGATCTGGGTTTTCTAGAGGTGGAACAAAGCTCGACGCTTTATCCGAACAGCCGGAGGACCGGCCTCGAACGGATAATCACGAGAGCAGAGATGGTACGATGCCCCCGAGTACCGCCGGTTCGAGGGCGGGACGCCAATCCTTCGACGGACCGCAACCGACGCAGATGCTAGCGGAGAGGATGGTGGGCATGGGTGTGCTAAGTCTGAACTCGATCATGAAGCAGAATGAAGAGTCAGAGCATGTGGTTACGGTTTGGGCGCCATCCGCGAGGTTCCCTACTGAAAAGTACGACAGCGCTGACGGATGGAACGGGCTGGTTCTTGACCTTCTGGAAAGCAAATCAGGTCACTACGAAAAGTCTAGGAGGGCAGAGCGGTTGCAGATCCACCTGAAGTCTTTCAACAGCCCCGACGCAGATGCTCTTATCAGAGCGACTCCTACTTTGCTTGCCGGCATTAGTAAAACTAGCAAGATGGGATTCTCCGGCGCCCCGACGAAACCTCGGTCTGACATCTACGTGACAGTCGCAGAAGCCCTTCTAGCTCGTCAGAACCTAATCTCGCGTTTTGGAGCCGGCGCGACGAATATATCTAGCAACGTGCACGGCAACAATCTGATGGTCTCCTTGGAAGTCCGGCGGCAATCAGGAGAGCGAATCGAGGATTGTATATACCCGTCTTCAAATTCGGAGCCGGTGACTACGTGGCGCTCGTTTGCTGTAGAGCGTGGCGAGCAGTGGGATCAAACTATTCGACTCTCGCTCTTGCCCGCCGATGTCAGCACGTCAAACGTCGTGTTCACCGTTTCCGACCTACCTAATACGCCTTTTGCAATTGCGTACATGCCCCTATGGGATCAACAGGCGTTCCTGGGCGACGGCCCGCATTCTCTACTCCTCTATAAGCTGGATGAGTACACGCAAACCGCGCAGGCTGGGCCGACAGGTAGGGGCGGGTATCTATCCCTCCCCTGGAGCGCTCGTAGCGACCAGAGTGATGTCACCGGCCCACTTGCAACTCTTCGAATTGAGACGTATCTCTGTAGCACCAGATTCTCGCAGGATCGAATAGTCCTTGGGCTATTAAAATGGAAAGAGAGTCCCAGAGACGAAATCCCAACGCTGTTGAAGCAGCTCGTGTTTGTGCCCGAGATCGAGGTCGTCAAGTTGCTAAGCGATGTTCTCGATGCTCTCTTCGGTATTCTGGTTGAGTATCAAGGCAACGACGAGCACGAAGACCTCGTCTTCACCGCCCTCGTCCGAGTTTTGGGCATAGTCCACGACCGTCGGTTTAACTTGGGCCCTCTGGTGGATCACTATGCCGAGACCAAGTTCAACTATCCCTTCGCCACGCCCTGCCTTGTCAGGTCTTTCACGCGGCTCCTGACAAAACCGACCGAGTCGGAGACTGCTCGGAAGCTAAGGGCTACCCTTAAGGTTGTACGCCATATCCTTAAATTTATCACGCATGCGAGAGGTCAGCAGAAGGTCAAAGAGGTTGGTATCGGTATTACCGGCAGCACGGCCGGTTTTACTCGACACCTGCAAAGTATATTCAAGGCTCTCGATTCGATGATGCGAAGTACTGCACCGGTTTTGGTCGGAAGCCAGACGTTGGCCGTACAGCATTTTCACACCTGGTTGCCCGAACTTACCGGATTACTAACCACCGAAGAGATCCTTCACATAGCTATCGACTTTATGGATTCGTGTGCCCTGGTCAAGGGCAAGCTGGTGCTGTATAAGCTAGTTCTGATCCTTAACTACTCTAAGCTAGACCTATTTGCTGGTCCGGAGCAACGATCCGCTCTCTGCGCAAACACGGTAAGATGGATTGCACCGCATTGGGGTCGGACGGACGATGTCACAGAGCAATGGAAGGAGCAAGTACGCCTTTGCTGCTCAGTCCTAGCTAGCCAGGCCGATCATCTTAATTCTGAGATCCCCGACTACATACCGAAGATTGTCGGCTCTTACCTATCTATCCAAGCTACGGAGCTGAAACCCAAAACCCGATTTTCAATGTTGTTTCCGATAACGTACCCTTTCCCGAGCAAACAAATATCCGGCGATGCTGTTCAATTTGACGAGGCTCTGATCGAATTATCAGCAATCTTGTCTGCTCTTTCGAACTCGCCCAATGGAATGCAACTTGAACTGGCCCCGGAAGACCTCACTAGCCTCTTGAAGAATACGCTCCACGTGCATACAAGTATATTGCAGGGGGAAGCTTTCCCGTCAAGTTGGTTAAGCGTGTATATATATCATCACAAGTCGACTATGAGAACGCTACAATATCTTGCAGGCATTCTCCTGGAATCCTTTTTACCTCACCCCGACGAGGCCGAAGACTTCGATACGGAGTTGTGGCGGATGTTCTTTTCCACACTGCTAAAACTCGTCGGCAGCGGACACTTGGCACTCGAGACCTTCTCGGAGCAAAAGCGAAGAGCAGTTTGGAAGATTGCCGGTGACGTTAGGGAACACGGTGCCGAGCTGTTAAGGCGTACCTGGGAAGCTATTGGTTGGGAGACGAGCCCCGACGAGAGGTCCCGATATGGGTTAACAAAGATGGGCGGTTATCAAGTCCAATACGTCCCTACGCTGGTTGGTCCTATAGTCGAGCTTTGCCTGAGCGTTCACGAAGGACTGAGGAGGATGGCCGTCGAAGTTCTCCAAACTATGATCGTCAGCGAATGGACGCTGAGCGAAGACCTATCCGTCATCCAGACAGAGATGATCGATTGTCTGGATGGATTCTTCAAAGACAAGACCATGACTGAGAGTATATTGCAAAAGCTCTTCATCAGCGAGCTTCTCGACCGATTTGAGCCGTTGTCGCTGGTTGAAGGCGATCCGCTATACTCTGCTTTAAGAGGCTTGATCGAGACGATTTCCGAGTTTCTCGACCTTCTTGTTGCCGTTCATAGCGGAGATATCACGAGCGAAGCTTCTCATCTAATCAACCGCCTTCAGCTCATGGAATTTCTCAGAGACATGCAGAAGGAAGAGATATTTATCCGATACGTCCATCAATTAGCAACTTTGCAATTCGATGCCAAGAATCATACCGAAGCCGGACTAGCCCTTCGCCTTCATGCTGAGTTATACGATTGGGACCCTTCAAGGTTAACGCCTGCGTTACAAGACCCAGATCTTCCAGAACAGTCTCATTTTGAACGGAAGGAGCGAATTTACTTCGACATGATCAAACACTTCGAAGAGGGAGAAGCCTGGAGCAGCGCGCTCGCGGCCTATAAGGAACTTCAGACCCAATACGAGAGCAATGTCTTCGACTTTGCCAAACTTGCTAGAACCGAAAGGGCTATCGCGACCATCTATGAAAAGCTGACAAAGAGCGATAAATTGGTACCAAGATACTTCAAAGTTGTCTATAAGGGTCTAGGATTCCCCTTAAATCTGCGCGACAAGACGTTTGTGTACGAGGGCTCGCCGACCGAGCGGACGTCAGCCTTTACGGACCGTATGCAAGAGCAATATCCAGCCGCTCAGATTCTTACGTCGAGCGACGTCGATAGCGAAGTTGAAGGGCAATACTTGGTCATCTCAGCCCTCAGCCCTCATCGCGATCTAAGTCATCAGGTATTTCAGCGCGCCAGAGTCCCACAGCCTATCCGCGATTATCTCCTTTCGGCTCGTGCGCAGATGTTCTCAGTTTCGTCTAAGCGCAGCACTAACGGACCCGTCGATACGCACTATGCCGAAAAGACGGTTTATACTACGGCCGAGCCCTTTCCTACTATCCTACGGCGTAGCGAGGTCGTGGACGTCCACACTATACGGTTGGGTGCTAAGGAGACGGCCCTCGAACGAATTGTGCGGAAGACGCAAGAAATGACAGCCGTCGAGAAGAAACTAGCCGAAGAAGAAGATGAAGAAGTTGCTCAGCTGATGGTAGACGCCATTAGCATCTCGGTGAATCCCGAGTCGGATAGCAGCGTTGCCTGTTATCGCCAGCTTCTTCCTATCCCACAGTCCGAGGATGATGAAGAACCGGAGCTAGACCAACAGGAGAACGCTATCAAGATGGCGCTCGTAGACCACGCGATCATGATTAAGAGATGCTTAACCAGTTTTGCTCGTAGTTCAAACCCTGTTCTCCTGAAGGGATACGAGGACTCGTACAAGCGTAAGTGATCGGATGCAGGTTTCGTTTGATTTGACTAACGCGGCCCAGATTTCTTGTCTACATTCGCGCCGGAGATTGCGATTTTCGCACCTGCTCAACCGCCTCGCGACAACGCCTCGGCTGCATCATCACCCGCTTGGCAACGGTCATCTCCCACCGCAGAGAACTTATCGCCAGAAGCCAAAGCCGACATATTGGCGGCAAACGCAGTTGGCGTAGTAGAAGAAGCATCAGCCGCTCAACCGATTTCTATGAAGCAACGCGGGGCAAGACTCAGCTTCTTAGGTGGGAAAAAGAAGGAGCCCCAGCAATCTCAACAGTCTAACGGCGACACGTCAAGCTTGAAGCAAACCAAGGGCGACAGCGATTCTAACAGCCAAGTAAGCAGAGGAAGGGACAATTCAAATCGAAGGAGCATATTCCGTACCCAGTCGAGCGACACTAATCTTAGCTCGAATCCGTATGCTCAGCCTTACTCTAATGGTATCGTCGTTGACTCAACCACACCCGATTGGACGGTTGACCGGTCACGCAAAAGCAAGGAGATAGTAGACGTCTTCGAGAGGGACTTTGATAAACCCAGTGATGGTGGGATAGGGTTTAATTCGGTCAAGAAAAGGCTGAGCCTGTTGAAGTTGGGAAAGAAACCGAGCAAACCCAATGGTTTCTTCATGGGTGGCGTAAGTGAGGAATAATACTAGACATATCCAAAGTTGCTGGTTTGTGATGCTGGAAATACACAATGGCAGTGGGTACTGTACGTGAAGGGATACCAAATTTGATGGAGCAGGATAATGAAAAAAAAGCTTGAGGAACAAACCTGGCGTTCTGGACAATCATCTTGACGGGGCGAAGTGGCGCCAGCACTCAACTACTGTATCGAATGCCATTTATCCGCTGCTAGCGGACTGTTTATTTGGGTATCGTTTCCCTCTGAAACCTTTTTTTTGTTCTTTTTTTTTCGATGAAGATTCTGCCTCTTCTCGGCCCATGGAGGATTAGTAGAGTTACACATTTCTGGCAATGAGACCTTGGTTTCGTAGTCGAGGAGCATCCACCGATAGATTATCAATGTTACAATCCATCACGGGGAACTGATTTACCTATCCACCTAATCATAAAAACTTGGAACGTTCAGCACTTCCTTCTATTGCGGTACGCCAGCTCACCTCTTAAGCTAGGTATTTAGCTTAATAACCTAAATAAATCAAATTCCGATTTCGATCTACGAGGCCTAAAATGTAGTCAACCGATTAAGAGAGAATCGCCGGTGATCTACACCTATCTTTATAGAAATGGAGTCAAAGTTGCCTATGCGTACCGGGTAAATAGGAGGGATATTGACTCGCGAGATGTATAAACCGAGTACTCCACAGTCATTTCGGAGCTACTCTCGTGATACGCAATTCAATCCGTATTCCTAACGCCGTCGAAAATCAACACCAGAGAATTGACAGTGACCCTTGTTCCTCCACCGGAGTACACGTCAGCCTGAATATACTGCCATATGACAACTCTCTCTACAAAGCTATGGCATCACCTGCAGCATCCCTTCGAGATCCTTTAGTTTAAGTAAACTTCTTGTTCCTGCAGATATCAACTCGATCCCTTGGCAATTATTTGTCATATTCCCATGCGGGCCAAGATTCATTACTGAGAAGAAACAAACGAGAGAGGATATCAGCGTCCTAATTCAGCCTTTTTTGGTGGGGTTACTTCAGTAGATAATGCGATTGGTGCGTTGCAGCTGGGGAGGGATGCGTGATCCAAGGGTCTCGGCCGAGCAGCGAGGCAGTTGATCCTGGCTTGCTCTAGCGAATAATGGTTTCGAATTGGACATCTCCCGGCTTGGCAGGGTTTGGAGACGGTGATCCCTCGCTGAACAGCACTACCGAAGATAGGAAGAATATTTTGAAAAGGATGGACGCGGTACACATGGCCGTAGCTGTCCTTTCCGGCAGCCAGATATTGTTGGCCTCTTCTACTTCTACACTCTCATCTTCTTGTTTATTCATGTGGTATTTTATTCCCCCCTGATTGCTTTATCCTGCGTTTCTTTAATTGAAACAAACCCGCTCATCTACCGGTCGGACTTCCAGGTTCATAATATATTGCTTGCATCTCACTTTTCATATTGGCATCGAGACGCGCGGCCACGAGCCACGAGCCACGATTCAGCGAGCTCCGGTAGAAGAGCTCCTGAGTATATCCCGACCAATATGCTTAACGGAACCTTTATGGTGCGGAGATAGTAACGCTGATGATGATGCGAACGGTATCGAACAGGGCTTTGCCGCTTGCTGCCCGCTATGGCTCTGTCCTGTTAGCCGCCTTCCTCGTCTACTGTATCATTCGCGAGCCTTTAAATATAGCTGTCAGTAATATATCATTTCCAGGAAAGGGCGATTCTTATACTCCCGGGTCAGGGGGCGACCAAGGAAGCTTTCCCGTTATCGGTGGCAAAGAAGACACCAAGGGCGAGGAAGCCAACAAGGGCCCTGCTGGTGCGGCTCAAGCTATCCAGGAAAAGAATGCGGAGAGGCCAATGAGCGAGGGGGAGGATGTTATAAAGTACGTCAAAAAGTACAAACCGGAATCGATTCCATCCACCCCCATTGGAGACCATTTCCCTTGGCTCACGCATTCGAAATCCCCGCCGCCGGTCCTCGAAAACAACCTACCTCCCCATCCGCACGTAGAGGAAGCGACGCCGCTGCTTATCGGCTTCACACGAAACTGGCCGTTGCTGTTACAATGTGTGAGTAGCTATATTGCGGCCGGGTGGCCGCCGGAGGATATCTACGTGGTTGAGAATACAGGCACGTTCCACGCGAATCGGCAACATGAGCTGGAGTTACAAAACCCCTTCTTCCTCAACTACACGGCACTGGACATTCTCGGGGTGAAAATCCTAGAGACGCCAACTCTACTTAGCTTTGCCCAGTTACAGAACTTTTTTCTACACACGGCGCTCGAGCGCGACTGGCCTTTTTTCTGGTGGAGTCACATGGACGTGTTGGTATTCAGCGACGAGGATGTCAAGAAGAACGATCGAGATCACGATTGGGACCATGACCCATACGCGACTATTTACGAACGTTGTATCGGATTGCTGCGATACCTAAACGGCCCAGATATGCCGCCGTGGGCTACCCACTTCTTCGAGTACGATCACCTCGCCCTAGTGAATCGCGATGCGTACCTCGAGGTCGGCGGCTGGGATACTCACATCCCTTACTACGCCTCCGATTGTGATATGTACCTACGCTTGCACTGGGAGGGATACTGGCAGCCGCAAAGCGAAGCAGGTCTCGTGTTTGACGTTTCCACAGCGCTCGACGATATTATGGCCCTATTCCGTGTCCCAGGCGCGCACGCTACGTTCAAGGGAGACCCCGTGCACGCGGCAGGTGGCGACGATACCTCCGAATCTGAGAGAGCTCACCGGGAAGCGGAGCTTAAGCGCGAGCAGGACATGCGGCCGTGGGTAGACAAGGAGGGCGAGACCTTCGCTCACCTGGTCGAGGTGGCGAATCGCATGCAGGATCTCAAGTGGGTAGACGAAGGAGTGCGGCGCAACGCATGGCAGACGCGGCAGGCGGGCGGGCAGGCGGATCCCTTCTATCGCGATCCGGAGGGGTTCGCGGCTGGGCTAGAGACTCTCGTTGATGCCGGACGTCGGGTTTTCGCCGATAAATGGGGACATCGCGGGTGCGACTTATTAGCTATGGGTATCGAGGGTAAAGACGAGTGGCGCCTCGAGCGAGACTGGGATATCCGCGAGAGCCCCGGGAGCGAGGGAGGGAACTGGGGAAAGGATTGGATGACGGGAAGTGAGGATTTGAACAAGTCATAAGCGGGTGAGAAAGGATAAAAAGGGGGTAAGGTGTGAATAGGGGTTACATATTTAGAGTAGAGGAAGCCTTGCGTCTTGGGTGACGAACAGTGATGGTTTCGGACTCTACGGATATATTATTAAGGCGTTCTGGATGGAGTAGAGTATAACCTAGGCGTTATCGAGGTGATCATAATTCATAACACTTGCGGATACACATTAACATTAAAAGTCGCTATTCTTATATGTGAGTGCATCACGAAGAGCATAGACACTACCTTGATGAGCCGTCCAGTCATAAATTCTCTTAAACCTACGGCCTAACTTCAAAATTTTAATCATCACATCAATATAGCCGTCATTTCATAATATCCTCTTGATTCACTATAAGGTTCTAATGATTGATTTATAGAGGAATCGTAAAATACAGGTAAGCCGAAGCTGCGACATCGTGAGACTGATCAACTTGGGCAGAGAAGTCTAACCGAGATATCTAAAATGACGCCTTCCCGAATATCCTATACGTAATTATAATGTTCCAGATCCGGGGCTTGCGCCCGTTGATTAAAACAAAATCTAGGTCTATATCTATGTCTAAATCAGATAGTTAAGCACACTATATGACGCTCAGTTGCCGTGACGGATGTCGTCTACAATCTTCTCGGCGAGGGCATCTATTTATCAGTAGTTAGCAATGGTATAATAATGATATCCTAATATCGGGAGGGATACGTACAGATAGTAGACATGGGATGGCCTGGGGGTAAGATTGGTAAACTCGAAGCGTCTACAACACGAAGGCCGGTGACGCCACGGACCTTGGCATTGGCGTCGAGTACGGACATCTTATCGCTTGCTGGTCCCATCTTACAGGTGCAAGCGGCGTGGAAGATCGTGGAAAAGTTCTCCTGGATGTAGCGCCAGATTTCCTCGTCGGTCGTGACATTCTTGCCAGGGTAGTATTCCTCACCCACTAGTACAGGACGCACAGCCGGTGCCGTCCATATCTGACGCGTGCGCTTAAAGCCGGCGATGGCCACTTCTTTATCGGCCGGGTGGCTGAGCCAGTTGGGATTGATAATAGGTAAGTCAGCCGTGTCGTTGGACCGAATGGTTACGTTACCCCTCGACAGCGTGGCTACTAAGCCGGCAATTACTGTTGCGTACTGGAATCCATCATTGGGCGCGACCAGTTGAAGATTGCTCGAATTGCCGAAGAAGGCGCCGTCGGGAAGATACTCGAGCTCCGGCCAGTCAGAGGAAAAGGAGGAGTCCAGTGCCGAAGCGGTGGCGTTGCTGAGGAGGTTACGGGGAAGACGCTCCCAACCTGCTCGAATAGTTAGTAACCAGTTATCAATCTTCATGGAATGCATATTCAAATATCTGCGTCGGGTCTTACGTACCAAGAAGGTCGACGCCGTTGCTTGTCATGGGGCCGTTACCCTGTGCATACTGCTTCTCGAATAGGGCTGCCTGCTCTGGGTCCCCAAAGGCAGCGGCAGTGCGGATATTTACCCTGTATGAAGTACCAATAAGAACGTGATCTCTCATGTTCTGTCCAACTCCGGGGCTATCCTGAAGGACCTCGATACCATGCTTCTCCAGGGCGTCCTTGGGGCCGATACCCGACACCATCAGTAACTGTGGACTCTGGAAGGCTCCCGCCGAGACGATAACCTCCTTACGAGCGCGGATGGTGTATTGAAGACCTAGCGTATCAACCAACACGCCAGTGGCACGCTTCTTTCCGTCGAATACCACTCGCTTAGCTAGGGTCGAGATGAACGTGATGAGGTTGGGGTTACGACCACCAAGATGGGGGCGTAGGAACGCTGTCTCTGAAGACTCGCGTGTGTTCTCCTCGCGCCGGATTGCGGCGAGCGCGTAGGAGTAGCCGCCTGAAAGGTTGCCGCTCTCGAAGCCGCGCTGAGGCTTCAGGCCGATGGCTTCTAATCCCTTGCGTGCCCAGGTGCTGAACGGCTGTGCGTACTTAGGGTAGATGACTGACACGGGGCCCTTGGTACCGAGCTTGGATGGATCATACTGGGGTGTCGAATTGGCGAAGCGGTCATAGGTGCCACCCACAGGAGGCGTGAACTTTTGACTCTTGGTAAAGTACGGGAAAAACTTGTCAAATGAATAGGCCGGGGAGTCGGCCTCCTTGGCTAGTTGGTCGTAGGATCCCTTCGTAGCGAGGTGATAGGCCATGAAGTTGCGGGCAGAGCATCCACCTAGTGTTCGGCCTCTGGGATAGTGAGCGGTGATACCATTGAGGGCTTGTTGTGGCTCCGTGATGAAGCCCCAGTCGATATTAGGTTGCCAGTCATCAGTGGCCTTGCCCGAAAACCAGCTCGCTTCTGAGGGGACTTCGCTGAGGTTGCCGTTGGTAAGCTCATAGAAGCCGCCGGCTTCGATTACGCCTATGGTTAGGGAACTGTCTTCAGCGAGACGAGCTGCCACCGCGAGGCCAGCCTGGCCACCGCCTACCACGACATAATCAAACTCATAGTCTTGGCCAGGGATGCCAAAACTAGTGCCGAAGACGCCAGTGATCGAGGAGTCCCCCGGTTGAGGTGTAGGGGCGGCTATCACCGAAAGACTGGGCAATAAGGCGGCTGCCAGGGCCGAGAGCCGGAGAGTATACATTATGGTCATAAGAGAAAGGAGAAGAATGTGTGATAGGAGGTCTAACACTTGTTGGCTCTGAAGGGTTGAAGTAGTCGGTCGAACGTGATGAATCCTTTTCCTCTAAATAACGCCTACTTCTTCTTATATATGTATGTACGAGCTGGAGGGAGTCGCCATCGCATCATCTCGCCGCTTATCTCTCTCATCCTTTTCTCTTTCTGGGAACCGTGCCTCTCAGCAACGAGGAACGTATTGCTGACGTTGTCCTATGCTATTCATGTAACGACTTATGATAGCGCCCGAGTCGGTACCTTGCGCTATCAGCTGACATTATTCCGACCATGCTTTTGCTCTTCGTAGGTACGGTATATCTCGATCTTGAGAAGCCCATCTTTTCAAAAGCAGCGATTGGAAAAATGTGTATCTATACCACCGTCGATTGCTCGAAGCTCTATTCCGAGGCATCTAGATGAGAAGAGCTATACGTAAATACGCCTCCGGTTGAATCGGTAGTTTCCCGCGCAAATATGCTGTATTCCAGCTTGGCGTTATCGTGGCGTCGGGAAAATATTAGAGCTATGGGTTGTGGCACGACGCCCTCGGAATATCGCTCTAGCCACCTATCCCGGTGGTATTTGGGATTACATCACGAAAGGCCGTCCACCTAAGCCTAGGAGGCTCGGCTTGTTGGCCAGTCAGATGCAACAGTCAAAGGTCAGCCGTGCAGTGAGCTGATAAGAAGCCAGCCAATCGTATGCAAAGTGAGGCTTGCATGCTTAAGATTCTTTGGTCCTGCATTCCATGGGATGATGTTCCTGGCTGTCTGGGTAAGCCTTGGTGAGATGAAAGCTCGGTAGGACCCGACTGAATGGAAAGTATGGCTCGGAGATCACGTTGCATTTTATTTTCTTGGGATCTCATAAGGCTGCGAGGCGTATGAGTCACCTGATATTATCATCTACTGTAAGCAAGACCAGGGCTATCGACACGGCCAAATCCGTGGCGATCTTTCATCTTGAGCCCTTTTGTAAGGCATGTCTGTCAGCTGTCTCTTGGTGCACGCTTGACTCGATGCGTTCAAGCATCTGGCTTTCATCATACAAGGTACTGTATAGGTAAAGGCTAGAAATCAGAAACATTCGGAAGCATATCGGAATAGGGTCTTGTGGCATAATGATCTAGGATTCATATACGCTACGCAATATAGAACGGATTCATCTTGCTGGGTAAGTTTGATTCTAAAAGGGCGGAAGCTTAACACAATAATCTAAGTTAGTTATTGTGAATTTCACAAGAAACATTAATATGAAGCCACTGTCGGGAGTGCAATGAATATTTTTCCATGGACTAAGATTACTATACAAAGAAAATGTGTATTAAGCCATACCAATTTGCCAACTAACAGTGAACGGCAACTTGTTGTTATTATTAGACTCTTTCTGTCTTAATAAGGCGAGAAAAGACCAGATCTGGCCTACGTTAATCTGGCATTTGTTGATAAGCGACGGCTGAGCTGAGAAACCAACCGGGTAATATAAACTAACCATAAGTAAGGCCCAGGGGCTTTGCGGGAGTTTCGGGGATAGGTGGTAGGAATAAGATTGCTTTTGCCAGTTGTATTTATTATCTTGACTCACGTTGGGAGAAGCCCATGCGCTCGATTTATATACCAAATTGCTATCACTTGGTTATTTATATCTGGAGTTAATGATCAGAAGTTCTTTGGCTAAAGTATGTTGCGGAATTAACTGTTATTTTAAGGCATCGGATTCCGTTATTGTGGTGCAAGATATTTCCGACACATATAAAAGATCGCATAACGATTTCAACCCACTATTAATGTCTAGAAATAGACCGGTAGAATGGTAGCCATAATTTTAAGGTCGTAGGAACTCAGGGGTTTAGGAAGATGTATATCCGCTAAGCCATTCGGGTGAGATACCTCTTGCTGTAGCGCGCGGCGAATTCTAATTCGGGACTGTTTACCCCGTAACTTAGGTGCCGTCTCCGCCGGAGATAGCAACCAATTCACAGAGCGCCGCCCGAAACTACCCGAAACTAGCGAATTTAAAACCGAACCGCTTAAAAGAAATATCGGCTTTTACGGTCGCGGACTTATCGCGTCTTTGAGGCTCAGTCTCGCCGGGGCTATAACGTTATTATACGCTACTACACGCAGGGCATCTCTTATTATTAAAAGCTCAACGTTGTACGATGGGTTTTTCTCGGTTCGAGCCAGATCAGATTCGCTGCCAATGAAGAAAGCCTTGTCTAAATTTTTACGCCGTTTCAAACCAGGTCATCCTCATTCTGCTTCATCAACTTCTGTATTACCATCCAGGGATCACCCACGTGCTATCGTCTCTCACCCTCACGTCAGCGCATCAGCCATGGCCTCTAACCCCTCCCCCTCCCCCTCCCTTCGCGGCAAGGTTGCTCTTATTACTGGTGCTTCCAAAGGCATCGGCAAGGCCTCAGCTATCGCACTCGCGCGTCTTGGTGCCACGGTGATCATCAACTATTCTTCGGATGAGCAAGCCGCGCAAGACACCCTCACCGAGGTGCAGAAGCTGGGTGTAGGTGAAGCGCGTCTCGTGCGCGCTGATGCTAGTTCCGTGGAAGGTGTGCAGTCACTCGTCAAGCAGACCGTCGACGCCTATTCTAAGATCGATATACTCGTACCGAACGCCGGTGTCCTGCCTATGAAAGACCTCGAGCATACCACCGAGGCTGATTTCGACCGTACCTTTGCTATTAACGTCAAGGGTCCTTATTTTCTCGCCCAGGTAAGCGTTCAAAATCCTCACCGACGGACTAATCATCCGCGAACTGCCCGTGACCTAGGTGTGGCACAGCTGCTGACCACTCACCTTACAGGCCGCCGCGCCGCACATGTCTCCTGGCTCGCACATCATCTTCTTATCTAGCACGCTAACCACAGCATCTACCGTCATGCCGGGCTATCTGCTGTACAATAGTACCAAAGGTGCCATCGAGCAGATGACTCGCGTGATAAGCAAGGATCTCGGACGCAAGGGTATTCTCGTCAACGCCGTCGCGCCCGGTCCCACGGGAACTGAGCTCTTCTATCGCGGTAAGAGTGACGAGCTGCTTAAGACCATCGCAAACTTTAGCCCCCAGGGCCGCATTGGCACTCCTGAGGAGATTGCCGAAGTTGTCGTCTTCCTGGCACACTCAACCTGGGTCTCGGGCCAGGTGCTCCGCGCTAATGGGGGTATGGCTTAACAAGATCTAGGAAGGGAAAATAGACAAAATGGGTATGAAAGAGGAGGGAGAGACAGCTTTAGAACAAGAATCAAATAGTTTGAGAGCTATGCGTATCGCTATTACCTATCCCCTTTTTTGTACATCCCTTCGAACATTTGGATATTATAAAATAAACCAGCGTAGAAGATGAGTAAATATTTGATATTGCTTCTCATCCCGTATTATTTGCCTCCGTAGATTCAGAAATTATCCATGTAAGCTGAGTATTCAAAATTCTTTATCAGACAGGATCTTTCGGACTTTGGGAGATCGGTCTCTGAAGTCGATTTAAATCGTCCATTCAGCCCAATGCGTTGGGCCGACGGTCTTATGATGGGCTTAGTGGTCCCAATGCACTTCTTCGATTACGCGACCGCGAAAGAAAATAATTCTCGCCGGTTCGAGAATATGTTTTCCTCTCTGTTACGGACCAAGGCTGATTACCTGAGGCGGCCAAATGGGCTTCGGAGAAATAGGTAATCCAGGGCCGGGAGTACGATCACGTGATACCCCTTAGGGAACCTGGGCACCTGGAGGCTCCCGGGCAGCAAGTTCGATGCGCCAGGTTAGGCCAAATATACTGAAAAATGAGGCTTAACTGGCCGTATCGTGGGACTGACCTGGGAGCCTTTATAAAGCCACACCAGCCACATAAATTTCCTACCCACCACTTAAAGGTGTATATGTATACCCTCATTTCTACCTATTTGCTAAGCAAATAAAGATTGCGACCTGAATTGGATAGACATCCCATAAAATGTATCTACCCAAGCTAGGTCAGGTCAGATCCAAGTCAGGTCAAGCTACATATTGATTGACTCGTCGAACTCGCTGCTCCCGGGTCCCATGCACATAGAAGCCTGAAGGTTCCCTGGCTCCCTATACTGACGATTTGAATATATAACGACTAGCTAGCTCCTTAGATTAGGTAGAATATCGTCAGTAGTCAATCTAACACCTGGTATAAGTCTATATCAACGTCGTTACCTTCAAACCAAGATCCACCTTGTTAAACTATCCTACCACTCTGATGATGAGCTAACCACTGCCCAATCATCGTTAAACTAAATTCGCCTAACTTCGGTGTCATCACCATCTTATGACTGAAGTGCAGGTCAAGTTCCGTCATTCCAAGTCATAATAACTTTCTTTCGTAGTCAGACCCGGAATCATATGTAGTATTGACTAGAGCTTCGCGATTTGGTCATATCGCCAAGGTAATGGCTTCTTAGATAGGCTCGCACCCGCTTGACCGTACAAGTCGAGATACTACCTACAACAGAACAAACGGACCAGACCGAAGATGGTAGGCCGCTTTCGATGTGGCAAGATGTGATGCGCATTCGAGAAATCCACTCAAACCTATGGAAAGTTTCTCGGAATATAAACGTCATGATATGCTTTCAATCGCGATGAGGACTACCAGTGTATCAGGTTTATCTAGATCGAAGGGTCGATTCGACTCGTGCCATCGAAATGAAATTGTCGAATAGCTTATAGGTACCTAAGGTGGCACCGAAACGGCAAGGTTCTCGAAGTGAGATACCTACATAGTCTCAGAAGAAGCTTTTCGTTAAGCCCAACTTCCGCATTTGGATTGGGTGAGAACCGAAGCTGAATCTTGACTGGGCATGATAACCTGAAAGATAGTAACTAGCTTGTAAGCCTATAGTTGCTAACGATGCTTACTATGATTTGGTGTTTAGTGACGGCGCTAGGTGTTCAAGTGTAAGCAGTGTAGTATAAGTGAACGAGAGACCCACGAACCATAGTAAAGTATAGTGATCAAGATCCGTCCGACCGGTAATGAAGGCCGGGTCGTTGGGGTTTTCGCTTCGGCATGTGAATGAACAAGGAGGGTCAGAATTGAAACGTCAAGGGTCGTAAGGTCTGGATCTTTTTACTTTACGACGAGTGACATGATATCATTAGGCGTGGTACGTAGAGAAAAATTAAGGATATCCTTGTAGAGATAAGATTGATTAGGTATGCACGGACTTCTAGAGCCAAAGGTACCTAGGTACCGATGATATTCCCGTATCGGATGATGTTCAAGATCCGAATCTGATCGGTCGCCTTCCGGCTATCGTGCCTTAGGTAAGTCAGGTACCTGGTATAGAGAGATTTTGGAAAGGCCAGTAAAGTTACGAAGCTGAATATATGGATGTAATTGGATAAATTAATTCAACTCCCTGTTATTACCACCTAAGGTACCTAGGTACCTACGTACCTAACATTCTCACACAAGCAGGGGCTAGGATCCTAATAAATCGTCCCGAAGGATTAGCCCGATTGCATATATTATCCCTAGCCGACTGAGATACATCAACCAGAATTATTCGAGAAGTTATATAATTCGGATATGATAAGAGTGTCCTGGCGCACTCGGGACGTTACCAGTTACTAAACTCCCGATTATAATTGAGAAGCTGTAGATGTAGGGACTTACTAGCCAGCTATCAAGTTGGTTGCATCGGAGACGGTGCCAAGCCCTTTTCCTACTAATCTCATACCTCCTATGTTGGTTTCTATCGCGTAACAACTACAATTTCTTGTCATTTGAACTGAGTGTCAGGCGTATCCAGTAGCATCGCTTTGCGTCACATTTCCTCTTATGGCGCTATCCGAAAGGGTGTGAATTTGAGCATTGGCGACTCGATGGCGAATGAGCTACGCCCAGTCTCGGGGACAGATAGATAACACGCGTCGAATTTTCGCGGCTGAAGATTCAGCATTCGTGATGGCAATATGTAGTAAGTAAATGACCATAAAGAGGGTCAACCTCTTGGTAGTCGATGCAAAGACATGGGTGTCTCGTTTGGTGTAAGCCAATCAGAACGAATCTCGTAACGCATCGGAGACAAAATTTAAATGCTACCTGCCAAAGCTGTCCCTCAGCCTCGGTATTGGATAACCTGGGTAGGTGTTTAGCACAGCATCCCTGTTGTTACCCAATGGCCCCCCTTACCCATCCAGAACTGACCAAATTTCAACGTAGCCAGCCTATGGGCGTAGCCGCATGCCTTTAACGTCTTTACACAACCGCGTGGTGAGGACTAAGCGAAATAAGTTGAATATCTCGGTCTCTCTATGGGCTAGAAGCAAGGATCAGTCTTCCCGTATCTTCAAAAGGTTATATTTCCACAACCGAATCGTCGCCAGTTAAAACTCTTCCTCTCTCATGCGTTATCTTTGTACTAACGCAGACACTTATTACGTTAGGGGCGAATTCAGCAGTAGATGTGGTGGACTTCTGGCACATATTTTCTAATATGGGTTCTACGGTTTATCATCGTAGTAAGTTGTAGTGGTTCCAACGGGTTGTGATGTCTGGATTCGTCCTCGAAGTCAGGTGACACCCCCCTAATAGGGCTGGGCGTGTTGTCTGTCCTAGTAAACCACCACGCAGATTTGCACCCGGATCTTAACAATGTGCCGATGTGGCGTGCAGATATCCACAGGCATCCTCTGTTGCGGTTGACGTTCCTGAATCTAGGGATCTCCAGCTCCACAACAACAGTAACGACAAGCCACCTTTACATCCTTCGTACCAACGGCCATATGATGTTTCGACTGTGGATTCCCAGGTCAGGTTTGAGGCAACACAGACTAAGATCAGCATGGGGAACTTCCAAATCCAGTAGTTCGTCAAGCAAGCAAGATACCACAGTTTGCTAACTCGGTTGACTCCATCATCGTTGGAACTATAGGGATGCACGCCGCCTTCGTCTGGACCGGAGGTACTGCCACGTAAGACTAGGTTATCGAAGATCTTGCGATATCGAAGAAATCAGCATCGTTCGATGCATCCGAGAATGAGTAAACCGGGTCTTGGCAGACTACTATCTCGCCGCTCTTACGCAGGGCCGAATACCTTTCGCCCTCGTCGAGTACTTATATCCCTTGCCGTCGCCCCGTTCTTGCTGTTAGATCGTAGGATTCCCCGTGCCAACCAACCCGCAAGACCAACAACTTAAGAGTTCAGAGAAAGACATCGCCTCTTTTCGACATGACGGTCAACAACTCTGAAAAGAGACAGGCGGATGCCTTCCGCTCAGGGGATCTGACACCGATTACGATCGCTGAGCCCTTATCGTCGGCGGGACCCTCGACGGGGACGACTACTCCGTCGGTACACTCCGGCAAAGGCAACGACGAGAAACAAATCGAGACGGTTACCGAGCGTGCGGTTCTCCCGGACCAACTCGGATCCGAGCTGAGCCAGCAAATCCGCTGTAAGTATAAACGCCACATAAATTTATGTGAAACGGGGCTAATATTCGTGCTAGACAAATATGCCTCCTCGTATAGAAAAATATTCGGAGCAATCTTTACTATCAACTTGGCCGTCTTCGTCGCCCTGCTAGCGGCAGCGAAGGGCAAGCCCAACTCTCGAGACGTAGGTAGCGCCGCATCCGCCAACCTCATGGTCAGCATTCTCTTCCGCCAGGAGGAATTTGTCAATTTTTGGTACGAGGTCTTCACATGCGTCCCTCACTCGTGGCCCCTCTACATCCGAAAGCGCCTCGCGAAGGTCTTCCACTACGGCGGTTGCCACAGCGGTGCGGGTACCGCTGCGGTCGTGTGGTATATCCTCTATACGATATTAGCAACCAAGGAGTGGATCGACGAGCCGGTGACCGACGAGCTGGTCAACATGATTACTAGCTGGGTTTTGGTCTCGATGTTCGCCGTTATCTTGACGTCAGCCCACCCCGACCTGCGACGAAAGTTCCACGACTACTTCGAGGCTTTCCACCGTTTTGCCGGTTGGACGGCCTTGACAACTTTCTGGATCCACAACATATTCTCGGCTAGGGTCACCGCCAGGCAATGGGACACCTCTCTCGGTAACGTCCTTATCCGCTCGCCTAACTTCTGGTGCATCTGCATTTCGACCTCTTGCACCCTCGCCTCGTGGACTCGTCTACGCCACCCAACAGTCTACCCGGAGAAGCTGAGCAACCACGCTACGCGCCTACACTTCAAGTACAGGGGTATGGCACCCTTCTACGGCTTGAAGATTAGCGACAAACCCTTAACCGAGTGGCACGCTTTTGCTACTATTCCCGACGTCGACCCCGAGTCTGGAAAGATCAACGGCTTCAGCGTCGTCGTCAGCAACGCGGGCGACTGGACCAAGAAGCAGATCAACAAGCCCAACGAGCGAAAGCTCTGGGTTCGCGGCGCGCCTCTTCACGGTCTTCTCTACACGTCTAAGCTGTTTAGGCGAATCGTCGTGGTTGCTACCGGATCTGGAATCGGCCCTTGCTTATCACTCCTCTTCGCTGATATCACACCGCGCCGCGTATTCTGGAGCACCCGAGAGCCTCACGACACATATGGTCCTCAAGTTGTGGCAGAGGTCAAGCGAGCCGACCCCAACGCGGTGATCTGGAACACCCACGAGAGGGGATACCCGGATATCGTTCGAGAAGTATACCAACTCGTCCACGAGTCGGATGCGGAAGCCGTCTTCATCATTTCTAACCCCAAGGTGACGGAGAAGGTCGTATATGGTATGACCACACGCGGAATCCCCGCGTATGGTGCCATTTTCGACTCGTGAGCAGCGGACATGACTTACCGGCATCGATACACCTGTACATCGCTAATACTTGCAAAGCTGGCAAGCTTTCTGGGGTCGGCGGGGTAGGAAGAGGACGACGGAGTTGGCGAGGCATAAAGCGGGAGTCCATCGTGGGATCTCAGCCCGAGGAGCAGTATCGTCGACGGAAAGCTACGCCTGGAATTTGAACGGAGAGCGGAGCTGCTCTTGTAACTTTTCTATTCACGACATTCATTTGCCCTTCTTCTCTCTATTTCTCCTTTATGCTCTGCAGGATATGGTTGGACTACATGACGACACTGTAAATAGATTCCTAATTCGCGAAATGCTGCTTCTCGGGTTGGATTGGGATACCAAATAGGTATCAAAAGCTTAGATTAGATTTAGATCCCACCATGCGACGAACCATCCACCAATTCAATCTTTACACACTTTATTGGTGAAAAGGGGATAAATACGTGTGCTATACGCGAGTCCTCCCGGGGGGAGGGGGGGTCAGATAATCAGGAGATATGGATTCCATAATAAATATACTCTGGATTTCGTATACCTAATAACTATGTCTCTATAGACTCACGTTTCGTGCCCATAGTATCCATAAGCTTGGTCGAAACATAACGTGTACCTCAAAGCCATATCAGCTTTCTCGAAACGTCTCGAGCCTCGCCCTTCCGGTCATCAACGTCCATATCCACGCGGCATCCACAACTAGAACGTCGATAAAACTAAATACCAAGCTTCCACCGAAAACTAGCCTATGGTAAGTCCAAGCATTGCTCACGTCTAGATCTTTTACCTGGCAGACTATGGCCCACGGTAAAACGTAGAGGAGGTTGCTAACTAAGCTCTGGTAGAGGTACCACTTGGGCTGCGTGGCCAGGAGAACCGTGGCAAGCTGGGTCGACATGGCATAGAATATGTAACACCAATCGGTAGTCCGCCACATGAGCGCTGCGATGTCCGCGATTTCATCCGGCTGGCCCAGGTATCGAGCGAACGATCTAGTACCCCATATGGATAGAAATATGGCAAGAGGGACTTCAACTAAGAGGGCGATAACGAGGGAAACGAGGGCCGGTCTCGCAATTTGGATAATAGTTTTGAAGGCGACACGACCGGGCCTACGCGTCGTCTTACTGATAGAACGCCGCCAAGAACCCCAGTGGTGACCGATAAACGCAAGGCTCGTCGCCTCTAACGACTGAACGGGAACCATAACCAATCCCCAGCGGATGGTAGTGAATATCGTCCAGGCTGTCGCATACGTCGAACCTAGCGCCACGATGGTACTAACTAGCCAGAGGTAAAGGGAATTTCGTATGGCCGACTCAGCCAGGGTTAGGATCCCGGGTCGCAGTAGTACAGTCAAGGCACGAAAGCTCAACCGGATCTTGGTACCAGCTTGCATCTGCATCCGAGGAACTTCCTCGTCGTCAGCAGAAAGTTCGAGCTGGTGATTTCGATGTTGCAAGTTCGTCGTCCAAAGGAAGTAGGCAAGTCCTACGAAGGCAGCCGTCATATTACAAGTAAGCTGAATGCCAGCTTGAATATTAATAGTCGGTTGAATATCGCCAACGCGGAATCGCGAGATGATCAGCAAATCCAGAATAATATTTATGGCAAATTTAGTCAAGCTAATAACCAGCGGAATATCGGGCTTGTCGAGGGCTCTCGTCGCTGCCGCCACTGCAGTTTCGATCGCTGAGCTCAGGGCCGAGAAAGCGCTGATACGGACGTAACTCAAGCTCGCGGCGCGAATCTCGACGGGGACAAATCCTTCCGCAAATGTGGCGGCGCCGGCGATAAATGCGATACTCATAATTAGTCCGAGGATGGACTGGAATAGAATGAGCGTGTAGGCCAGACCGAGGCGCTGTGTTAACGAGCGCGAGTCTTTGTCCGCAATAATGACCCAGGAGGCGCGGGGGAGGCCCTCGTTTAGAACCTCAGCCACTACTCCGATGTAGGTAAATACGTCGGTCGTCGCAAGAAGCGACGAGTCGATTTCCGCGACCCATAGCTTGGATAGCGTACTGTACAGAGCTGGGAGGACGAACGCGCCCAAATTGAAGAGCAGTGCTCCAACATAATGATTACGACGGAGCCAGATTCTGTTCTTTAAAGCACCAATGAGGCGATTGCTACTGTATTCGTTACAGCGCGATCGCGGTTCGACCGCGTTGTCGTCTTCGGGTAGCATTACGTAGCGATGGCGAAATTTTTGTAATATGGAGGCCTTAAGCCTCTTCATCGTATAAAGCTTCATTTTGGGGATACCTAGGTCTTATTAAGGGCGAATTTAATAGCTGTCCTTGTGATGTAGATTCTAATAATGCCTCGAGCTACATAAAATGTGGTGCGCCACGTGCGTCTTGTAATGTGATAGCTCATTATTCCCATTATGTTGGTAGATATGTCGCGTAATCATTTTGCTAAGTGTTATCTTGCTTTTACATGCATGAGAAGATGGGTAGAATCATCGTTATGCCGCATAGCATCCGCCGTCTTAAAGCATAAACGCATCCCTTGCTTTTATTATCCCTCGTCACGCATATACAAATCGCTATAATGCAAAGATGAATACTAAGAAAGGAAAGATCCCTTGCACGACTCCTATCATGCGTGTTGTATAAGATGGGGATAATAAACGCCACGAATATGCATCGAGTAAGTCTATCTGTCTAGGGATATGGTAAGGGTTGTATTTAATTTTATAGCAAGGAGTTAGACATAATCACTACGCCAGGATACGTAGCATAAGTAGTTGAGGTAAGCCATCGTACACCAGCTACAGGGCCGTCTATGTGCGCCTTCAGGGTAGCAGAAGGGACAAGGGGCATAATTGCCTGGTCCACCACCACTCAGGGCTCAGGAAAGATATCCATTTCCATCTGACGCCGCAGTGAGATGTTACCATCTGCTGTCCTTCGTACTACACCCAACCCGTATGAGCTAGGAATGAGGAGGCTCATAAAAGAGTACTCCAAGGGATTTCCAGTCAGTGCGCTGTACTGTTCAGAATCAGCAGCTGCTTTGAGGCGACACTACGTGAGAAATTCCGCCGGTGATACCCACGCCTCGTGCCTCGACACGGATGAAGGGAGCCTGGCCGGGTATAGTTGCTACTGTTTCGAACCCGGTCTTCTCTACCTGTGATGTTAGAGTGAGAGTAGAGTTGTCATCTCCTGCAAAAACCACCCAAGACTTGTGCTCTGTAGCACCAAGCCAGCTCATATATACTGCAGTACTATTACTAGCTTCATTCCTGCAAGCCAGGACGCTCGGAGGTGACTTGGGGCGGCCAATCCACGGGAGACGATAGGCACGATAAGAAAAGATGAGGCCGTCCCCGGGGCCAAACTGCGCGGTCATCAAGGTAGCGCCATCCGGGCTGAACTCTCTGATTTTCGGTGTCGACCCATACCCCATAATAACGTGCCCGTCTTCTAACTGCTGAAGATTTCCTTGGGAAAAGGCGTATATCGCGTCCCGCGGGTCAAAATATTCTTGGTCGAGCGTAGCCTTCATAGTTTCCGTGTTCAAGGTCAGGAAAACGCCTTTAGTTTGATTTATACCAGAAACGATCTCAGAGTTTGCGTTATCAAAGAGGCTAATCTGAACTGTATTCCCTAATTCTTGTCGAATACGGGCATCGTGTTGGTAACAGAAGGAAAGTCGACCGTCAAGCTGAAAATCTCCGCCGGTTTGGCCCTACATTATGTTAGCTGCTGGGTACAAGTGGATTATCTCGCGAAACTTGGCTAAAATCACCTGTAGTGTCCATTCAACGGTACCGTTTTTCGAGACCTTGAAAATTGAGCAGTAGTACCTTGAAGAGATTAAGTATGATCCGTCTTCAAACTTGTCTACCGAATTGATGTGGAAGTAACCGTACGGAAGAGATTGGTTCTTGCCAAAATCCGCAACAGGATAGAACTGCTGGACATCAGAAATAGGAACCTGGTCGATATGGTCTAGGGCGCTCCACTTGAAAAGTATCTCGTTGGTCTTGACATCCAGTTCGTAAAACAAACTATCAGCTACCCACCCATCTTGCGGTCCACCGACAGAGCTTAGATCGTATCTCGTAACGTTGTATAATGTTACAAGGATGGTGTTTTGGGCTGTGATCCGGGACTCGTGCATATCGAGATAGGACGTAATCTGGCTGGGATCAAGCTCGGGTATGGTCAAAAAGTTTCCATCATCTATTGTTAAGGAAACATTGTAGATGCTTGTATAAGAGTCATCAAGAATCTGAATAATTCCATGGCCCCATCCATAGGGTTCCGCCAGCGAGACTCCATTAAAGAAAGTTAATACCGGTCTGCCCTCGAACTTTTGGGTCCTGAAAGCACCGTAGTCGCCATATCCGCTTTGCCAAATAAGTTCGTTGTCATCAGACATGATGAAAAGGCTGTAGTTGTGCGCGTACTCCCCATTCTGATCGAAAAACAGGTACCCAGGAGACGTAGGACCGGATTTGGTGATATTAAGTAATGGACTGCATGATGTAGTAAGCTACTCGTCCAATATGCAAATATTGTTATGTCTTTCGAAGATCTCGCCACTCCGGTAAATACACAATTAAGTACTCGTTACGTAAAGTATGATATATGGGGAGATTAATAAGATCAAGATTTACTTACGGCTCGGACGAACTAGATTTATAGGTTTGCCATGGCCACGTATGATTCTGCGCGGAGACGGAAAATGCTTGGAGAGAGCATATCAAGAAAGATATGACAAGGAGCGGAAGAGACATATTGGACGGCTCTGCTACTCGACGGGACCAATACAGGTTCATGCCGGAGTTTACAAATATTGATGGATAAACATGGCTACGTTAGGTATATATACTCATGCTTCCAGCTTTCAAGGTGGGTAACTATCCAAAAAATTCATGTTACAACGGTGGTATTGGTATGGATTAGGTACCTAGGTAAGGCCTGGCGCATCCACCATACGCTAGGCAAGGATTCCAACTGCATGGATCGTTTTCTACCAGTATTTACTTTATGGCGAGTCCTGTAGCGTTCACCTAAAGCTACTTGGAGTAGAAGATTGTCCTTTGCCACTTTATCAAAGGTATAAATATACGCTACTTTGATGGTTTTACCTACTTGAAAGCGTCGTTTCTAAAGATGGGATTTTAATATCTGACTTCTGATAATGGAAGCCTGGAACAAAGTCAATATGCTGTCTTGAGCGACTTCGGAATGATCGTCGTAGCTGAGTTGTTTTAACCCATTTAATGGTCAAGTGCCCGAGACTAGCGGAAGTTGAGGGAATAGAATCGGAGATGCGGAGCCTTGAGGATCTAATCAGCGGATCTGATAAGATTAGTTAAGATCAGTAGCCAATTAACGCAATTCCGGCTCTTTCTCGGCTTAACCTAGAAAAGCGCAGTGGGGACGATACGCGCAAGTAAGTTCCGGATAACCAGTTGAGAACAACATGAATTGCAGACTTGGTTCGGAGCATATCTAAGAATGTAGGACGTGCCGTCCTTAATGATTACCTCGGATGAGGCCATGCCATATCACCTTGCGTAACGTATCAAGCTGAACCGTATCGACGAATAGATGGACTTTTCGCAAAAAGCCAAGTGATATCCTCTCATTACTCTCATTACTTTTCAGGTCGATTGTACCTATCTCTTATACAGTGCAGGTGCTTGAATACCTCAGACTAGTACACGACATGCTGGAGTCATATGACACGAGTGACAGACGCCTGAACTTGGATCTCCTAGTGTGACCTTGGACTGTGATCTTCCCAGGGAATAGACTAGCATCTCTGACAATGATAGATGGTTCAAATATCAAGCCTCAATCGCTATATCTTTCATAACAACTCCCTGATCTCTCAGTACGACTGCCTTTTTATTAGCTGGCCTTATACGAGATCAATAGCCTGATAAATAAATGGCTGATAGGCTAACTAGTCTACTTCATATAATTATTTTGGTCCAAACAGTTAGATCTGATTACGCCTTTTATTGACGCACGCGACTTAATACAGGTACCTTACCTGTTTGAATTGAGGCGGTGTGTGATTAGCCATAGTACGGGTGTTTTCTAGTAAATTTAAATGGTGGGGTAAGTACTTTATGGTATAAGACTTCGTAGGCTATCAGGGATCCTTGCAGATCCGTAATTCGCCGACGCTATGCAGGTACCAAACCTTCTTTCCTCACAACTTTTAATCACAACACCAAAAATCATCGTGACTCATTTGCCTACCCCTCTTGTACGAATTGATTTTTAGGAAGCGGGAGCTGGTTCCTGCCTGAGCCGTCGACCGTGCTAGTGTTGTTCAGTTTGCTAACGACTGTTGGCAGGTGGCCCACGTCACGGTTATAGCATCAAGGGAAGGAACGAGGCCCCAGGGCTGGGTATATAAACAGACGAGGTCCCGTAGTCCTTTTGGATTTAACAACGCTTCCGCAATACAGGACCAGTTCCACACTTGTAAACTCTCGTCAACTCTTGTATTCTCTTTCATGGTGTTCGAGATGAGCGCCAGCATTCGTAGCGTGAGGCGTAAATCCTAACTCTGCCGCAACCTATTCCAAATCCAACACGCAACTCTTCCGCCTATTTTGCAAATACTTCACCATTCAACTCCGTCATGAGTAAAACTGTCCCTCCAGACAAGAGGCTAAACTGTTCTGATCTTTCAACTGTTGATTTCACAGAATCGCCAGCCTGATTACTTAGGTAGGTACCTCTTGCCTTTACTTCCACCCCACCTTCCTTCCTGCTAGCAACCAACTGTTGTTTCTTCGCTATTCCTACTTCTACTAACCTGCCATCACCAGGCAACGATATTTTTCCCTCTTCTACTTTCAATCATTTCCTTCCTTCCAAACAAACAACGATCATTTTTACCCTTTCTCACACTCACTACCTACTTCGTGGCAGGAAATGCAATTTATTTCACTTTTTCTCGCACATTACTCTCAACACCCCCTTTCCCGAGATTCCGTCACTCGACGACGCGTACTGCTGTGCATATTGCTCCTATGCGGTTATGAGCACCAACAAGATCAAAGATCATTACAGACAGTCCCATCCAGACAGAGAAATCGTGATCCAGAAGAAAATCGCACAAAGACTATCATGCTCAAATGACATTTCATTCTTCAACTCAATCAACCTTTTTACCTACCGCACTACAAGGCAATTTTTACCTCATATTATTATTATTAACCTTTCGCGCGCACAAGATCATCTTCGTCTTATCTCCCGCGACTACTTTTATCGTCTTTCCTGTAACTTTATCATCCTTCATCCCGCATCTTCGCATCGCGAAACTTTTTCGCTTCGCATCTAACATTCGCGCAACACCTTTACCTGGTAAGTAAATGCGCATTATAAATCTTGCGATTCTATTTAACCAACTTGCTAATTTTTCGCAGCCTTGAACATTAACACTGAGCGCATTTGAACATTAACACTAAGCGCATTTATACCACACCCCAAGTTCGCGACGTCGAGGTAGGTTTGTATCTATTTTTATCCTGCTATTCCGATGCACTTTTCATCCCCGCATTATTTTTCATCCCACAGCACTTTCTATCCCGCAGCCTGCAGCACTAGCGTATTCATCCCACAGATGTACCTATGTACTTTTCATCCCGCCCCACTACCTACCTATTTCATCCCGCGACATTCATCCCCGACTACACATGCTCACCAATCACCTCGCAATTACCACATCTTCTTACAATCGTATTGTTATCATTTTGGTCATATCTCTGTTTATCTATTCTTCTCTATTTGTTGATTTTTGTTGTTGCTGCTACGAGTTGTCGCAATATACTGGCGCATTTTCACTTACAACCTTGAGCTTTTTTCGCAACACGAATACCTCAATCGCGGCTTAGTGCATCTTGGTTTACTAATCGCAATGTCTAGGTATTCCTCGTACTTTTATTCGCAATGGGAGATATCAATCCCGACTATAGCGATTCCGAATCTGTGGTAGAAGACTACCACATGGAGGAGAACAACGAGCACGAAGAGGTAAGTTACTTTGTTTTTAACAGGCGAAACTCTTGCTAACGTCTTCAACAGCTTCACGTTGAGTAGGAAGATATTAATTTTCCCGATTATAACGATCCCGAATCCGGAATTGAAAACTATAGCATGGAGGAGAATAACGAGCACGAAGAGGTAAGTTACTTTGTTTTTAACAGGCGAAATTCTTGCTAACGTTTTCAACAGCTTCACGTTGAGCAGGAAGATATCAATCTTCTCGACTATAACGATCCCGAATCCGGGATCGAAAACCGGGGAGAGTCGCCAGTTTTGGCTAGGCCGGATGGAGTTCTACCTCCAATCCGCCTCGGAGTTGTCGTGCGCTAGGCAGTCAAAAGATCGCGCTCCCTACTTTATCTATCCAAGCCAGCGGAGTCGTCTTTTATTACGACTCTCTACTGTACAAGGGTATGGTATAAGAAGCAGATTACACAGATGGCCGAATTTGCCGATTCGGTTAACAGAGGTTCTCCCGAAGTTACTTTCCTAGTCGCCGACGACGTTCCTTCCCCCACCTAGGAATATGCTCCTAACAATACAATTTTAACGCGTTCAACACCACGAACAAAATCAACTATTCTACCCGTCCCATAACATAAAATAACAATAATAACAACATTAGGACGATGATGGCTGGCCCGATGTCCCCGAGCAGGACGCTTCTCATGGAACTCCTCAGGATGATAGTTAGGCCAGTCCTCTTCAGAACAACACCTCCGGCTATGGTCAAGAGACGAACAGGCCGACCATGAGGCACAGACCCAGGAATGGGCGATGCAAGTACAAGAACGTGATGAAGTCATCGCGGCCCTGAAAGAAAAGATCATCCAGCAAACAGGTAACGCCATCTCATCGTCGGAAGATCTCTCAGCCGGACGAACCAACAAGGTTGAACGCTCCGCCAAACAACAAGACCCCCCGATCTTCACAGGTGACAAACCAGCCTCAGGAGAGAAAGCAGTCAAATTCGATCATTGGCACATGCTTTTGAAGCACAAGCTGCGCGTCAACGCAGACCACTTCGACAGCGACGAAGGAAAAATTTCTTACATTCTTGCTCGCGTGGGTGGCTCTGTGGCTGAGAACCTGATGCCATTCGTCACCGACGAACAAAGACACTACTTGGGGCGCTGAACACGCTGCGGATGACAGTCGGGCCAGTCTTCAGGAATACGCTACTTGGGGCGCCAAACCCCCTGCGGATGATTTTTGGTAGGTAGACTATTAGGAGGAGATCATTAGGAGATCAGTACAATTGTATTCCTAATGAGATAGTTAACGTACCTAACATCAAGTACATAATGGGCGTGTCTCTGTACGTAGATACATACCTTAGGTACATAAGGTCCATATAGGTAGAGAGGTACATCTCCATCCCGCGTACCTTCCAGATTGATTTATTAACCGCTTCGAAATAAATACCTTGAATTAACAACCTTAACATTATCAACAACTTAACATATAACCGACATTGGAGATCCTTAAACTACAACTAAATTAAACATAAACTATTAACCACTGCTAAACGCTCAACTATTTTAAGGTCTAACTAAATTTTACGTCAACCAAGCCAACCATCGACCACTTACTACCATCATTTCCATTTTCTTCGCTTAGAAGGCTTCGAGAGTGGCGATCGAGCCTATTCCGGTTTCATATCCTGTTTAATCCTTCATAATTGACATTAGGCGTATTTTCCAGCAATTTTACCAGCCTTTCATTGTGTCCATATATGGTTCTCTTCCCAATCGAGGCACCATGGATTCCGAGAAGATCAAACCTACCATCTGCGCAGAGATCCCCGTGGTGAGCAGACTCGCAAAAGAGATGGTCGACAGAATAGACAACGATGCCAGCTACGACGAATTATTCACGTTGGTTAAGGAGATGGCCAACCAGTGGCAGAAACAGGACTGCATCCCGTCCAGTAAAGCTATCAGCCTTTTCGAACAGAAGGGGACCCCCGAGTATAACGATCTCCGAGTTCTATTCCATACCATACATAGAAAGGTTTTAAGGCCACTATTGCTGGGCACGCTGCCATACGATCTTTACGATAGGGATTTGCCCAATTGGGAGTACGTGTACGACTCTCACGGCGCCGGAGCCTACCTTATAGGGATCTCTATCGACGAAAGGCACGGCGCATTTTTGACCCGCGAAGAGATCGAAGTGGTGATTGGCCACATGCAAGACTACAAGATCGGCTGCGAAGCTTGGAAGAAAATCAAAGGGTCTTACGATCAGGATGACCTAACGGACGAACAGGAGTCGTGTTTGAGGAAGGCCTTGGCAATCGACAACACGGTGCTTCCCGAAGATCAGGAATGGGATAGCGAAGAAGACTGTTACGTCGCACCGAAATGCATGTCGGGTCGGAAGGGAACTAGCAATATCGAAGCGCTGATAGAGATGCTCGGCAGGCGCGTGAATCCCGACTTCGACGGAGACGTGCCTCAGATTTCCAGTCCGGTATACATCGGGTGCGGCATGGGGGTTCCCAAGAGGATGATCCAGCACGACCCCAATTTCAACAGTTTGGATACGTCATCTCACGTTCTCAGGCTGCTAATTTCGTGCATTCGCTATTCGGGACTGAAGGTCTTCGTACACGGGGTTCCCGTTATTATGGTTTGGGACGAACCCCAAATATCTTTGGCCGAGGTTCTAGGAACAGTGTTGGCACAGTCGCTGATCTCTCTGAACGGACTTAACGTCATTCAGCCAGGTACCAACACAACCAGGGAAAAGAAGACGGACGTCTACGATGAGATGCAGAAGCACGTCTGGGTTAAGCGCCCTTGGTTCACAGAGAACATGAATAAGTCGATAGAAGCGAGGAAAAACAACGATATCTACAAGAAAACTTTGCAGACCGTCGAGGACGAATTCATGACTAGCGACGAGCTGAGGGATGCCGTCAGGAATATTCACCAGTTGGGTGACAACGCCACGAGGCTTTCACACGCGTTGACCGACGCCGGAGAGAAGGCAAATATACGAATAGAAGATGCCAAGGACCATGTGGAAAGGCTCGACAAGCTCGGAAGATTAACAAGCGGTATATTCCCGAGCCTGAATCCGGGCGACCAACGAGACTAAGGCGACGACGAAGGCAACAGCGAAACCAACGAAGATAATTAAATTAACGTTCTATCGGAGACGTCAACTCGTAAGTCTCTCCTACTTTAGGACTTTTCGGGATCCTACATACCCCGTCCTACTCCTATGCCACCTCTGTTGCGGAATGGGAGTAGTTCAAAGTTATCAGAGTTCCGATAACTTTGTATCTCACCAGAGAGAGCTTGCGCAAGTATGGGAGCTACTGTTTGTGTACAGGTTTTGCCTGCGCATTACTATTCCCATCCAAGGTGGGCAGGGCAGCTCTGCTAGCTTTCAGGCCGCCCTTCATTTATTAACAGCGCGATGGATAGGAGTAGTCTCTGTGGCGTGGGAATTACTGATGCGCTCGTACGTCGAAATACTTTTTACAGATAAGGACTAGGTCTGCTGCTGATACAGACGGATCATACCACGTAGGTATCTATTAAGATTCTTAGATCTAGAAACTGAACGGTGAATAAAGGATCCAAAACCTTGGGGCAAGAACAAGGTAATCTCTTGGTCGAGGCCTGCCCCCAAGGGAACACTTATGACTTTAAGCTGATAATTCCCTATTGATTATTATCTCCAATGTAGTAGAGATACCCTTGGCTTCAAGTTACTACTAATCAACAATAGTTACGCCGCAAAGGGGGCCTAAAGAGAAAGGCGGGTGACTATCCCTTGCGGGAGTTGCCAAGAAAATACTCAAGTCGTGGCGGAAAATGGGGGGACATCTTCCGTTGCCCTATTTACAACACCAAGGATCATACCTTCAACTATTCTCGTGATGTTTTTATTTGTCATATCCGCGGCGTAGGTGATGATAAAATTAACATCATTAACAAGGTATTATTGGATAAGAAGCTCAACTCATCATGGAGCCTTGCGGGAACTTGCTGACGGGAACGATGCTCACGTAGGAAGGAGAGTAGTACATTTACAGCGGCGTACTTATTATAAGTTAGAAGTAGCGTTTCGTTCCATACACGCCGGATGATGGCTCGGTAGCATGATCTCCATACAGCGTGTCGACTTGAGAGCCTATCCGCACTTTGTTACTTTCTCCCCATCAAATCCAAGCTCTTTTGCCTATGTATTCGCAGCGCTATTATTCGGAGTTTCTCGCTTAATGACGGCTGAGCGAAGACTCGTGAGCATTTCGGCAATCGTCGTGAGTATTGAAATTAGACGCAGGTTATGAGGTGTGTTTATGTTGTATTGTCATACTATCTACTAGAGAGCTGGGTAGGCATATTTTAATATAAGCCACGGGTATGGGGGCGTATTACCAGCCTCCTAATTTATCAGCCTTATTTATTCCAGCAGTTTGGTCCCGGATATCTTAATGATCAGTTAGGAATCTGAGTCCAAGTACGTTGCGAATAGGAGGTCATCCCCTAAAACGTGATGAAGATGAATATAAGAGTTTCATCTAGCTTACGGAATACCCCGTCATGATAGCATGGTACTTCTAGTCTACATCCTGGCTCTGTAATAAATGTAAATGCATTCCTGCTGGAGCTATTAGGAGAGATGTTAAGAGGTGTAAAGTTTTGTAATCAGTTTCGTTGGCGGTTTAAAACCTATCAAGTGTTGTTAAAATGTTAGATAAATTTATCTTGACCTAATACCTAGATACGTGACCAGTCCAGTTGTGCGCATGCTGCACCGCTTATTTTGGACCTGGCCGTTTCAAGAGGCAGCGTTTGAAATTTGAAAATCAACATTTACCGCCAACTTCTCATCATTCACACATCTTCCACCGCAACTCGAAATAAACCGCCATCGCTTCTCAAGTTTCCACCATTTTCGACCGGAAGCAAAAATTGATAATAAACCACGATGGAGCGATATTCCCACCGAGAAATCCCACGAGCCCACCCGTCGGCGCATCTGCTATGCACGACATGGCTAACTTTCGGCGTCATCTCGAAAGAGGTGTTGGGCTTTGAAGCCCTCGCCGTTGTCATACGTCATCTCTACGCGCATCTCCCCATTTCCTATTGGGACGACCTAGACAGCGAGCCTTTACTCCTCTTCCGATTTGCGCGGTTGACGCCTGTGGACGCCATATGGGAGTTCGGAGGCGAGCTCAAGGAAAAAGCAATATTGGAGCTCTGCCCCGATTGGCAGTCTGCCGCGGGAGCTGAGACGGCAAGTTTCTCACGCTTGATCGAAAGCGAGAAGCTGATCAGCCACTTCTGGTCTCGTAAGGAGTACTTACTATTTAGCAGGAGTGTGATCTCGAAGTCCCCAGGCGGCGCCGAGTGGAAGGAGATCGCAACTCGCGACGTGGAGACCGTAGCTAAAGCCGGCTTGGTCCAGTACGACGGCACCACTCCGATCAGCAGGGAGGTTAGCAGTCGATTTGGAGAGTTCGCTAACGAGTCGTCAGGCCACAGATATCTCCAGGCATCTACATTCCCGGTCGTGATTCGGGTCCTCTATACCCCCGCCCCTACGGCGACTGCGCGCTTCAAGGATCTCCAAACCGTAGTGCTGACCAGTCCCCATCTCCAACGAGTAGACGGTGCGCAAGGCCAACCTCGGCTGCGCAAGCTCCAGGATACATATTGCCTAATCGCTTCTGTGAGACTGCGAGCAGAGCCCGCGAGCCCCGACTACGTGCGCACCTACGATATCAAGGGGACTTTTATCAGACCGCCCGTCGCGGGGAACAACATCGTAAATGAAGATTGGGAGTTGGGAGAGCAGGGTCACTCGTACATGCTCTTCTACACGTTCGAACCGCGCGGGGTTGAGAGATTTGAGCACCAAACCGAGAGGATTAGAATCTCGAACCGAATGAGGACGGCTATAGAGGGTATGAATAAGGCAGAGTTAGCATACAGAGTAACACAGCAAGAAGTCGAAGAGGACGAAGAGGACGAGACAGAACTCTACGAGAGGGAATCGCTAATACCGATGGCGAACTATAAGGTCCCTGAAGACACACGGGATGGTCCCGCTGTCGCGCCGGATACCAGAAGATTTGAGCCTCCGCAGCAAGTCGTTCCTTTCGAATTTCCGAGGGTTCCTGCGTTCCCTCCGGTAAATACGCAGACACGGGGCAATATGCCGGCGGAACCAGATATAGAAAACGAATTTTCGGGCGTACACCCGGACCGTCTCCGGAACATAAGACCCTCCCAAAGCTCGAGAGAAGAGCCGCAGACTCGATTGCAAACGCCCAACCAAAGTTCCCAGGTTGGATTCCAGTTCCCTAGTATTGACAATCAAATGCCTTTTGCAAGGTCGCAGGGAAGCCGCACTACTTCTTCTCCCGATCCTAGACGCAGAAGATCGCCTTCTTCGCACGAAAGAGGTCGTGATGATGGAGGGAGCAAAAAGCCTAGATCGTATTGCTAATGGCGGTTAAAGCTTTGAACCACCGAGCTCAGAAATGGAATCGAGGCGGTGAGTGGTAATCGTCTACTTGGGTACGCGGGTATGAACACTTATGTAGATCTGCTTACTCTCTTTACCCCCGCGCTAATATGCGTGGCCCTTACGTTCGAGTACGACTATCTTGGTAAATACTGAAGACTAATACTTTAGGTCTGAGAAATGGGGGTTCAAGCTTGTGCGTATAAGCCGTGGAATGGTTTACTAATATGTACGCGTAAGATAGATGAGGTATTACGCCGTGATTCCCGGAGTGGAATCGACATGTATTAACTTGAACCTTGTAAAGTACTTGCCTTGATTAATTGATTGAATTGAATTAATTGAATTGATCGATTGATTGATTGGATTGTGTTTGACAGCTTCGTAAAACGTATATGGCGCATGGTCATCGATGGAATTGATTGAAATACGTATTGGCAATCAGTAGGAGCACGAACTGTTATTTCCTGCAAGATGTTAGGGGATGAAACCGAACGCATCCTACCATCGTACCATACTAGATACTTATCCAATCTACGTAGTAACTTCTTGCAACTTAGCTTTCAGCTGTGCCTCGAGATCAGCATCCCTCAGGGCTTGATTCTAATGAACCGGCTGCGATATTACGCGAATTAAATGTGCGGGTTGAAACCCCTATTCATAAACAAAATATGATCAATGAATGAAATGAATTGAATAATGAAATATTAACGGTACTATGCCAAATACCACGCGGAATTTAGGCATTCAACTACGCTACGGGCGGTGGGCAGGAGATTAACGGGAATAAATTATATTACTACCTAAGGAGACCTTTACGGTGAAGGTCTGGGCTCGTATAGATGAGGTATTCATCTAGTCGAGCCCTTTCTGAGCCGAACCTGCTCAAGCCGCGTTTGGGCTTCCGAGCGGCCGGTCTCGGTGCTGGATGCTAATGCTGCGAAACTTACATGCGGTCTGGAGCAGCCTCTTATTAGTAGCTTCAAGATTAAAATTAATTAGTCTCGAGAGATCTCGGAATCATCTTGTAAGCCAGTCAGATGCTGTGGTTAGCAAGCTAGGGAAGATATTACTTAGGTGATATAGCTTAGCCGAGCATGGTATCTAGATGAAGGGCCTTTATTAGCTTTGTTAAGATGTGTCACGCACGGGGTTTAGGCGGTGTTCGCTCCCTCGGACTCGACTTCGTCAGCCCAGCTCTTGCTCGTTATCTGCATGGTCCGGGCGAATAACTGGTCCAGAGACTCGACCTCTTTCCCCTTTGATGTCTGACTTGAGGGGTTAGCGACTCGTTTCGGCTGCGAAGCGGCTGGTGGCTTGGCCAGGATCTCTGCTGAACGGGATGCTACGGGCTCTGCGAAATTTCGCAGAGACCAAAACCAGCTGGATATCTCGCGCCGGTTGTCGGAAAATAGCTGGCTCTGCTGTATCCAGATCTTCTCGGCGAACTCGCGTGGGTGATCCACCAGCTTGTGGTTAGAAGAATCCGCAATCCAGTTCTCGAGGGCTTCTTTTCGCGCCTCGAAGCCGGGAGCCTTTTGGAGGATGCTTATCACGTCCCGCTCGGCTTCCTTCTCTTGCTGCCGGATCTGCTCGCGGTTAGCATTCTTACGCGCCACGACAGATTGAACCTCCTTAAAATAGAGGTCGTCATACTCCTTGGAGGTTAGATTTCTCTCCTCGACCTCTATAGGATTTTGTGGCTCAGCCAGGGTTTGTCTGATGTATTCCTCGTTAAATGTCGCGAAGTTGACGTCTTCGCCCGATGTCAGCATCTTACCTAACCAATACCACACCATATCCCACGCCGCTTTGATGGCGTGGAGGAACGAGACGTCGGTGATATCGACTGTTTTATTAACAGGGGAGAGGATGATCTTGAAGCCGGCGTATTTGCCCTGCTCGCTGCGAGTGGAGATCCAGACTATGTGGAGGCAGCGGCTGTCGACGAGCTGGTTGCTACGGCTTATGCGTTCGACGATGCATTTGTGGTGGCTTCGCTCCGGAGGCAGCATTACGGAGAAGGCAGATTGGTTGCAGACCTTCTTGTGCCCCTTGAAAACCTTGTCCCAGACCTCGTTCGCCTGTTCAGGGGGCCAGACGTATCTTACGGACCCCTCGTTTGCCTTGGTTTCGGTCGGCTTGGTTAGAGAGGGCTGAGACCGCGCTACCTCTCATTTAGGTGGCGGTAACGCTAAGGAGGCAGTGAAGGACGTCTGCGTCGCCTTGGCGGGGTCGCTGCTCCCGAGGAGTAGCCGGGGTATGTTTGGTATCTCTGCTTTGCGGGCTTGGGGAGCTTGCTGCTTGATATCTGGTTCTCGTGCTGGCGCCTGTGCTGGTGCTGGTGCTGGTGCTGGTGCTGGCGCCTGTGCTCGCCTCTTTTCCCACTCCGCGGCTGGAATAAGCTGTCCCGCATATTGGTCGCACATGTCACTGTATTCTATCGATTCTGGCTCTGTGCAGAGGCCGGGCCTATTTGTTTTGAAAGGGCACGGTTCGGCACCTTTTAATTTATTCATCCTATTCCATAAGAGCACATCGATGCGCCATTGGAAGTAGTCGGTACCGACCCCGGAGCCAATCCCGTTCTCCTGGAGGTATTGGCGGCTTTGTCTCGACAAGCTGACACGAGTTCCTCAAGATCAAGATCTTTCTCGGGTTTGCCAAGTAAGCGTACGCAGTACTGAATAGTATCGCGTCGTCTACAATAGGTTTTATATTCGATGGGATCGAAAGTGTACCAGCTTTCGGGAGTGTAATCGTCCATTTTGACGATTTGCGTGTATGGATTGGTATGCTGTTTATGTGTGCGCGTGTATTTTTGTGATAAAGATGGGATTTGAGTAGGTATTGAGTAGTTAGGTATCTGCGCGTAGTTGTCAAATAATTAGCCGCAGGTGTTTTGAATATTTGCACATTTAGGCAGCCGCATTATTTGGTTACTGTAGAACTAGCCTTGTATTATGGAAGCGCTATTGAATCTAAAAGGACTACGGGACCTCGTCTGTATATATTCGGCCCTGGGGGGGCTTAGGGACCTCGTTCCCTCCCTTGCTACTATAACCATAATTCACGATCGTGCCGTAGACCATCTACCAACAGTTGCCCAGGTTCTGTAGCCCGACTCTTCTTCAGTTGGGATTTAGGTGCATTTAACCTCTTTCGCCATGTTACCAATCTACGGTTCGCAAGCGACATGCAGACATTGGACTTCGAGAGGAATGGACAAACTACAGAGTATCGTATTAACTACCTTATAAATTGCCTGTTTAATAACGTACATAGGTAGGTAACAGTAGTTTTCTACGTTGGCCGTGCCGCCGACTGCCTGACGCCGCGACAGAGGATGTTATAATCTCCTTGTACTAGTGGCCTCCGGATTAGTAGACAGCTTTGATGATGTGTGCAAGACCCCCCAGAGGCCTTGCTCCTATCGTCGTGTATGCCGTACTGGCACACGTGGTCGAAGCAATACCAACCCGCCACTTGGACCCCCGACAACATCTGGCTCAGACGAACGGCAACAACCTCTTGCTCGCATACCTTTATGAAGATGTTCGTAATATCTTCTGCGCTCATCGTGCTAGGAGCAGATACCTTGGGCCGAAAGCGCCTTAGGCGTTCCGCCAGAGGACCTGGTACGTTCGGCCAGGATATAACCCCGTTACCATCTGGTGGCCCGCCTGGAGCGTTCGTTTGGTGATTCAGTAGCAGCGGGAGGCCCATCCAGCGACCGGGATTCGCGTCGACCTCCCTAATTTGTCGCTTAGTGCGGTCTTCTACGATCATACTCTTTAGTATTTGGACCTCCGCGTTAGTTTCGCCGGTCCTCGACTCCGCCTCCTTCAGCCTTTTGGGGTTTCGTTCCCCTATCAGCGACGCGTATACCTCTCCAGCCTTCGTAGCCGCTTTTTTTGCCACTTCCCTTTCTACCTGTAGCGTCCGAGAAGTGCTCGCGTTAGCTTTCTTTTCGTCTTCGAGTAACCCACGCAATCTTTCAATCTCCGCATGTTCTTGCTCGGCCTTGTGCTGGCTTCTTTTGCTGGCCTCTTGTTCCCGTTCCAGTAACTCTCGTAGCCTCTTAACTTCGTCCATACTCGTAGACTCTAGAGATCTTACGATGCTCTCGTGGGATTCCTTCTGTAGCTGTAGCTGACCGCGTAGTTGCGTGTCTGCTTCGTTTACCTTCTTATTGGCCACCTCTAAATTTCTAGTTGCGGTTACGAAAGCTTTGCGAGTCTGGCTACGTAGGCCCCTGAGGCGTGCGACGGTTTTGGAGAGAGCATCTTGGCGAGCCGCAGCAGTGCTTTCCGAAATTTGCAGCAGCCTGCTGAGTCGTTCGGCTTCTTCGCTCTGTCTTATTACCTCGCACTCTAAGCGAGCAATCTTGCGGGTAGTCCTGCGTGTTAGGTCTCCCTGCTTGAGTGCTCTGCCGTTTATTTCCTGAGCTTGATGCTGAACTGTATCCCACATTTCTACCAAATCCGTTCTATTTCGTTCTAGCTGTAACTTACTATCTTGTACGATCTTCTTCTCCTCTGCCCGTTTGGCTTTGAGGCTTTCCTTCTTTTTTTGAAGGTAATCCTCTAGCATACTCATCTTTTCAAGTACCGTATCAATCCATTCTAGGACCATTCCACCGTTAATTCCTCGGTTGTTTTCGCCGATATCTGCCAGCCACTGGAGTCGAGTTCCCACGAGGGTACGCATCTCTGTGTAAGACATTTCAGCCATGATTGCGATGGCTAATCTACGTACTGAGATGTTCAGGAAAGGCTTAAGATGAATTCGCTGCTTTGACGACCGTCACTCTTGGTACATTCTACAGTTAGGGGGAAGGAACTAATAAAGCTAGAGGCAGCTACGCATATTACATGGACTTGCCTGCATACCAGATGGCTATTTATAGGAATATACATAAGGAATGAGCATGACTAAGCACTTATGATTATGTTAGGTACTTTGATATAGATCAGCGGTACGTTAGGTACCTCGCCTACGTATGTATTGTACATATGGAAGTCAGCGGGTTCGGTAAGCCAGATCAAGCCAACTAATTAGGTATTTTGGCCTTGTCCGAGTCGGGTCAATATTGAAAATGAGACTTACCTGGCCGTACTGCCGTATCGTGTAACTGACCTGGGAGCCCTTATAAAGCCACACCTAGCCACATGTTTAGCCACCGAAATGTCATACTCCGAAAAATCAAAGGCGTAGCTTTAGTAAGTAGTAAGTCGGTTTGCTTTCCTCATTTGCTTCCACGATCCGCTACCAACGATCATTACCATTGGTTGGGTTGACGATTCCCAAGCAGTTCGGTCACCAAGGCAATTAATGATTGATGAGGAATTGGTACGTTAATAAGCTTTAAATCCGATGCCTTCGCCTCGGGGATTCATCGCCGGCTCGACCGCGGCACCGCTTGGGATTCGTTATTTCACGTACGGAGTCATCCATTTTATCCTTGCAGTATTGCAAAGATCTAATGGTGCCTGCTGGTTTTAGCCCCTGATCCCAAGACTTACGCCACTCTCTCTGTCTCTATGTACAACCTGGACAGCATAGTAGCCAATCAGCTATCCTGAATTTCCCCCGATATTCCTAAATAGGGAGGTACCTGGGTACGATAGCACGCTCAGCGGAGATTGTAAGGCGATTCTAATTTGATTCCTGCGACAAGCTCTTGAACACCTCCAAGTACATCGGAATGATCCTTAAGATCATCCTTGGCCGCATCAGATTTTAATCTACATAGTTAGAGAACGCGTCCCAAAAGTAGCAAGGAGTAAACGTATAACATACGATATGCATTAGTTAACGCGTTTCTTTAACGTTTAGAGATGCGTAGCTATGAACCGTCAAATACTCGAAATGTCCAGTAATCATCATTGACAGATAATAGTTTCTTTGAGACTCAAGCTTTATCATTCCTGACACTTATACGCATGCTTATCTATAGCTACCTTGTCGTTAGCATTGCCTAGTTGCCCATTGTTAAATTTAGGCTCGCTACCACCTCACGTCTTGTTAACTATCAATAGAGGCATAGATGTCTTACTTCCTCATGATACATACTCAGGAATTAGATACGCTACCATAGCTACGTCACCGTTAGCTCAACATAGGCTCGCTTGCTACCGTGCTGGGTCTCTTGGCTATCTTGGACCTTCGCAAAAACTTGGCAGCGCTCGTTTCTCTCTTGCGACAACTGTGCGGCTGATCTCTTATGGCCTCCTACCTATAATCAAAACAACTGGTAACACCTTATTTCTCAGTAACCATAGAGTCTTCCGTATCGACTATAAAGCCTTGCTATATTCGATCCTGGTGCCTCTTCGTCGTAGCCGCCACCACGCCCTTGCTGACCAATTGGGATCGTCCAATAACACTTAGTACTTAGCTCTGGGCTACTTAGGAGGTTGATGGTCTCGTAGTGACATCATCTCGAAAACTGCAATCTTCTCTTCTCTCGAGTTACAGCTACCATTTTCCCCGGATCGTAACGACACTCTCGCAGTAGTATATTTCCCTAGAGGACGGTTTACGTTAATAGGTAATGCAATTGAATTATTAACGCCTGCCTTTTAACCCTTTTCGATGGCATTGCATGGTCCGGATATCCTGGTAGATTTACTTCCACATCTACCCCCAACCCACGTATACGCTAACGACCGCCATTAGGAGCCTTCAATGGGTAATATTTCTACGAGCAGCTTTGCGTGTTAGGGTTAAAATCGAGAGTAAGTAGAAGAAGAAGCTGTACGGCCGTGACAATAAGGAACTTGGTTGCTGAATTTCGTAGAAGCGATCTGTAATTACGTGTAGGTAGACACGACTTTACGGCGATGGTCTCTGTTTAATGTTCAAGATCTAGATATGTGACACATATTGGAACTCGGAAAACCAACGAAATTGGTATAATAAATGCTACCTAGATGTTGTTATTAGGTATCTAACTCTGCGGGGAAGGTAGTTTGTCGGCGGTGCTCACTGGTCGGATAAGGCCGCCGAAGTCGTTATCGTTAGACGTCGCCGCATATCCGTTCCGTAATATCAAGGGGAAGTAATGTTGAAACGAAATCAATCAATTACGAATGTGTAGGAGGTATCTAATAGGCATTAATGCGGTCTTCTTACCGTTTGGGTACCTCAGTAGACAACACGATAAAGACCACAAGCTTGGGTTACACGACAGCTATATTTCACCCCGCCGGCGCGACGTAAATTGTAGTTGTAATCACCACCCGGCAACTTTGGAGCTCTCAGTTTTACAGCATACACGAATGCAACACGAATAACTTAACTTGCTTTTAACCTAACCTGAATACCTAACATTTTACAATCTCTCGTCTCTTCTTTGTACAGCTGACCTCTATTAATCACGCCGATATGTCGAACTACGAGAGCCATGTTTTACCTGCTCTTCAGCAACTCTCATCCTCCACCTCCGAGCCGATCAGAGTGGCCTACGTCACGGCAGAATCCGTGGGGAAGAGTACTAAACTCGTTCCCGATCTTTGGAAGCACGTCAAAGCCACGCGAGCCGACGCGCAAGGCCTATACATCTTACTCGACCGAGGAGAGGCCACATTCGCATCCCTTGTTATCTCTAGCCGCGAAGCTGCTGTCGACATTATCGACCAGGTGCCCGACAATCAACACGAATTAGGCCTCATATCTTGCGAATATTTCAACGCGCTCATGGAGGATACGGCCGATCCGTCGACCTTGTTCCGCCACCAGGACATGATCCTGTTTGTCGACGTCGAGCATATTCCCACCGTGCACGGCGATATGAGCATAGGTGTTATCGTGGATTGGATTCGCGGCCTGAAAGCTCTGCAGGACGTTAACCTTACCGTCGTCTTCCTTGCTGGCAATACTAGAGAGGACATCGCGGACGTATTGGACTTCCACGATATTCATCCCCTCCACCTCGCGTGGGAGGAAGCAAAGAACTACGAGCGGGAGGAGCTCGAGGATGCGAACGAAGTTGTAGAAGCTATCCGCTTGGCCCTATTCGAATCTCCGCAAGTTGGTATGGCACCTTGCGTCGTAATATGCAGCCCCATGGATGAAGCTTACGGCAGGTATGTCCAACCTATTGATCGTTCCGCGGGTCGGGATATCCGCTGCTTACCCCTCGTGAATCCTGTTGATATGGATTACGTTGCAGATTTCGTCAGGGAGGACAAGCCTACTGTCATCTTTCTCGGGGATAGTCTGGCCCATTATGTACCGGCAATACCCAACTTGAGATGCGTCATCTCCTTCTCCCACAAGCGGGCGAGGATCTTCGACCCTCTTACCAGCCAATTCCCCATGGCAGGCCTCCCGATATCCGAAGGAGACGTCTTTCGCCAGCGAGCCTGGGCTAGCAAAGCCGCTAGGGCAGATGGCGACCGCCCTACCTTCTACACCGCATGGAGCGACGGGTGGTTTCAGGCCAATAAGTCAAAAGACGGCACGCATATTAAAAGCGATTCCATGCATCTTCTCCTCGCGGCTATCAAAAAGTTCAACAGCTTCGCTTACCCCGAGGTACCGGTGCCAGCGCTGAACGGGTGCTCATCCCTTCTCGGGGAGGTTCGTCGTCGGCTTGTCATAATGGGATGCTTAGCTAAGGATGCTCCTACATCTCAAATCACCCCCTTAGGTATGAGAACGCTCTACTATATTAATCACAAGACTTTTAACCATACGGGAAATTTTCACGTTGCCCACCTTCTAGCCCGGATAGAGACAGATCCTAAGCTTTCGATCCCATCGAAGCGGGTTCTTATCCGGATGACGGCGCTAACAATTTACAAGAACTTCTACACACTGACGGACGAGGCTGCGCAGAGTCTCGAAGAGGACGACATGACTCCCCTAGATGTCATAATCGAAGATTGTGCCGGTATCGGGAAGCAGAACTCGTACTACGGTCAGCTGTGGTGCGCGCTTGGTATCTTGGCTAAGATGGAAGCCGAAAAGACCGCCAAGCACAGTTTGGTCAATCTCGAAACCATCGTCGAGAGAGGAGAAGGGTATATGCGAGTGAATGTAGACGCTTGCAATAAGATCGAATTTTACTGCCGCGAATTAGAAATCCATTTCGGCATCGTCGAGGCTTGCAAAGACCCGATCGCGGAGACGATGCTAACCCAGGACGAATCGGATCATGTCTTTGAGGTACTCGCGCGGACGTATCTGTTTCAAGTAATATACTTCCCGTTCGACACCGCTTTAAAGCCGAACGACATGATCTCGCTGCGGCCCGTCCGCTTAGGAGCGAGCCCGGAGCTCGTCGATCTCACCGAGCGAAGATCAACGGGCGACCCGGAGAAGTTTGGGTTCTTCGCCATCTACCAGGAGAGCCTGACTTACGGAGGGGATCTAGCACCAACCCACCTCACGGTGCTTCCAGGTGGGATCTTGCAAAGGATAGTTGACTCTTTCGGGGCGCCAAACCTTTCGGCGCTCGTTTTAACACGCTATCCCGTACCAACCGACGAGGACGTGTAAGGACGAGAGTAGTTGAGTAACGAGCAACAGTTCGTGATAGATATAAATCAATACGGATATCATCGTGGGTATTCTCCACATAATAATATCTCGTTAGGACCATAAAGTAGTCTATCCTGATGATCCTGTAACAACTCCGCCCTCTTGAATCATGTACATGCACTCGATTATGGCGCTAATCAAACCATGGCTCTGGAAGATATGCTCGGGATCCTATATATCTCCTAGGTCACTTAATCTTCTGATCCTAATAATGTCGATATGGATATCCTATCGACCTCCAGATAAATCGGTCGGGTACGGGGATGTAAAATTCAGGCTACACTACTAATAGCTCACGTGGCTTGAGAAGTCTCGGCTTAATTGTAAGATGTCACATGATGGAAACCTAAGGGCTTTATCAATTACTACCTAGTTACTATTCACCTATCATAGGTACCTAGTATACTACCTGCCTACCTTAAGCTCGTCCAAGCTTCATCGCTTGGAACTCCAACCGTACCATAGCTTGTCGCCGCAGCGTAGAACCGCCTTCGTAGTGGTTCGATCGGTAAATCGACTTCAACAGCCACTAATCCACTCATGTCGAGGGCTGGTATAGTTGGCCCAGGCGGAGGATCGATAGCATGCTCATCTACGCCCGGATATATGCTGTCATCTATTTCCATAGGATCCGCTGCTGCTTCCCCAGCGGAGGAATTCCTATCAACGACTCCTAGGTGAGGATTAGCAGGTTCGTCTTCTAAGGGGTCGTAAAAGAAGTCGTCAGAGTCCTCGGAGTCCGCCCGCGGGCTCCGGGTCGGCCACGGTTCGGTAGTCTGTGTTCCTACGTGCGACTTGGCGTTATTGCCTGCCGCGGGTACCGCAGGAATACTTTGCCCTGACTGCGGTAGCGGGGGTGGCTGCTGAGCTGCGACTTTAGCCGCTCTCGCCTGGTATCTTCTGACACCCAAGATCGATTTCTCTCTCGCAGCTCCTAATTCGCTCTCTCGGGGAAGATCGTAACTTTTCTTGGCAGTCTTCGCGGCCACCGCGGTATACGCAGCTGGGCGGTATATGGGAAGACCGTGAATATCTGCCTGCTTGCCGAGAGCCTCGATTAGGGTCGACAGGTCACCAGTCGTGACTATATATGTACCAACGTCCGACCCCGCGTTACCCGGCGCTCGTAGAGGCACGATTTGGGCATCAAATACGGCGTCCTCGATCGCCCTAAATAGCCGCGAGTACTGGGACGGGATGCCGTTCATCCGTCGCTCGACCTCGTCGTGGAGATCGGTCACCGTCATCGTACCGCTCTGGAAGGTATGGTTGACGGTTTGAAAGACGTCGAAAAACCGATTCTCTGTGTAATTGTCCTTGGGCCAGCTCATCTGGCGTTGATCGTTAGTACGGCACTTGACTACATATTGCAAACACACAGCCATCGCCCCCGGCTGCGATAGCCATATGGGATGGGAAACCAGCTGGGTGAGCTTCTCGCAGAACTTTGACGACCAATGCGGGTGATGCGTCTCCTGGCCTCCCACCCGAATTACCTGGTTCGACGAAGTGTCGTATGCGAGGTTGAATCGAGGTCCGATAATCTCTTCGACGGTAATTCCCATGAACCGAAGCGTGTATCTCCACAGAGGAGCCAGGTGCTTGTTGCCTCTGCTGTCTAGCAAGTGCGGCTTCAACGGGTCGTTATTCCAGGCTTGCCGCAGACCGAGCTCATCTTGCTGCGTCCAAGTGGTGTCTATCTGAGCGCTAGGAAGTAGCGCTTGTATCTGCTCCGCTGTCAAGGGGGGTTTATTGCGACGCATAAAATCGTGGGCCGTCTTTAGGATGGTCGGTAGTGCCGGCTGATCATCTGCAACCTTTTGCATATCAGCCGGGACGTGGAAGTCCTCTCGAGCTTGCTGGTTTCTTTGTCGAGGAGGCATGCTGAAGTTGTGGCGCGCGGTTGTGATCCTAGCTGCTAGTAAGATGAATAGCGAATAAGATATGTTTAGAGTATTTTGAGTATGGAAAATGACGGCTAGTGGGATGAACTGCTGTGGTTGCCTAGAATTCATGCACTGCAGGTATATATTTAGGGATCCTAGCCTGTGCCGTGCAGTGATCGATACCTGTACTTGAACTAAATGCTTGATGCTACCAAACAAGTACCATGCATAAGTCTTGCTTCGTAATACTTACTTAGAAACATAGCGGCATAATTAGTTGAAAGCTTCCGTACTATTGTTCTAATATCCTGTGTAAATTTTGTATTCGAGTCACGCCGGATTCGCAAACCCAACACGATACCCGGCGCATGAAGCAATTCTAAAGTAAACAGAACCCGACTCAACAATAATTTTAAGACCTCCAGCATATGACTACAGCCGCATAGGCTAATTAGTATTCTACTGGACGCTTGATCCGAAGACTTGGACGAACATAATACGCCATGCACCCACAGAAAAGACTCAGGTAAGTTTGTAGCCCATTCATGTACACGAACAAAGTCATTCCTATAAGAGCGGCTCTCGGGTTTTGCACGGCGACAGAGTCCAAGCAGCGTAAGCAATTGTAGTTCTAAAGACGCATGATTGCACCGGAGTGTTATTACTGTTGATTAGGTACTGATTGCTACGATGAGTTCGCAGATTGGGCGAAAAGGGGAGGTGTGCCAAGCCCGCAATCTCTCCAAAAGAATAGCTAAAGTCTTATCGACGCTACCCTGGAACAAGATAGGGGTTCCGGATGTTACCTGGACCTTAGAAGGTGTTTAGGAGCATAAGCATGAAAAACATGGGAATAAGCATTAAGTATCAGCAATGTGTTTCTATAAACTACCTACGTAGAATGTTGTGATACTTGGTGGACGCAATACCGATTTATTCGCATCGACACCAGTGTTTTGCCATGTCTAACACGTAAGACCCAACGTCTGAGATCATTTAACATCACCCCAGAATAGCTTCGCGCTGCTGCATACTGCGTCTCCAAGTATCCAATCCGTATATCAAATATTTACCGTATCCTGCTTTCAATAGGCGAATTAATTTGGCAATCTACTACGGCTTACAAGTCACAATTAAAGTTAACAAGAACAGGACCCATATACGGGGGGTAGGAACTGACCATATATTAATCATTAGTCTATCTAATTTGCAACCAGAACGAGTATTATAGACTAGACTACTACCGATGACAGGGGTGTCTTCATGGCAGATGTCTTCAATAGACATGCAACGAAAGATTAGTAAAATGCCAGAGTCCGGCCTAATGATGCCTATTGCCACGGATTGGAAGAGACGTGAAACCAAGAAGTAGTCATGGCTTCATTATCACATCATATTATGCTTCTTACTTGAATATAGCTGTATTGCCACATCACATTAGCGTTCGTGTAGTACCATAAGCAAGAGAGAAATAATGATAATGTAGGTTAGTAAGTAATTAGTTCAGGCGGGATTTGACCTGTCCTATATTCCTAATTCATTATTTAGTTGTCGGTCCTCCATGTCGACGTCCAACTCAGCCTGTTCACGCTGGGCGGGCTCGTGGTGTCCTTTGGCCTTCGGTGCCTTCCGTGGAAGACGAGACGGCTGAGGCTGCGAAACAGCCGGTCGAGGCTGCGGAGCAGGAGGCTGAGGTTGCGAGACCGCGGGTTGATACTGCGGAACAAAAGCTTGGGGTGGCGCTCCGGGGTGAGCGGGCGTGGGATACTGCTTCGCCTGCTCTCTCTTCTCCTTTTCGGCCTGCCTTGTTGCAGCGCTGAAACTAACAAAGTCGCCACCTGTCGTGGCTGCGAGTCCCCTGAGGGCGCCGACGGCGCTGTTAGGATCCATGATCACCTGGGCTCGTGGGTTCTGGTAGTTCCAGCCCTCAAGTGTGCTAATGGCCTTTGGCTGGTTAAACAGAGCGACAGCGCCGGAGCGCGTCCATGGCATTACTAGGGTCTCAGGGTTAACTCTGCCCTCTTGGAGAAATTGTAAAGTCAGGTGGTAGACTTTACAGTCGGAGCGGATCATGCACTTGCCCGCTCGCCTGAGGACGAGGAATTCGAACCTGGTCCAATCGTCTAGGCTAGACTGGTTGTGGCAGTGGTCGAAGCGGTGTTCCTTCGTGTTACAGATTGGGCAACCATAAATGTCGCCCCATTTCCTATGAACTGGCCACACGCAATCCGCGAGGGTGTGGGTATCCTTATGGCAGTTTGCGCAAGCGATGACATCGTCCGCCTTTCTTTTCAAGCCCCCCTTTACGACGAGATCGTCGTTAAATGGTAGTAGCTTGACGCCTAAGTAGTCCCCCCCACTCGTCTCGTCGGTACCTACATTAGGTTGTGTCATGAATAGTGCCAGCGTCTTTGTGTTTGGCGGGTGGGTATCCATGTATCGTTTTGCCATGGTGTCTAAACCGTTGGTCCTATTAAAATACCCGGCCCATATTTCTCGGTTGCCCTTCTTAGGATCAGCTGGTTGGACCAAGATAGAATTTTCCTCGGCTCTCTTGGTTCTCTTGTTCATCAGGGCCAAGTTGCCGTCTGGGCCTATATCGACGGCGCTGCTAGCTCCCTTCAGAAATCGGGGGTTTTTGTTCTGCCAGTACGAAGGTTGGGGCCAAAAGTCTTGCACATGTCCAAATCTTGGCATCGATTTTCGTACGTCTTTTAACTTATTAATACTGTATCAGCCACACTCTAAGCTGAAGGTCGGATAGTGGCCTGTCCACTGAATTCAGGTGGCTTACCACTATATTTATAGCGATATCAGCCACTATAGCTTAAATAAGACCGTGCAGTCTCTTTTTACTCGCACGTGGCTTTGCCAAGCTCATATGTGCAAGACTTTTGGCCCCAACCTTCGTAGTCGCGTCTTTCTTCCGCAGTCCAACGACTGCTCCGCGGGGCCGATTGATTTGCGCCCTGTCTTGCTGGGTTACCGGTGAAGTTGAATACGCCGGTCTGGTTGATATTGCCGCCTCCGAATTCGAACGAAGGCTGCAAGGATTGGTTATTACCGGCTGCGTTGCCGAGGAAGTCGAGCTGGGGCTGCGACGAGAATGGGTTGGGCTGATTGCCACTGGTCTGATCGGGATTGCTGCTCGACATTTTGGTAGATGGATGATATGATAATTATGGGATATGAACTGATGGTTAGTAGAGATGGATGTGATGTAAGTTGACGGATGGTATGCGTGGTTTGCGAAAGTGTGTTGAAGAAGGAAGAATAAAAGTTTTGCGTTGTGCGCGGAGAGGCGCATTTATTTTATTTTTACGACGACGTGTTTCGCGACAGCCTATCTTAGCTGCAAGTCAACTCCATTCAGGTACTTAGCTTAGCTATCGTATATACGTCCACAGGTACCTACGCCACTAGGCAGACGTTTTACGATTGCGGTTCAACTTACCCTCCCGGCTTAGCAACCGTGTCTCTTATCCCTCATTCCTTATATCACATATAGAGGTGCATAACATATCATGGCATTAGCAGCAAATATAGCATTCTTCTAGGATCCCATTCAAGCTTCGACACTCGACACTCAACTTGTCCTTAGCTAAATATGATTTATTTACATACATCAACTGCCTATTGGGTATATAGATGCTTACGGCGTTTGCCCCACCGATAACCACCACATTAGATCCCCTCGACTGGAAATCTCTAGGACGATATCGTCATCGCCCGACGGGGATCGAAGGCGGCCGTGGCTTTCGTCTAGAAACCCCGCGCGGCTTGGGTGTACTATGCGGAGGGTTAGATCCTTTAGGTGAATCATTAGGATGACATGAGCATTGAGGTTTACAAGGCCTATGTCTCCCTGTGCTATCCCTTTTTGACGGCATATATCTGACGCTTCCGTCCCTGTCCGACCCCAAGTCAGATCTCTTAACGTCTCGTAATGAGAGCTCTGTTGTAGCATGTCACGTAGCTGCTGTAATTCTGGAAAGGATACCCGCCACTTGATCTGACTGAAGTGCCCGAGTTGCAACAGACCAAAGCAGAATATCGTGGCTTGGAGGTTCCGCGTGGGCGGCGTCGTCCGCAGAGCCGTAGCGAGTAGGGTTCTAAATGGACGGTCTAGTAGTTTTTGTCTCTCTTCTGAGACCAAGGAACCCGCAAGCAGTTCTAGGAGGCAGTATGCATATTCGTCTAGGTCGCCGGTCGACAGACGCCCGTATAGCCTAATTAATAAGCCCAGTATGTTTGGTTCTGGGGAGAAGTCAAAGATGGCAACTGGCGCTGCTGCTGTCCAGGGTTGCGCGACTTTCCAGAAACGCGACGCCGCAGCTGGGTCGGCGTCTGGTGATAGCTCTATATGGTTTGCGCGCATGATAGAATCCGCCAGGGTCCTCCACGCGTCAGGTATATACATTAACGGTCGAGCCCCCGTAGCTAAGGACCTTCCTATCATACTCCGAGCCGTTTCCAATATCTGGTTGAGATGGCGGATTTCGCCATCTCTATCCTCTAGCTGCCTCTCTAACCCTGCAATGCTGCCAGACTTGCCTAAAATCTCGGTCCTGAGCTCAGATACGGTGTTTCGAAGCTCCCGAGCGTCTGTTAACCTTTCGTTAGCACTTTTAAGGGACGCGTCTCTATTTTGACGGGTCGCCTGCAGCTCGTTAGCCAGATTTGATACTTGCATCTCGCTCTTCTGCAGCTGCCGCTTATATGTCTCCACGGCCGTCTTGTTTAACTGGTCCAGCTTTTCCCACTTGAGATCAGCCGCGGCAACCTTCTCCTCGGAAGCTATGAGGGTGCGCTGGGTCGCTTCGAGCTCCATCCGAATACCTTCTAGCTCCTTCTGTTTTCTGTCAGCTTCGGCTCTTAACTGCTCTATGATCTTTTTATTATCCTGTAGCCTAAGTTCCATCTGTTGCGCCTTACTCTTTTCCTCCCGTATCTCCTTAGACAGTCTATCCTCGACAGATCTCACCTCTATCATCTCGAGAGCTTCCCGATGCTCGTCGGATAAGTTGCGTACGAAATCTACGTTCCCTGTCTTCGCAGAGACCAGCATGATTGCGTGGTCAAAGATATTCTGCTCTATGTTATCCAGTTTTGAGGATAATTTCTCGCGGGTTACCTTCCCGCTATCGTCCAAGAGATGATCAATTGACTCTTGCGCCATAGCTTCCTGCTTTTCAAAAAATGAGGTTCGTCTCTCGATATCATCGAGGAGTTCACGTTCGAGGTCTAAATGTTCTTTTGCCATGTTCTCCACATCTTTTCGATCGATAAACGGAGTGTCTTCGTACTCCTCTTCTAGAAGATCGCTTATTAACTCCTTGCGCTTCTTCAATGCTTCACGCATCTCATCAGCTGTCATCGGGGCGGCCATATTGAAGTATCGTAGGCTAGATGCTCTGAATAAATACGTGTTTAAGATGAATAAACCTGAAAAGGAAGGGACATTAAGAGGTATTGGAGTGGTAGGTAAATGTATTAAGTAAGTGCCCGTCCCATCCTATAGAGGGTAGGAGCCACTTACACGTAGGTATATTACTAAGAAGGTACCTCTAGTAGGTACCTGGACAGAAGTAATCCTACACGCGCTGTTCAGTTAATATACCTAGGGAACCAAATTATGAGAGGTAGGTAACCGTAGGAATTGGGTATTTGGTCCCGATATTCGACAGTATGTTACTGCCAATTGAACGGACAATGATGAACGCTCCGCTACTATACAGCCCCTTATTCATCACTAGACTACTTAGATAGGTATATCAATGGTCTAGCTTGGATTGAAATGACGATTACTACTCTCAACTGCCTACTAGTTGTTATAGCATACCAAAGGTAACCGTAAGAACCGCCGTTCTATCGAGACTACCTACTCGAGGCATTTTACAAAAGAGTCTGCCGGCTTATCGAATCCGTCAATCTTATTAACAAGCATTGATGCATAATAATAAGATACGGTTATAGCCTTATCGTTAACCTGACTGCTGTCATCGTTACCGCTATCTCGCTGTAGCCTATTTGCCGTGGCCTCATATTATAACAATAATAAGGTATGTTTACAGTTATCTTGTCGCATTGCAGCCTCGTCGCTAGTCTCGTCGTCGTCCCTAGCACCACTGCTACCGTACTAAAGTGTCTCCTGGCTATCCCTGGATCTACAAAGACCTCAGCAGCACTCCCTTTCAAGCCTAGTCTCCTAGATACGCAATCGGTGGTAAGGTACGCACTCCTATAACTACCTCATCATTTAGCCTACCACAAGGTTACCGGCGACTGTTCGGGGAAGTTTCCTAGCTATCCTCGAACCGCGTTAAAGACCTCGGCAGTATACCTTTTCCGGATCCGGTATCCCTAACTACGCGGCTTTGCTAATCTCATCGAATCACCTGCTATTTACTAAGATTCCTCCAGCTATCCTTGAACCGCGTTAAAGACTTTTAGCAGTAAACCCAATCGGTAATAAAGTACGCACTCCTATAGCTACCTTGCCGCTAACCCGCCACAGAATTACTACCGTGTTAAGGCGTCTCCTAACTATTCTCGAACCGCGTTAAGGACCTTCGACAGTACGTCCTTTCAAGCCTCGATCTTACCTACGGCGACCATACAGTTTTTTAGGGACGGCTGGAGAAATCCTACGACCTCCTAGACATACGTAATAAAGATAACTAATAAAGTCCTATAAGGCCTCAGAGTCGAAATAACTAATCGGGTCCTGGAATGTAGCTCAGACGATTGGCAAGGCCGTAGCTAAGATAATTAATGAGGCCCTAAAGCCTTATAGCCTCATCGCTATAGCCTAGGCCTTATCTCGGTTGTAAGGCCTCGTCGTTATGGCCGCTACCTTACTCGTAGGCCTTATTTCGGTCGTATAAGGCCGGATTTAGAGCCTAGTCCCGTAGGGATCCTAATCTCTGTTGTAGGCCTTGTCTCGGTCCTAAAGCTTCATTCGTGGCAGCTGTTATTTCGCCCCATAAGTCTCTAACGAGATCCATGCTTCCTAAAATAGCTTCATAATTATGGGCTGGCAATACTTAGCTTCAAGGCCCTTTCGCCTCCCCCTCTTATGGCCTCTTTCTCCCTCTTATCGTAGCTTTTCGTCGTAGCTAACCTCCTGCGCCATGTCGGCAGTCTCTCTTTCTCTAGTCTCGTAATGCTTCCTTTCGAATCGTAACTCTTCGTATCGTAGTTACTTTCGCCGTCAAGGTATCTCTCGTATTGCCTCACGGCCTCGCGGTTTACCACCTTGGATAATAGGCGTTACTTTGTCAGGATTAGATGTCTTTTAAGGTGAATTATGCACAAAGTGAGTATATAGGGTAAGTAAACCAAGTAATGATTATTAAACTTAATAACGCCTGGCCTTCTAACCTCTAACGAGGGCGCTTCACGCCTCTTATATAGTCGTAGAGACCCCTGTAGCCACCCTAACCCACTATATCCTGACACCCTGCTACTAGCCGTCTTCTCCTTTAATATCAATATTATCCCAAGGCCTCATTAGCCATACATATACTCGATAATAAAGTTCTCAAGGCTATCCTGCTACTAACCTGCCGCAGTGTAACTTGTTGCCGTATCGGTGCGTCCACTAGCTATCCTGTGGTCTTACAAAGACCTCGGAAGCACTCCTATTTGGGCCGTGCTTCTTCCTAATAACCACTCCGCCGCTAGTCCCTTCAACCATCAGTTACGACAGTAAAGTACGCACTCCCATAGCTACTTTCACGAGTAGTTTAGATAGCACTAAGCTACGGCTTCCCTGCTAGATGTTCCCTGGCTATTCGAAATGCTTGGAACCTCAAAAATACGCTCCTTAGGCTTCCATCTTCCCTGCCGCAAGCCCCGTATAGGGCACGAACGCACCTCGGGAAACCGAAACTAGAACTGCTGCTTCCTAAAGCAAAACTTATCTCTTCGTATTTATATTTAGATTTTGGCTTGCTCCCTTGTAAAGGGATCAATTACGAACACCTATAATGCCAAGCACGAGCCAAAAAGGCGGGGCGAACAGAAACGGTTTAAATATAGTACCATGCCTTCGGGTTTGAAATGTAGGATATTAGGGATATAGCGCGTATATAGACCTAAATAGCTCCACACGCCGCATGCCCTAACGGAGGCCTGGGACTTCGTACCTTCGGCGTTAAATATACAACAATAGCAACAATAACTTCCCTGCGGCAACCGCATAGCTCTTTGAAGATACCTGGGGAAGTGTTACGACCTTTTAGACGTGACTGAGATGACTAACAAGGTCTTGTAACCTTTTGTATCGTAACTGTGGAGTTTTGTATCTTTTTCGTCATATTTGTTGCAAGGCTACCTCTTGGTTGTAAAGCCTCATTCGCGATAGCCGCTGCCTCGCCCCACCAATCTCTAACGCATCAAATAGTTTAATCGTGTGATGATAAACTCTGAGACCACTTAGGAGGTCACTGGTCCTCTCTTACGACGTCGTCGTCGTCTTTCTCTATTTCATCGTGACTCTCTCTTTTCTCGTTTTGCCTTGTCATAACCGCCCTCTTACGGCGTAATAGCGGTTTCTCTATTTTAATGGTTCCTTCAGAAGTGTAAGTACCCCTTCACGCGGTAGACGCATCTCTCGTATGTCGTAATTACATCGTTAACAAACTGCCAATACTCAATAGTACCACGAACTAAACAATACTAAGTCAGTAACACCTAGCCTTCTATTTACAAGGGCGTTCGGCGCGCTTAATAAAGCTTATAGCTACCTTTCACCTACTTTACTTTAACGATAATTCCCACGGCTTACACTGGCATATCGCGGGATTTCGAACCATATTGCTCATAACAGCAAATAACAAGTAAGAAGCTAGTTGTTTTTTTCGGGGGAGTCCGCCACGAACGGAACACATGGTATTCGCTTTACGTTGGGCTACGAAGCGGACTTGACCAGCATGGAAGTAATTGTTATCTCGCGAGGAACTTTGACCTAACTAAAGGAGCCTGAAGATATACATACTTCTAGTCATACTGGGTAAGCCACTCAAATAACGTCACCTGAGCCAACGTATCGTGCCGATCGCGGTACTTAGCAAACAGGGAACCCGCCTCCTGAATCTGCCCATCAGCGGCTACGAAGCGCCGAGTATTTTCAGAATCCGGCCGACAGTCAAACCGAAGTTAGTACGGGAGCTTTGCTGCAACGGGAGGAGCCACATACCGTTGCCCACCTACGGAAGGTCGTACTGTACTGGTGGCGGTGGCGGTGGCGGTGGAGGGTTACTGGCGCCGGAGTCTTCCTGTAAGCCAGCCCTAGCGTGCAGGGAGGGTGTAGGAGAAGGGGGTGGCGCATCGGCATCTCGGCGCTGGTTTCGGTGGGCACGTTGCGTGGCTATACGTATCCGACGCGCCTCCCGAGTGCCATCGGAGTCTTGACTGTCGAAACCCCGGGGCCGGTAAGCCGGGGCTGATATGCCTGCTATATTACTGGATCGTTTGCGCCGATTACCTGCCGATACAGTCTGTAAACGGGTTAGCGTTAAACCGTGTGCAACAATAGTAAGCAAACCTTATTGTGCCGGCACGTATCACATGCAGTAGTAACCCGTTTTGATGCATCGGACCGTACAGACTCGAACCGGGCCAGTGGCAAATCTTGATGGCATCGATTGCATCGTTGAGACCGACTGTACGACCTTCCGTAGGTGGGCAACGGTATATAGCTCCTCGCCGGCAGGGAGATTCAGCGGCTTGTCCGTAAACTCCTGACCCGGCGCCGGATCTACAGCCGTAACATGCTCAGACCATACCCGGGCAAAACTCTCCCGTCCTTCCGCTGTCAACATGTTGTGGGTGGTAATTTGCAGGTCTTGTTTACCACTCCATAGTAGGGTATCGGTATGTGGACTACCCCTGTCTTGCCACTCGAATCGGTACCAGAATCATTGATCCCGAATTTAGCCAGAATGACAACCCTGAAGAATTTCGTAAATCGGCTATTAAGTAACTCATGTATCAACTCCTGCCCCGAGATATCGCGTTCGCCGAGTACCTTATTCATGAACTTCGCCACGAACGATAAAAGCGGAGACCGGTCATTGAGACGGGGTATAACCTCGCTGGCTAATACGGTAAAATCCTGGGTAGACGTCTCGGCCTTGGAGCAGTACTTGGCTATGTACGCTTTTACGGCATGTACGTCGGTATATGCCGGGTACACTTGAGTCGCCGGCTATCAGCGATGCGGACTCGGCCTTACTCCGGGCTTTTCACGATAGTTTGGCCCGGGATATCCGAAAATCCTGTATCCGCTGCAAAGAACGGTGGTTTGACATGCTGTTTAAAGGCGGTGTTTGCCGAGGCTGTAAGAGTCGAAATAGGGACTTAAGGCCCGGTGACGTACACCTT